GTTTAGTTTTCTCGTTTCTAAAATGGACTAAATGCCTATATAATTTCCTGTCTGTTTCAAGCGAAAATCACAATGGAAGTTGGAGACTCATTTACCAGAGTCATCGCCGAAAATGTTCAAGTCGAGATTCATAGGGTCACACAAAACTCAAGATAATTTAGGTTCACTAGCTGACAACCCTAAATAATGATTTATTATAAATTCGGCGATACGCATTAACGGCTAACCTTCCCTATACATGGAAATAAAAGTATAAATAGAACTTAATCACTTCTCTCGAAGACGAAACGTGCTGTAAGAGTTTCAAGTTGACACAAAGAAATCGAAAAAAATCTTCCGTCAAAAACGTGCGATAGCAATGATGGTCCTTGAATACCCCTGATTATAGTGAAGACAACCCCCTATATGTATATCATTCACCCTATCAGTCAAACCAAGCCATATATGTATAACTATTCAAGACTAATTCTAGCAATGTTTTCAAACAACATTGAAGAACCCTTCAAAATGTCCATTAATAGGACTATTTTCAGTGGTGTCTTTGTCACTGAGGGAAGCTCAAGCGTATCTTTGGCAAGCCTTAAAATGTCTTTTTCCTTTTCGAAAGAGCCTTTTAGAGTTGTCAGGGCTTGGCTTGAGTTTAAGTGCATACAGCGTGCTATATTTAACAGATATGCAAAATTCATCACTCATGTCTAGTACAGGCAGGTTACGACGTTACGCTGATTTCTATCTCTTCCTCCATACATACATTATCGATCAGTGAATCAAACACCAGCATCGTGACAGAAATCATAAAAGAATTAACCGCTTATATATAGGCTTGTGTTTTGCCTCAAACACGCGCTGTTAAGCGCTTCGACTATCGGGTAATGAAATATTCATGTATTTTCCCCCCTCTAAGGGCTTTTAGGTCATCGCTTAGTATACTTATCTCTAAAAATGCGTGAGTACAGCACGTGCTATATACAAAAATAATACTATCTTGTTATATAATCATTGCATTAACGCCATTAAAAATATTCAGTTGACGTAGAAATCTATAGATTTATTCACTATTCTCTCTTTTCAATAATAACTTCATGAAGTTTATTTCATGAATACAAAAAGCTTCGATGTCCTAATCTAGTTTTGATATATATCCGCATAAAACTCTTTCCGCTTTTATTTTTTTATTCTCCCAGCGGATCTGGAGAGATTCCAGAAGGATTGGGAGTTGAAAGTCCTATCCATGCAAATTGATGAAATAAACAATGGGACAAAAAGCTCACAAGACACAAAACTCTGGTGATATATTTCGACTTCACTCCAAAACGTTTGCGTCTTGAGTGCATGTGTTTTAAATTTAATGTAATCTAATTTAAACTCTTGTCTTAATTTGCAAGATGATTTTATTCGGTATTTGTACACCGTTCTACATCGAAAGTTGTTTTCAATTCCCAAGACGCTGAAAAGTACTGTGGTGTTTACAAGCTGAGTCTATAAATATAGTTTGCCAGGTCTAAAAATGAACAATGCGTCCACCTGTGTGTGTTTTGACGGGAATGCAAATGCTTCAGAAACATGTGACTTATACCCGTGAGGATGAAATCAATTAATACAAGTTATAAATAAATGCAGACAATCTCTTTCCCACTTATAAATTTTTTGCTTGTCGATATAAACTTTCAATTTAGTCTTGTCCCACAATAAGGAGATGTCGAATTTGATATGGCATTTGCTTTTTTTCTTCTCGCCAACTCAAAATCAACGAATTAAAGCTCGCATAATGCCATTCCATTTATCTGTTCCTATACATGCATCATGCATCCGAATATATAGATCAGTTTTGCTGATTAGGGGTTACTGAGAAAGTACTGGGCAAGGCTTCCCCGCTGCCTAATACTTAGCAGAGACTATTATTAGCAACAACACGTGCATAGATTTTCATCTATCGCGTTTGAATGCTTTTGAAATTTCCTTATTTATTTAATTTTACCGGTCACACACTTGATACAAACACACAAAGGACATTCAATGGCAGGCTTTTGTCTACAGTTTGTCACAAGACGTGACGTCCACCACGCTTTCTAACTCTAATGCTAGGAAACAACACACTTTTCCACAGAAAAGGCTAAGAGACTTTTCACAAGACGACTTCCACGTTTTAAATCATCAACGTTATATATAGAACATTTCTAACGACGATTTGTAGTAATAAAAAAGTCCCTTTTTGAACCGACTTAGACTTATGTTATTGCATGTTAAGTCTTCTAGTAGTATATTCCACAACAGTCTGGTACATCCATATAGGTATAGTTTAAAAGCAATGAAAACATTTATCGGACAAAATTCCATATATATTAAGTCGAAATGATCAGACAATATGTAAAACTAGGAGGTCAGTGATCTTATATAGAGAGTATACAATTCCCGCTTTTTCCTAGTCTGAATTTTATATCTTTCAAGACGTGTGTTTATACTATTACTAAATCATTTTCTAATGTTTTTCAGGGGCGTGTTGTTCGAAAGGCGTTTAGCTTAAACGGTGGATAAGTTCAAAATGGAAAACAAAATTATCTATTTATTGAACAACTGAGCTCATATATTTCGATGTAAATAGTTTAATTGTCAATGGAGGCACATGTTTAATGCATAAGATGCAGGTTCGGTCATTCACAAGATGTATAAGAGTGTTTTCAAATTTTGGCTTATCGATCGTTTAAGCTAAACACCTTTTGAACAACCGCCCCCAGACTATGTAGAACTAGCAGGTCAGCATTTAAGGCTCTTTCATAGCATGTGAACCTTCATTTTTTTTAAGACGTCAACTTTGCCTTTGGATCTTGCTAGAACTATTACCAAACCAATTTCTGATGTTTTCCTACTTGAGTCTTCATTAATAGTGCATATGTCCCTTTTTTACCCCACGAGGCACCCCCTTGTTCCCTCCCTACTTGTTAACCACTTTAAACAAAGGCAACAAAATTGCGGATATCAAAAGATGACATATTTTGCAATGGGAGAGGCTGGCGTTACAAATTTGTATATACCACCAGAATTATATGTAGTTCCTTTTGTATGTTGCCCTGAATATAGCCTATATCTCGCTTTCTGACGACGTGTAATTTGAAACCAGAAATATTCATATATTCATATTTATTTTCGCTTAGTCCAACTGGAGGTGGGCCAGTCTGTCTTATATGTGTTGACACTTAATGGCCTCGTGAACAGACATGGTGATGTATAGGAAAAAGAGTACAATTACTGTGTGATAAAAAGGCAAAAAACGTTCGCTTAGTCTAGTGGAAGTAAGCTAGCTTATCGATCAATAAGAGATTATGTCACACAGATGTTTAGGAACAACTGTTTGGAACTGATAGAAGAATCCGGTCGGATTCAAAATTGGTCAAATAGATTATCCTTGCTGGACCTCAATGCACAGATAGAAGTATCCAGTGCATATAAATATATATATAAAGGTTATCTCATCGATGAAAAAAGATTAGGGTTTCTGGATTACCTTAGCTAGGAAGAAATTTTTGAAAGTGATAGAGGTATCCAGTACAGTACAGTTTGTTTATAAATCAAAGTGATCAACAAAGGGATGGTTCTTGCATCATGGACATCAAGAAATAACAGTTGGATGCGAATAGAAGTATCCATATAAATAAAGTTAGTTTAGTTTAATAAAAGATGATCTTCACAGGTCTTCTAGAAAGAACATTATGGTAAAAGTAATAGAACATTTCAGTCTTTTGCGTAAATATATACTATAAACTTATAGGATATAGATACACCTACACTATTCAGATCTGCCTGTATAGACTGGACAGTTCACCACTGCACTAGATAACATGTCATCTCGATCACATCTCCAATTGACTCTGCTTTGAGTCTCAAGTGTATAAGCATAAATTATAAATTATAACGTATATTTCATACTGTATAGAGAAAGGCTGAATTCAGACAGCGGTCGGGACGTGCACATAGCTATTATATATTGTATGAAAAAACGAGGCTAAAGTATGTACCTCGATCTAAAATTATAGTGTGACTAATATATCCATATGAAAGACCTGCTGTGTCATTGTTCGGTCAAGGAACGAGAGGCCATGCAGACAAGCGAATATCGCTTCCGAAGGAAAGTACCTCTACACATCCACGATGATATTTTTTATACAGCTTAAATCGTAAGAGACAATAGACTTCGCTCATCACCTCACATAAATATTATGTCAAACTTTACACTATGCATGACCATCCGTTAGAAGATCGTCTAGACATACGCGTCAATCGTGTTAAATGCTTCCTTTAAAGTTAAGGATTACAAATCAGCTTTGAATATTTGATAGCTTTCAAAAATATCTTCCTAGAATGACATAGTTGACTGCAACGACTTCTAGTCCAACGGTATAAATAAATCTTAGTGAATGTGAAATTATTAAAATTGATATTCATGCAAGTTATCGAGGGTGTTTCTCGTGTCCGGAAATCCTGTCTTTTTCATGACAGCAAATAGACTGTAATATGTTATCAATAACATTATATATTTCATATTTCTTCCATAAATTCCATTCGAAATATCCCCACAATCGTGACAAAAATAATAATATTTGCAAGTCCTATTACTATAAGCGTCATGGCTTGTTTACGAACTTAGATGTGAATAATATTTGTTTTTTTGCTAATATATGTACATATAAGTATATTCAAATCAAGCAATGATTTCAAAGCTGGCACAAAAATTCAATGAGAGATATTATTATCTATATATATACACTTGCTTTGTCATCTGATCTTTTTAAAATCAGCATATCGAGCTATTTGTAGACCAGTAATTAGGCCATTATACTAAAATGGGCGAAAGGCCGATATAGTTATAATACAGTATATAAGGAATAGTGTTTATCTGGCGTGGATTAAGTAGAACCTAAAGACTTCCGTTACTGAATTAATACGATAACCTGCAAGCTATCCTTGCTGTTTAAATTATATATAGTATATGTAGCTCATAACATTTACAGCTGATATAGCATTATTTATTTGTTTTAAAAGTTTAGTTAGTTTTTTCATACAAATATATATTATTATGTAAGAGTGGTTTTAATCGCGTTAATTCGATAATTCTCATGTATAATTAATTTACTAAAAATATAAACCTAGTCTTTCAAAATAGATAAAAATATATAAACCTCACTACAACCTCGAGGCGCTATATGATACGAAAACATCCTCATTTTTTTGCCGATAAGTTCATACGGTGGGAAAGGCGAATGAATTGAACGACGATAACTTTTCGTTGCAAAACAGTCGGAACAGCTGTTAGTGCTTCATGTACACGTTTAATTTCTTTTTCATTATACTAACCAGCACGTATGATTGAAATGAGACGTGACTCCTGAGATATAGCCCCTGATGTATACCAGGTTTATTATTCAAACTAGTCTAAATATAGAGACCCAGAATGTTTACTTTCCGTTTATACAAGAAACTGACATGCATGCAGTACGAATTCTCACAACTCCTACTCTACGCAAATACTTTTTTAACCTTGATAGACGTGTCTTGTTTAATTAACCGCTATAGTATGCAGTCGCTTTTAATAACAACAGCGAACTAGTTGAAAACGTCAATATTATTTGTCAAAGTTATATAACTCTACGATTGAAAAAAATTATTCGCCCTTTGCCAAACTGTGATAATAATCGCGTATCGTTTACAAATTTAAAGTCGTTATAGATTGTCCTGGAGTTTTGCAGCGAGTTTTTTACGCGATTATAAATAACGCCCTATCACGAATTTGTTTTTCGCTCTTTTACAATCGTTTTTGCATTAAATAAATATGAATTGTTTAAATCCTACCATATCCACGGCAAACCTTCGTCACTGGACCACTGATGAACGTGTTGAGGATAGTTAAACCCAATGAAAAGACCAATGTTACAATCTACAACAAGAGCATATTTGATTAGAGAGAATACTAAAAATAGGGGGGCATGGGATCCGCCCTTTTGAGGAAGTTAAAAATAAAACTGGGTGACTCATTTATATGTAGACTTGAAAGACGGCACTAAGCACTATAGTCAGGCTGGTATTAGTAGCAATAGTCAGTATAACTGACATTCAGAAATGTTTAAAGTGAATTATTGTATATAATATTGACCATCATTGGTATATATTATACTAGTCAGACCTGAGTGAAATACTGAAAAATGCATTGTCAAGTAATAAGTACTGGATTAGTCAGACGTTATATGCAGGGGTGTAGGAAGCATCCAGAGAGTGGGGGGACCAGCTTCCACATGAAGGTTTGATTGCCAAAGCTGCAAGGACACCTCTAGTGTGGTTTATATTTTATGCCCTAAAAAAGAGGTGGGCACGTGTAGGTGGGCATACGTAGGGAAAAAAACATGCACCTTTATTTACAGCTGCATTAGGTTCACTAAAAAGGCATTTTCCATCACAAAAAGGGCATTTTTGGTCCCTCCCGTACAAGCGTTCCCCGGTGATTGTTCGTCACTAACCTTCCTTCTCATAGAATCATAATCCAGATCCGTTCCTAGCCTTTTAAGATGGTCCATGAAGTGTCTTCCGTCAGTTTTTCGTTACGAGGTCCGAGAATTGCGACGGAACTCATTCGTTCAGAGTCTGATAAATATCTGCTGGCAACATCGACGAGATCATCGCGGCCAACGGCGAACAAACGATCGCGATGTATTTGACGCATCTCATCTGTGATCCCATGTTTGAATAACGTCATCCCTTTGGACGGAGGAGGGACTGGACTATCAACCTGAAGATGGACGAGGACTTAGGTAAAGGTGGAGTTACCCTAATGTAAACAAATTCTTCTTTGCTTACATTTTGAATCACTATGTTTCTTTAAATATCAAGAAGAGTCTTATATTTAACACTTTTTTCGGCTTCCGTAGTTTCTATTTCTCTACTATCATCCACCGGTATTTATTGCCCTGGGGCCGGTTGTATGAAAGCCGGATAGCGCTATCCACCGGATAGTGGTTTTTTCAATCGCTTCAAAATCGACCGTTATTTGCTACAACTTTGAGTAAATCTTAGTATTCCTAAATCGAAGATCCTCTTTAATAATTGTTGCTTCTAAGCTAAAATTTTATCGCTTTTCGAGCATTTTTAGAACGGTTGAAAAAATCACTATCCGGTGGATAGCGCTATCCGGCTTTGATACAACTGGCCCCTGGATGTTTTCATTTATCTTTTATTTATTGCCTTGGTTATCCGATGTGCGTTCAACGTCACTTACTTGTGAGAAAACTGAGAGTTTAGCTTCAACGATATCTTGATCTGTGAACTTGCCTGAACTCGCCCAAGATGCAGACCGATCAAAGACGTCCAATGTTTCAAACGAATTTGGATCTCTGTGAGAATTAAACACATTCAATTCAACTCACGTCTTTGCTTGTCCGTTCAACTCCCCTGAAGCCCACGCCAGTTTACTCCTCCCCCCGCCGCCACTGATGATCTCACTCACACCTTATCCCACCTCTCTGCCATTCAATCTTAGTACCTTGCCACCCCAGCCCATCACTTACAATCCCCCCACTAACCACAAAAACCTGAACCATCCCTCCACCCACCTATACGAGAAGAATGAAAAGACATTTCCACCAATCTTAGCTCCAGATCCATACGCTCCGCCTTTCTCTCTGTAATATTCAAGAACCACAGTTACTAAGCGATGCAACCAGACTGTCCAAAGCTTGAAGTATTAGGTGCCTCCCGCATGAGGACAGGGACGTCATAGACGACGTAAAAATGACGAAACATCGGCATGGCGTGGCATATCCAAATATGGACACATCACGTCATTATTCGCCATTTCCACGTCATCTTTGACGTTCCCATCCTCGATCTAAATCTGTCCATAGACAATCAAAAAGACATCTCAAGATATGTCTTTTGGATTGTCTATGATCTGTCTAATGGCAAAACAAGACAACGTACCTGATTTCCCTATGCAAAAACTTACTAGACAACAATCTTGAAAGAATCTGCAACCTTGACCATAAAAAACAGAGAAACTCGTCAAAGGGAGGATTTCACATAACGTTTCACACGCAAGATTTTATGGATCGTATACGAAGATCCTTGTCTGTTATCATGATGTTGGTTACCGAAGCACTAAGGCATAGATTACCCAGTCAAAGTTCCTGTGATCACAGTTAGAATTACACGTAGGTAGTAAACCTTCTTTTCGAAGAATTTGATGGAAATACTCAAGTGATTAACACTGAGTTATTTCACCCTTGCGTTCGTTATACATTATTTAAGATTTAGGATTTTACAACGGCGAAACTCTACAATGATCACAGAAGCTTTCATGTAGCGTGACCGAGCCTAACAGTTGCTACTTACTTCGGGTAATCCTCGTGGCAGAAAGGTACAGCACGAATCGCTTTGGCGACAAAATTCACTGGAGAAGGAATCTCAAAGAAACTTTTCACTTGATGTGGCATGAAGTTAGGATCCTAGGAGGATAACAGGCAGCCTCATCAGTGACTATAAACGATTGTTATAGTATCCCTACAGAACCTCCTTCATCCTTGGTGTCCCAGTTGTCATGCCATCAAGATAAACAAATAGCATATATACGACTGGGTTAAGCTTCTGGAAATAAGCCACATAGCAGCATTTGCAATATTCTCAGGGGGCGAAGACCTCTGTGTTTAGGGACCTTGTTGAGGAATTGATATAGAATAGCGCTTACAATAACACTCGAGATGACCTTTCGTGTAGGTTAGTTATCTGCATGATCACTAACGGGTTACCTAACTCTAGGGGGAGGGTTCTAAAATCATAGGTGGTAAACCATGGCCAATATTTTTGGTACGTACGTCCACTTCAGCAGGCAGATCAGCCCGAGTACCAGGTAAGTCCTCCAGGAAACCTTCAAGAGAATCAGTAGCTTCATCTGCAGCTTCTTCAGTCATCGTTAAAGAACATCTGGAGAGAAAAATTGATTAGAGATAATGAGGGATAGTGGTGATAGGGTATTCAGGAACAACTGGGATGAAGGTGATAGGGATATTATTAAGGGAGATCTGAAAAGATAAAGGATAATTAGGAATAGAGGTGATAGGGATGGTATCAAAGGGGAGGATTAGGGATAATTAGGAAGAGGCGATAGTGTTTGTATTGTAAGTCTTAGGAGGGACGTTGGCCCCCAGAAGAGGTTGTCCCCAGACGTGGATGCCCACAGAAGTGGATGCCCACCGAAGAGACTCTTCTCAGAAGAGGTTGCTGGTCTTCTCTGCTTTACCTGAAAGCAGTATTCTCTAAAACATGAGCTGCTATTTTAATCATCTTATTGGTAACGTCCTCTAAGTCATCAAGCTCTGCAACGTTTTTCATAAACTCCACCTATAATAGGAAACTCAGTTGTTAGCGATCGAAATCAAATTTATAGACAATATTCTCCAAAGCAAAACTCACCTGATTCAGCCCGCCAAGGATTTCATTCAACCGCGAAGCTGGAGTGAGAGAGCTGGATGCCAAGCCAACTGCATAGCTATGACCAGAGTCAACAATTGACATAGCGAGATCAGAAGCGAGGCCATTCACCAATGTACGCAGACGTTCTGTGTTGCTCAGCGTAGGACTACAATGTCAGGTTGAAATTGGGGTAGTAATGGCTGTATAGTATAAATGGACCTCTACGAAGAACAGTTAGAACTGATAGAGCTATCCAGTATAAATAAAGTTAGTTTAGTTTAGGTTTCCTCCTGTAGTAACACTGGATCAATAAGAGATGATCCTTACTGGATCTCTAGGAAGAACAGTTAGAACTGATAGAGCTATCCAGTATAAATAAAGTTAGTTTAGTTTAGGTTTCCTCCTGTAGTAACACTGGATCAATAAGAGATGATCCTTACTGGGCCACTAGAAAGAACAGTTTAGAACTGATAGATCTATCCAGTATAAATAAAGTTAGTTTAGTTCAGGTTTCCTCCTGTAGTAACACTGGATCAATAAGAGATGATCCTTACTGGGCCTCTAGGAATAACAGTTTAGAACTGATAGAGCAATCTAAGCTGAACTTTCTGTTTAGAATCATCACCGACCGACCACTGCTTACCTTGTGAATATTTCTAACCAGATATTAAACATACGAGGCAGATTTTCATCGAGACAATATGATGAAAATAACACACCCTAAAATAATACAAGTTAGCGTGAGGCAATGAGACTAATCTAATCTACAATCAAACTCTACGTATGCACGATTCATTTTTCAAAAGCTACCTGATTGTACGTGCTGGGTTCAGTGTGGTGTGACACGATGTGGGGTGAAACAGAGAGACCTCCCGTCCTTCGTTTGATCAACTGCGCCATGTGGCGGTGGTCCATATTGCCTGCACCCATTCTGTAGGAGAGAGAACACACGATGAAGTTCTGTGTCTGATTGATTTATGATTTAATTACGATGTATATAAAGACAAGCCTTAAAGTTTATTTAATCATTCTGTGGCAAGTGCTCAACCATCGTCGGGGGAAAAGTTGTATAACACATGCAGCATAAGCAGAGTCGTACCACTTGATCAAGTCTTACTTTAAGTAATTTAGCTTGTAGGTACACCACGTAAGTATTTAATACTGCAAAGTTTCGGTCCATTAACCTGGGCCTTCAACAATTCAATTCAATTCAATTCACTTTATTGCACTGATGAAGGCCCGGGTTAACGGACCGAAAGCTTTTAACACAAGCTAATAATTTACTTATTGATGTCGCCATGCAAACATACAAGAATATTCAGTCTTACTTTGTTATGACGTGACAAAACAGCGGCAAATAAGGCTTGACTTCGTCAGCAACTAACGTGATACTTGATATTCCATTGAAATATGATAAACCATTGGTAGGCTGAACGCAATAGTACACTGGAACGCCACCTAAATTTGAGAGAATAAATAGGTATGCTGTCACAGTATTGATAAAATATATCAATTTAGGGCAAACAATTTTGCGGGGTGCGTTGTTCGACCCTCTGGGAAGGTTCCCCGTGTAACTTATTAGTCGACGAGCTGTATGAATGCATTCAATGAGAATGTATATTTCAATAGAAAGTAACAAATGGTGTATTGGTGTACCTAGCATAACATCATCCACGGTGACAGGTTTGATTTTGGGATCAATGTCTAGGAAAGATGAACATACATATAAAGGTTGGTTTCCACTGGGAAACTTAGGCTGCGTTCAGACTCAGTGCCCGGCACCGGTGCTCTAAGTTAAAACCGGTTCATAAAACATGTTGAACACAGTGCCCTTGTTGAGTTCTATTTCTGTGAGCGGAGTGCATATCCTCAACCAAATTCATATCATACCTGAGATATTGAGCGATGGTAGACATGACGTGTCCTGCACTGCATTCTGGCGACTGGCAAGTTCAAGACCTGTGAAGAGAATAAACAGAGGTATAATGAAAGATGAACACGTTAGTAAGAAGTTGGAACAGGGCGTGTTGTAAGTTCCCAGCGCAGAACACCAGTCCACGGAGCGCGAGTTAATATGTAGTAAAACTTTATGTAAAATATCTGATTTGGGTAATGTGATCTAACTAGTAATTGTAATATGATATAGGGATATACCAAATAATGACCCATTGTATATATAGCAAAATGAAATGTAATCTATCGATAATAAATCAGAATATACAGTCCCTTCGAGTGTGAACGTTTGATGAACCAGAAAGGCAGAATAAACGAAAGATTCTGCAACACAGTGGTCCTTCGAGCCGGATTGTATGCGGGATAGTTAAAGCGGATTGTGGAAACGTTAGTTAGACTCGCACGGCAGTCGCCGCACAAAGAAAATTGTCACAAAGGTCGGACGACCTAGATCGAACACATGGATGACCTAGCTAAGAAAAGACGCGTACGAGGTGGGCAAAGGTCGTCTACGAAGAAGCTTGTGGCAAAGATAGTCGAAGCGATCGCTAAGTTAAGCGATGAGAGTCCAGAGAAAGACGTCGTGTGGCTGAACAGAGTCAAAGCTCCTTGAAGGAAAAGGTCAAAATCTTAAGAGAACTTGACACGAAAATCATCGATGCCCTGAGCGAGTCGAAAGAAGAAGCGGCGGATGAATTGATGGCAAAGGAGATAGAAGAAGCAGACGAAGTAATCGCAGAACTTGAACGCCTTTTACTTGAAATGGACAACGCGTTCGGTAAATTAGAATTGACAACGACAAAACCCGTGGCGATCAATGACAATGAGATTCTGAACGAAAGCCAAACATCGGTTGAAAGCACGGGCAAAATCATAAGAGCAAAGTTACCAAAGTTACGGTTGAAAAACTTTGGGGGGAAAATTTGCGAATGGCCAGAGTTCTGGGACAGTTTTTCGAGTTCGATCGACAACAATGATCAATTGTCGGACGTAGACAAATTTGCATATCTACGCGGATACCTTGAAGGGCCGGCAAAATCGACCATCGCTGGTCTGTCATTAACAGCAAGGAATTATCAGTGCGCGGTGGATCTGCTTAAGAAACGATTCGAGAAAAGAAGTGCAATTCAACGCACACATATGAATGACCTTATTCAACTGCCTGCGGTTTTTAGAGAAAGGGACACTCAAAGGCTGCGGAAGTTATATGACAGCTGCGAAGCGCACAACCGCGCGTTGAAATCCTTAGGCGTGGGAGAAGAATCGTATTCCACTATTGTTGTACCGGCCATATTGGAGAAGATGCCTGAACAATTTCGGCTTATGATCACCCGAGGAACTGATTTCATTGAGTGGACGATGCAAGAAATGTTGGATGCGTTTGAGAAGGAGTTAGAACTGCGAGAGGCGCACGAAGCGGTGGCGACTAAAACGGAACGGGAGTATGAAAGAAATCAAAGCAGGAAACCAACTGGGGGTCTAGATAACTCGACAGCGGCGGCGTTGCTGGCTGGTCAAGAGAAAAAGAGTTGTGCATTCTGTTTAAAGAACCACGCGCACGGAATGTGATGGAGTCAAGGATCCAAAAACACGTAAGACCCTAGCTTTAAAGTATGGTAGATGTTTTCAATGTTTAATTAAGGGCCATAGAGCCAGTAATTGTAGTTCTAAAATTAAGTGTCGAAAATGCGACCGAATGCATCATGTCGCCCTATGTGATGCGTCTCTGAAAGACGAAGAGACCTGTAAGAATGAAGAAATCCCATCAACTAAGGTTAACAATAATGTAGCTAGCCCATGTAATAACTTGCTTGCCGGGACAGGTGGTCTGGTTGCCTTGCAAACTGCGCGCGGGGTATTAAGGGTGAGAGGGTGGCTAAGGTCCGGGTACTCTTTGATGGGGGAAGTCATCGCTCTTTCGTTACATCGCATGCAGCGAGTCTTGTTAATCCACGGGGTTTAAGAAGGGAATTTCTAGGCATTAATACGTTCGGTCAAAAGTGCACGAAGGCTGAACAAAGGGAAGTGGTCGAGCTTAAACTTCAGCCTGTTAATGGGGATAAGATTATCTCAATAGAAGCATATGTGGTACCAGAAATTTGCACTGTGCAGAATAGTCACGTAGAATTAGCTAGAAAGAATTATTCGCATCTAGAGGGGGTATGGTTCTCAGATGTGGTGAATTTTCAGGAAGAATTAGAGGTAGACGTTTTGATAGGGGCAGACTATCTTTGGAATTTCCAAACAGGTGAGACAAAGAAAGGTAAGACAGGGGAGCCCGTAGCTATACAAACTGAGTTGGGATGGGTGTTGTCAGGACCTCTTAGGGGAAGAGAGATAGAAGGTGCTGGAGTGACTCAGGTGAACTTTGTGGGGCAAACAACGAAATGGGACAGAGATAGCTTAGAAAGTAATGTGGAAAAACTTTGGAGTTTTGAAGGATTGGGTATAATTGAAGAGGACACAGTTCATGAAACATTTCTTGATGGAATATCATTCACAGGTAATCGATACTCAGTAAAACTGCCCTGGAAGGAGGATCATGACAATCTTCCAGACAATTACATGAATAGTCTTGCTAGAATGAAAAGCCAGTTGAAACGACTGGAAAAGGAGCCAGAATTGTTGAAAGAGTACGATAGGATAATAAGAGATCAGGCAGAGCAGGGAATCATAGAGCAGGTACCAAGTCTTGAGAAAGCAGGCAAAGTTCATTATCTACCTCACCAAGCAGTAATTCGTAAAGATGCAGTGACAACTAAGGTACGCATAGTGTATGACGCGTCCTCGAAAGGAATAAAATCTAAAACATCGCTTAACGACTGTTTGCATGTTGGACCATCGCTCAATCCATTGCTTTACAGTATATTGTTACGTTTCAGAGAAAATAGAGTAGCATTAGTAGCAGACATCGAAAAGGCATTTTTAAATGTAGAGGTAGACAAGGAAGACCGAGACTCTCTGAGGTTTTTATGGGTGAATGAGATTGCAAGCAGCGATAGGGAGGTAATGGTTTACAGATTTTGCCGTGTAGTATTCGGATTAAACTCATCGCCATTTTTACTCAATGCCACCTTGAGGCATCATGTCTCAAAGTACAAAGAAATAGACCCAGAGTTTGTACGTAAGGTTCTTGAAAGCTTTTATGTGGATGACCTGGTCAGTGGAGAGAGAAGTGAAGGAAAGCATTTAAGTTGTATGAGAATACAAAGACTAGGATGGCAGAAGGAGGGTTTAATCTAAGGAAATGGCTAACAAATAGCAAAGCATTGAGTGACCAGATTGATCGGAAAGAGAGAGGGATAGATAAGACAAACCCAGATGGCGGGGGAGAGAGTGAGACTTATGCAAAGTTTTCATTAGGAACAAAGGGGGCCGACTCTAAATGCCATAAGGTTTTGGGGCAGGTATGGGATAATTACGAGGATGAATTTAAATTTGAAGTATTTAGTCAGGTGAAAAGGCAAAGGCATTGCCACCAACAAAGCGAAGTTTGTTAAGTGTACTAGCTAGTCTGTTTGATCCGCTTGGCATAATTAGTCCAATAATTGTGTATGCAAAGATTTTGTTTCAAGAAGTCTGTAAGGAAAAAATTGATTGGGATGAGGAATTTGCCGGGGAAACGCGTAGGAAATGGGAAGCCTGGGTTAAAGACCTTTTAGAAGTTAAGGAGATAAGTACACCCCGTTGTATGTATGCCAGTCCAGTAGAGGAGGTTTTAGAGTGTAGTTTACATGGGTTTGGGGATGCAAGTAAAAAATCATATTGCGCTGTTGTTTATTTTGTGTGTCAAACGAGATTTGGGGTATATGTTCGGTTATTGACCTCCAAGGCTAGGGTAGCACCCTTGAAACAAACAAGCATACCCAGACTAGAGTTGATGTCAGCACGACTCCTTGCACAAGTAGTGAAATCAGTTAAGGAAGCATTTGAAAACCAGGTTAGGATAGATTCTACTTATTACTGGCTTGATAGCATGACAGCCCTGTACTGGATAAAGAATAGAGGTGAATGGAAGCAATTCGTAGCTCATCGTGTGAATGAGATTTTAAAACTGACAACGAAAGGAGACTGGGGACATTGTCCGGGTAAAGAGAATCCAGCCGATGTAGGTTCAAGGGGTGAATTAGGTACACAACTGGAGGGTAACCAGTTGTGGTGGTCTGGACCAAAATGGCTTACAAAGCCCAAAGAAGAATGGCCTAAGTTTGAGAGTGCGGGGAAGAGTCAGACGGTGGTAGAGGAAGAACGCCAGGTAGCAACGATGATTGTACAGGCAGACAGACAATGTAGTGTGAAAGATGTGATTGATATTAACAAATTTAGTAGTTCAGAGAAGCTTTTTGGAGTGACAGCATGCGTGATGAGATTCCTACGTAATGCTAGCGCAGGAGTAAAGAGAGTCGATAGGCAGTCTGGGGCTCTTTCAGTTGCCGAAATAATTGAAGCCGAAAAAATTTGGATTAAAGAAGCACAGGCAGAACTAAAAACTGAAAAGAAGTTCACCCAACTCAGTGTGAGTTTAAGGTTGAAGGAAGAGGAGGGTATCCTTAGGAGCCAAGGTAGATTAAAAAATTCAGATTTAGAAATTGACAACTGTTTTCCAATTATCCTGCCAAAAGAACATAGACTGACAGAGTTGATTGTCCGAAAATGCCATCAGGAAGTGCACCATTCGGGTGTACGTGCTACGCTGTGCAGGCTACGAACTAAATACTGGGTAGTTAAGGGAAGGCAGCTGGTAAAACGAATTGTGAGCCAGTGTGTAACTTGCAAAAGATTGGAAGGAAAAGCGTATAGCAGAGCACCACAAGCAGACTTGCCAGAATTTAGAGTCAGACAGGCCGCGCCGTTTTCGCAAGTCGGAGTCGACTTTGCAGGTCCGCTTTTTGTCAAACAGTCCGGTAATTGTTCGAACAAAGTGTATATTGCCTTGTTTTCATGCTGCGTGACCCGTGCAATACACTTAGAATTAGTGTGCAACTTATCAGCGGATACGTTTTTATGCTGTTTGAGAAGATTTGCAGCTAGGAGAGGGCACCCAGTCTTATAGTTTCCGATAACGCTATAAACGTTCAGGCAGCAGAGAAAGCATTGAGGAAGATTTGTAATGAGCCGAAAGTCAAATCGGAATTAGGAGCCAAACGAATAACATGGAGATTCAACTTAGAGAGAGCACCTTGGTGGGGAGGCTTCTTTGAACGGATGGTGCGCAGTGTGAAAAGGTGTCTTAGAAAGGTGTTAGGGAATGCAAAGTTGAACTTTGATGAGCTGAGCACAGTGTTAGTTGAAGTTGAAGGCACATTGAATGCGAGACCATTAACAGAAGTATTTGAAGAGCTAGAAGGAGAAGTGTTAACTCCTTCACACTTGATATATGGTAGAGCAATCCATTTAATCCCACAGAATGAGGTAGTCATAGGAGCGAGTAGCTGTGGGGAGAGATTTAAATATGTAACGTTAAAGTTGCAGCACTTTTGGAAAAGATGGAAGGGCGAATATTTAACGGGACTTAGAGAGTTTCACAAGTGCACAAACGGAGGAAAGTTAAGGAAGGTCCAGAAAGGAGATGTAGTGACAGTGTTCGGAGAAGGCGAGAAAAGATGTACCTGGAAGTTAGCAGTAGTAGAAGAGTTAATTGTAGGGAGGATAAGGAAGTTAGAGGAGCAAAGGTTAGGCTTGCAGGTAAAGGAAAACCACGCTTCTTAAACAGACCAATTGAGAAGCTTTTCCCATTGGAAGTTCAATCTCGACCGGGTGGGGAAAGGGAGGAAAGGGACATCCCTACAGCTAAGCCAGAGGGAGACCAGCATGAACGAACAAGACGAGCGGCAGCCATAATTTCAAAAGCGAAAACAAAGGCGATGCTTGATTCATAGACGTGTATGAATCAAGGTGGGTGGGGTGTTGTAAGTTCCCAGCGCAGAACACCAGTCCACGGAGCGCGAGTTAATATGTAGTAAAACTTTATGTAAAATATCTGATTTGGGTAATGTGATCTAACTAGTAATTGTAATATGATATAGGGATATACCAAATAATGACCCATTGTATATATAGCAAAATGAAATGTAATCTATCGATAATAAATCAGAATATACAGTCCCTTCGAGTGTGAACGTTTGATGAACCAGAAAGGCAGAATAAACGAAAGATTCTGCAACAGGGCGCAAATACCTTTATCGGCGATCATCGCTTTATCCTCGTTAGATAACTTCGAGGTCATGTTCCCCAACTTTCTCGCCTCATCTTGGGAGAGATTTTCTTCGTACTTTTCCTAGAAAAGAAAAGTACAATTTTATGAGAAATTTATCTGATTTCAAAAGGTAGGTTTAATAGTCAACGTTTTTTGAGGTCTGATATAAATCACTCACATCAGGGTTCATGGTCATGTAAAGTCGATGAGTATTCTCTTGAAAGTCTTTGGCAACTTTGCCTTGCAAGAATCGCTCGGACTTGATTGACTCCTTAGAGAAGAAAGAGCTACACTAAGATTTCTGTGTCTATAATATTAACACAGAAAGTTTTTGCTCGGTCAGAGGGAATATAATAAAACAGGATACCGTAAATCGATCCACATTTCTGTTGATTTGTAGAAATTCTGTGGGATCACCGCCATGGTTCCAGGAAGACATTAAATTCTATAATCAAGAAGTATAAAATAAGTTGATTTAACTTTATATTAGTTCATTGTACCTTGTCCTAAGGGGTAAAGTAATCACTGACATTATATTTTCCATCGCAAGGAGTATCAAAATCATTCTTTCTGAACTGGATGGGACTCTGGACGGCACCGAATTGAATGCAGAACTACGCTAAGATTTCATGAAACTCTACTGAACTCGGAACTCAAAAGAACTCCAAACGCTACTGAATTCTAGTGAATTCTGAATTCTACTGAAATTTAAATCCGGAATTCAGAAATTTTTCTAAATTCATAACTTCCTAAAACTAAAACTGAAAATACACCTTACCGCGATAAGATTCAGACCAAAATTACTGCTCTGGTGTTTCTGCGATAACTGAATTCGGTGAAGGATAGCATCGATTCTCTCTTCTTCAAAGCCAGTTCTAAAGATAAATTTCTTCTAAGAATCTACCCGGACAAGCGCACGTCTCTGTATATGCACTAGCTTGTCGCAAAAGTGAGGCTTACTCGACAACGTTCTTGAATGTTTGTTCCACGATATTCCAAACCTCTTCGACACGATCTTTGTGAATACCTTGCAAGCCAACAGAGAATGAACTATCCCTTGTGCTGGAGTCAAAACTAATACAAAAAAAATAGATTTATACTCTTTGGAGGAGTAGGTGAGGAGTACGTTTGGTTGCACAAGAAAAGACCTTTCCATGAATCAAGCAAAAGCAGTATGAAAAATTTTACACGAGATTTCATTGCCTCAAAAACAACACGTGTCGTTCTTCATCGAGTTCAATTTATGTTAACATCTGTGTTACTGCGTTTAAATTCGTTGTGAGAAAGCGTTGTTTTGTCCTTACCCAGTGGCCGGTGAATAATCAGACCCAATATTTGGCTCAATTAAAGCTTGATAAAACGGAGATGTTGGTCCATCAACCAGCAGTGACGATACGATACTGTTTGTCAGACCTTCGAATGCATCAACATTGCTAAAATATTTCGAAACACTTTCTAAGAATCTCATGTGTTTATGATTTGTGTTGATGTATATTAACTGATATCAAGTGTTTGTGAGTGTTGAAAAGTGTGGATGAGCGTTGATCAGTGTAGATGAGCGTTGATTTGTGTTGATGAATATTGATATCAAGTGTTAACGAGTGTTGAAAAGTGTGGATGAGCGTTGATCAGTATAGATGAGCGTTGATTTGTGTTGATGTATATTGATATCAGGTGCTTATGAGTGTTGAAAAGTGTGGATGAGCGTTGATCAGTATACATGAGCGTTGATTTGTGTTGATGAATAATGATATTAAGTGTTTATGAGTGTTGAAAAGTGTAGATGAGCGTTGATCAGTATAGATGAGCGTTGATTTGTGTTGATGTATATTGATATCAGGTGTTTATGAGTGTTGAAGAGTGTAGATGAATGTTGATCGTTGACGAATGTTGAGTGATGATATAGGTTGATGAGTGTTGAAGAGTGTGAAAAATGAATGTGAAATGTTGATAAATGTTGATGAGTGGAGATGAATGTTGGGTGTTGATAAAGATTGGAAGGTGTCAATAAGGTAATTCATTCATTATGATCAATTCTGATCTAGTTTTATTTCTGATGAAGAGTTTTGGGCCTGGGATTGACGGCTGGGAAAATAAAAGTTAACGTATGGTAAGCTTAATTTGAACATCAATTCTGGCAATAAAGACAACTGAAGACTTACCCATCTAAAAGGTAGCTCACACTGGTCGTTGTCTGTTTCTCCGGGTCTGGTGCCAGAGGATCAGGAGCACATGTTATACTCACAGTTCGCTAGCAATATCAAAAAGCAAAATTTATAGCAAAACCAGCCCTCATTACATAAACAAATTGAGTGCGAGTCCAGCAATTACCGGATCTTTCCAACGAGGTTCTTGCGGGATTTCTGTATCAACCTGAAGTTGATCAAAACGAGACAAACCAAGTTCTTCGATTGCCTCCAACTGATTTTCCAGTGGTATATCACCGTACGTGTAGAACCTACACAAAGCAAAATTCATGATGGCGAATTTAACACGTATTTCATGACAAAATAAGATGCATTTTTTTTATCGTTTCAGGATTAAGACCCATTTACACGTGCGATTTTCTGTGCCATTTTCCTCTTTTGATAGATGTGAACGAGTAATAAGTTACGAATGCTTTGATGTGTACAAGCCCCGATGTGTACATCAGTAACTAATTCACTCGTTCACATCTATCAAAAGCAGAAAATCACAGCAAAAATTGCAAGTGTAAACGGGTGTAAACCTTACAAACCTTGAATTACTGGGATGATAGTGGCTGGCATGAAACTGCTTCAGATGATCCCACTAAAACAACGGAAGATTACAAACATATAGCTTCATTTTGTGGTTCAAGAGTCTGCATATAGATAACTGGTAAAATCTGCACCAGCAATGACTTAGAGACTTGATTGATTAATATTCAGAAACACTGACCGTTAAATCTGGAATATTGATTGGTTCTCCACCGCTGTTGAAACCGTACGTGTGATGAGGAAGAAGCGAACTTTGAAGATTGCGAGCATAAAGCATCTCTGGATTAGACTATGAGTTTAGGAGAAGAAACGTTTAAGACGAATGCTAAAATGTTAAGGTTTAGGTTTACCCTCTCCCCTCTCCAAGGAATAAGCCCCCACCTACCTATCCTCACCCACTCTGCCCCTCCTCCCTAGAAAACTGATATGTTAACGACTCTATAATTTGCCAGGGCAGAGAACAAGCCTTACCATAGCACCTTTCATTTCATTGAATACGACCCCTTTGAATGTCAGAGGCGATTGGGGATCGTTCACGTCTTCGTGCTCAAGGCGCCAACCCTCTTGCCTAACAAGAAATTGCAGATCAAAAAACAAGCCATTTATTTATGAAAATCCCATACATCGTTCTGTAAGTAATATTGTTTACATTGGCAACACTAAAGTCTCAATGTGCCAGGCAGAACGGACGTAATTACCAGAAATCCAGTTCGGCAAGTCTCGGAAAGAACACAGCATCAAGATACACAGAAAGCAAGTTCTTGAAATCTTTGGGATTTTGAGAAGAGAATGGATACATCGTATAATCACTTGCTAGAAATAAGACGTTCAAGTGTCAGAAGCATTCTATCCTTCCTCCAGCAGGCTTGAATTTTAGATGTGTACGAGTTCTACTACATATTATACACAGTTGCATATCAAATACTTTCGTTGCTGACCTGTCCAAGCGTTCATAAAAGTGGACAATGATCTTGTAAGCATTGAAAAGAATGGATCTCGGCAAGGAAACTTCTCTGAACCACACAAGGTTGTATGCTCCAGGATATGAGAAACACCCGTATTATCCATTGGTGTCGTACGGAAACCAACGCTAAAATGTCAATTTTACGATCATTGGAAGCAATTAAACTCAAGACCCGATTTTCGGTGAAATTTTCTCCTTTTGATAGAAGTAATTAGTTATGAGTGCTTTGATAAACAAGAGCTCTTATTTGAACATCGCTAACTAGATCTCACATTTGTACATAGTATTCTTAACTATTGTAATTGTGTGACGCCCCTCATGAAAACCATCGACAGATGATGAGGGTAGCGTGGTTAATAGTAGGTGGTCTATTCTATTTTTATTATTATTCACATCTATCAGAAGATGAAAATCGCACATTAAATTGCAAGTGGAAGCAAGCTTTAAGAGTGTGTGTTAGCATCAAAATTTTTAAACTAGAATCTTTTAATTACCTGAAAACGTTGTTTGGATCATCTCTAGCAATGTGCAAATGCTCAGCACCAGTTTTGTTATGTCGTAATTTTACTGATACTAAATAAAGTTCTGGGACAGGAACAACCTATTGATGAGTACGAAAAAATGAAGTCAACAAACGTAAATAGACCAGTGCAGACACTGGTGCCAAGACTGGGCACTCCAGCAAGCCTTGCATGGCACCATGCAATGGAATAAATATGTTAAAGTAATCATAGGAATTAACTGCCGAGATTACCGAACTGCTAGAAATTACCGTTACCAAAAATACCACTGATCGATCACATTTAGGAAGGGTTGTATAAAAATTAAGACTACATAACACTATCCAATACCGGATAACAATTTCTTTCAACCAATTCAAGAATACTCAAGTTTAATCAGAGTTATACAGAACCACTTGCAATTTCAGTTTTGGCCCCAGAAGCTGTTCATCAGTTCATCTACAAATCTTATTAACATATCAAGACTATACCTTTTCTATAGTGTAACCTAACAGTTGTTGTCCAGATTTAAATTCATCTAAATGGATGGAAATATTGTGTAGCTTTCTGCTCAAGTAATAAACCATATATTAGGGTTATAGTAATATTAACCTCAAGTGTTAATTACCACCCAAAGCTAGCTGATGGATCTCATTCTGTGTGCACAACAATTCCACTTTGAAAATACTTACGAGCTCTCTGTAATACATTTGATTTTGTTTCTTGGTTATGCAGCTTATTATTAGTAGAAAAATATCTACACAAAAAAATTAATTCTCTATTTCAATGCTCTGAATGAAAAAACGAAAATAACCAATATCAAATGATAATTTCATGTGAATTGATAAGCTAGCATTTTGTGCAATATGAATTTACAATTGGTCTCAGAATGGATGAAATAATTCAACCATTATTCAAAAATCATTCAGCCTTTCATTTCGCTACCATGACCAACATATTACATGTAGATGCTTGAAGACCCTGTGTTTAATCAATATTAGAACTTGCAGCAAATAAATTAATCTGCCCAGGATTATAGACGGTCACAGATTATAATAATATACTCAAAGGTAATAGATTTGTAGGTAATAGATCAATGATTTTGTTAATGTATCCATTATTGATAAATAAAATCCTCTGGCATTATAGACGGTCACAGATATAATAATATACTCAAGGTAATAGATTGGTAGGTAATAGATAAATAGTTTTGTTAATGCATCCATTGATGAATAAATCATTTGACATACATCTATATGAAATACTACAGTATGGTACTTCTGACTGCAAAGTTTGCCGGGTTAAACATGATGCAAATATGATTACCATGTAAATGGGAATGGATTGACCATTCATTCATTGATAAAATAGCTAAAAAAGTGCAAATACTGTTTGCCATACTACACGACACATTAACAAACATCTACCCAATACAAAATACCAGTAGATCAAACAGAATTCAGTTTGAATATACTTCTTAGAACGAACCTGGATCGAATCATTGAGTCACCATGTCTCCTAAGACCATTTATGGCGAATAAACGTCTTTGGCAACGCCACATTTTTATGACTATTCCACTAAGCTATATTTTACGAGTCTATTATGCCAAAACCTTTTATATATACCGGTCGAAGATTATCAACGTGCAGACATTTTACAAATATATTTGCTGTAACAATATTCGGAAATATCCAGTAGGATCGGTTACTTCATATAACATAAAACCTAATGGCTTCCTTTAGCGAAGTAAAAATATATCAAGAAGACCCAACCATTTTGCATTTTCCTTTCATTTCCCTCGACTTTGAAATAAACTTTGAACATCGTAATAAGAAACGGACAGCTTTTGATATGCGATTAATATTTTTTCAATTTAGTTAAAAAGTTTTCTTATTATATACAAATTACAAACTATATTTACATAATATTATACTAATATATGTATATGCTATATACATTTTTATTTAAAAGTGCACGACTAAAAAACTTATGTCTTATTCCGACAAGTAAAACTCTCTGTTAAACAGATAAAACATTGCCAGAAAATCAACGTCTTTCGCAATCATTTATGGCAGATTCATTGCAATTCACCGACCAAACAGGCCAAAGAAATTTGTGGGAGGAATGCGATGGAGACATGGTTGAAAATTCCTGCCGGATTTTCACTTATAACGGAAAGACTGCGGAATAATGCTATCTTCTGTTCAGCAGACCAGAGGTGTTCGTATAAACCTTATCGGAAGTTGTTCTCGTGTTTCCAAACCGACTTGTGCCTGGTGACGGCTGGTGAAACTTTGATGAACTGTTCTACAAAAACAGGAAGAGAAAGAATTCAACTTCACACATTCAAAAGAAGAATTAGCGTGAAATTAGCCTAAATATAAAAAACTATTACTTTCGTGTCCGATCTAACTGTAATTTGAAGTAATTAATAGTATTTTCCTCGCGCTAAATGCTTTAAATGTTTTGTCTAGTCAAACGAAAGTTTTTTTCGCACGGAGCGGTTCTCTTCCCACGATAAACGTTCTTTTCCCATGAAAAGTGTTCTTCTCCCGTGCGAAACGTTCTAATTGAATTTTTCCCACGTTTGCTACATTTATCATACATTTTTGCAACATATTTCGTTTGGAACGTTTTTGCGACATTTTAGAATGTTCTAAACTAAAATTGCTACTTTGCTCTATTCTAAAGAACAATTATTGTTTTTACAATAAAAAGGACGCGTTTTTTAATAATATAAGCTTAAGCGTGCATTTTTTTGCACGCACTGAATAAATCTATTTAGTACTGTACCTTATTTGTCTGAATGGTGGTATTTCTGGGACTTTTTACAATCTTCCCAGCAAATGCTTCTTGAACTAAAAAAGCACGCATCAAAGCATTTTAATATGTGAATGAGACGAACAAGATATTAATAAGATGTCTTCCAAATTCCACACCTTTTAAGCGCTCGTTGAGACGGTCTAGAGACTCTAATAGTCTTCTCTCTTCTAAGGATAAAGCGCTTGGTTCTGAAGATAAAAAGGTATTATGTTAGACTAACTCATTCCCATGATGTATGAAAGAGAGAGAGAGTAATCTAATTACGACGTGTACGCCTACCCTTTCTATAATTCATAATGATTGGTTGATGTACGCCTTGGTGGTTGGAGTTCTTTTGAGTATCGCCTTCGGTGTTGCGAGTTTTAATATCAGCGGATGCTTGCATGACTGCCTGAAACTCAGCGTAGGACAGCTGTGGTCGTACATCGGGCTTTGTAGTGTTTGATTTCACCGGCCCCCGGGAACTTGTCTGTGGCCCTCGGAGAGAATGCAAATACTGTGGATTAACCGGGGGGCGTCCGGCATGCGAATTCCGGGGAGCTATCCTCCTCTCTGACGTACTATTTCGATGCTGAAGTAAAGATCCTCTCTTCGGGGTCGTATAAACTGAACTCTCGGTAGACCCACGACGTTGTAAACTATCCAGTGACCCCTGCCTGCGGAAATACGTGCTACCTGTACCCCTTGAATATCTTGTCTCGCTGTCAGAGCCGTTTGGTTTCGCCGCCCAGGCATTACCGTCGATTAGATAATGGTTTCCAACAAGAGGCCCAGAATCCGATCTGGAGTACCGTACGTTCACCACGGAATCTGAAGCAGCTTTTTGGGGCTGCTCGTGTTTCAAACATGTTCGCACTGTCTCCCAGAGATGGTTTATTTCTTCATCCGTAGGAGTTTTATCAAGGTATCCCAGGCCTTCGCTGTTCAATCTTTGCTTCTTTTCAAAAGCATTTGGCGGGGGGTGAAGGCCTCTAGTATCTTCTGAGGGGACACCATACACCCGGCTACCACCTTGGTAGGGAGGTGACTGGTAATCAGTCTTGGAATTGGGACGAGCGCTAAGAACGCGACCTTTGTACGTGGATGGATGTTTATCGCCATTTGAATTAGCTGTTTCAAGATCTCTGTTTTGGGTTTCTCCAAAGTCGATATCGCCTGCCTTTCTTCGGTTAACGATCCCTGAGTCTGATCCACTTCTAGTGTGAAGTCGTTTGGAGTTTCCATTTATTTTCTTGCTTTCCCCTAGTTTCGATTTGGGGCTATTTGAAATCCTTCTATTACTAAGTCTCCGTTCGCAGCTTGCAACAGCTGCAGACCTAGGGATGTTTCTGTTCTCTAACACGGTGCCCTTCTCGGAAGCTTTTAGCCTACGACTGTTATCCGAGTTAGCACGATTGTGGCGATTCTCGGGAGTAGTCGATTTGTAAAAACCATTCATTTGAACAGTCGGTTTCAAACTGGAGCTGTTCGTCCCTGTCTTCGTTGGTTGTGATGGCGTCATGCTCAAACGTTCAATATTCTCTTGAACACTCTTGAGCAACTCCTCTGCAGAGCCGGTCCTCCTTGAACTAAAATTTTGTTGTCCGTTGTCTAGCGATGGCCTATAGGAATGCTGGCTTGTTAATCCAAGTGCATTTTGAACAGTTGAATTGCCGAGGTTTGTCCTAGCCTTCGTTTGGACAGCAGATGAGGTTTCACCTATAGTCTTGGTGGGCCTCTCCGTTCCTTGATATCCCTGGTTTAAGGAACTTTTAGGACCGTTTGAGTACGCAATTCCAGTATAATTTGGGATACCAACAGTTGTACTTGAAGATCTTGTGTTTTCCCTCGTCCCACGAGTGTCCAAAATGTTACCGGTGTTGTGTGTTGAAGTCCCCACATTGTCATTCACTCCGTTAACGTTTAACAGGGTTTGTCGTTCATGATAAGAAGAATTACTATCATATAGTGCTTTAGTCCTACCATTGTCAGATTCGACATGCTTTTTGCCTTGCTCTGGTACAGCATTGCGACTGTTTCTTGAAAATTCTGGCTCGTGATTGTATATGCCATAACCATCTCGTGAAAACGCCTCAGAGTTGCCATCAGAGTGAAATCGTTTTCCACCTGAATCAAACCGACCATCGACAGCAATCTGCTCTTTGTGTGGAATATTTCCAGCGGAATAAGATAAAGTATTTGTGTGAACATTACTCGGTGCTTGGACCTCGTTGCTGTCCGTTCGTAAAGCCTTGTATAGAAAATCTCTTTTGGTAATGGGTACGAGCGGTGTGTCGGGAGGTACGTCTGCCGGAGTGGAAGAAGCATGACCAGACGAAATGTCTCTATTGGCGGAAGGGTTTGTTTCGACTCTCGAGTCATTATGGCTGGCCCTCGAGTCACTATGCATTTCAAGGCTGTCTTTCAGCATCGATGCGTTTATCGACGAGAATGGCAAGGATGAGGCTGGCCGTCCGTTGGACTTGTGGACTCCATTGTGACTGTGCATGTTATAATTATCACCGTTTAGACCTTCCTTGTTACTCTGCTGTAGATTATGATCCATTTTACGGCTATAATCCTTCTCGTTACCGCTAATCTTTACAGCGTTGCCCGTTTGGGACTCTGTATGAGGGGCTCCGTTTACTTTCGGTGAATTTGGCAAAACGTGAAGCGCATTAGCTCTCGGTTCGGCCCTGGTAACAGTAGGCGTCGAATTGCTACCTCGTGGTTGCCGGGTATCTTCACCCGCAAACGGTTGCCGGGTATCTCCTCCACCCGATGGCACTCCCGCTGGTTGTCTACCGTTGCTTGAGTAGGTCATAACGCCGGTGGTACCAATATCCGATACGTTGACATGAGGGTAGTTTTGAGGGGACGTCATCGCCGTGTTTATTTTTGACTGCCTGGGTAAGAAATGATTCATTATGAGACTATCTTTCGAAGACTCTAAGCCTGTACCGTTCGCCTTCAGCTCAAGACCACTGTCCATATTGGAACTTGTATTATTATTGTCAGGAAACTCGAAATAAGATTTCTGCGCGTGCATAATCGACGAATCTACCATAGAATCTGCCATTTGTATTGGTTTGAGTGTCCCGACCAACCCATCGCTGAATACGACATTTTCGTTAAACGTTACACGGCTGTCGCGTTTCCTCTTGTTGCCCTTACGGATAATGCCCGCGATCGGGCTGCAGTCAGATGCGGGCATTGTTTCCTCGTCAGCCACCGCGTCGAGGCTATCGACACTGGACAGACTGCCTGACGGGGAATTATGCCTGATGGTAGCAGGCAGGACGCCGGCAGTGATATCCTTCGGCTCGTCTGTGAACGCCATTTTCGGCTCGATTCGGCCGACGACTTGACTGCGAAGTTTCTCCTGCTCACGTTGTTCAGCGGCTATATCTCTGGGCTCAATGACGTCAGGATTTTGATCACGTGCTTTGCTATCACCGCTGTCGAGTCTATCAATCACGTCAGCGCGATCTGCGTGAAGCAAAGCCATGACTTCTTCGACGGAAGGGTAGTATGGTTTCCCATTGATAACTTTCGGAACTTTAGCGGACACTGGACGAGTGTTGTCGTGTTTTACTGAAAAGAGATTGCAACGGTGTAATTACAGGGGGGAACCTGAACAAAACAACCTTTTTTAGTCTTCAAAGATAAAAACTGTTCTTCCTAAAGGTCCAGTAAGGATCATCTCTTATTGATCCAGTGTTACTACTGGAGGAAACCTGAACTAAAATAACTTTATTTATACTGGATAGCTCTATCGGTTCTAAACCGTTCTTCTTAGAGGTCCAGTTAGGATAATCTCTTATAAATCCAGTTAAACCATATTTTGAAACCACACTTATTTCGTGGTACAGTACCTGTTTTAGTTGGTGTCGAAGTGCGTTCTGAATGTTTCGATCTCTTTCTATTTCTTATAATGTTTGAACGTTGAAATTTTTCTGTAGCTTCTTGTATTTCCTTCTTTCGTTGTGCCAAGATTTCCCGTCGTTTTCTCTCCTCCTCTGCCTCATAATTTTTACGCCGATCTTCCAATGCCCTACGATCAAAAAGATAAGAAAACACGTATTTTATTATATGCTAGAAATAAAGGCCAGGATAGATGAAGTTATCAAATAAAGTTAGTTTAGTTTAGGTTTCCTTCTGTAGCAACACTGGATTAATAAGAGATGATCCTTACTGGACCTCTAAGAAGAACAGTTTAGAACTGATAGAGCTATCCAGTATAAATAAAGTAAGTTTAGTTTACGTTTCCTCCTGGATCAATAAGAGATGATCCTTACTGGACCTCTAGGAAGAACAGTTTGGAACTGATAGAGCTATCCAGTATAAATAAAGTTAGTTTAGTTTAGGTTTCGTTCTGTAGTAACACTGGATCAATAAGAGATGATCCTTACTGGACCTCTAGGAAGAACAGTTTAGAACTGATAGATCCTATCCGAAAGATACAGTAAGTATACTGTTGCTTAGTTTAAGGTTTCTTGCAGCTGAAATTTTCCTCTCACCTTCGTCTTCGGTTAGTGTCACGAGAAAGCTCCTTAGTCTTTTCCAACTTTATATTAAATTCCTGTCTCTCCTCATCTTTGAGATTGTCAACCTTCTCTTGGAATGCAGCTCGATATTTAGCGCTAGTAGAAAGTCAGGGAACTCACAACCAATGTTTTTACCTAAAGATATATTTCTTGTAGCAAATCCAAACTGTTGGATTTTAGCAATCAACAATAGATTATGCAAATGCCAATTTAAGATTATCACAATTTTTCAATGCAAAAGACAATAAAGAAATAATCACATATAATAGATTTAATTTCATAAAGATCTACAAGTAATCACTTAACTGATTAGACAGCACTCAGACTGCTGTTTCCATGGCAATGTAGCCACAAAATGCAAGACATATATGAATGTTCAATTAATTATTAAGATCCTCAAACCACGACTGGTTTATATAAAGTATGACTGCATAAATTATTCTGGTCAGGTGAAAAATGATTGGATAGACGTTATTCTAATCCCACATGAAATTACTGATTAACATGGTAGCAATATGGAAAACCACATGAAAAACTGATTAACATAGCAGAATATCTTTGCATTTTACCCTGTTTTTAGATTATGTAATAAACATACTTTTTTTCATGCTTTTAGGGTTTGAGCATATATTACATAATAAAATATCTCCTACAGGTTTTAAACAGAAATGCACCCAGTGTGGCCTAGCTATTACTCCCTTGTCTAATTACAAGCTCAAAAGGTCTCATTTGTCAAAGAGCGACATGGCTAGCCTGGAAATTTAGTCCAGCTATGCTGGTTTCAAGTTATTACAATTATTCGTTTTCTTTTTCTACCATGATTCTCTACAAGGTCAATGATCTCCAAATGATAAGCTATAGCAGGACTTAATCATCACATCCACTATACTACGGCAGCTTACAGCCCTAAGGGGTAAACATTTGCTAAAGTATGTCGTTAACTCAAAAAAAGCGGCAATGCACTTGGTAATCATACTATTTTACTTTATGCTTAATCTACCATCAAACAATTTTATTTGTCACAGAAAAGTAATAACCTGGATATTGTTGGATATTCACACCCTAATATAGTCCGATGGTAGACTAAACAACATTCTAGATTAGGCCACATCGGCAATTTTCGGGGCCCTATGATGTATATGAACCCATAATCAGACTTCCTGCGTATGCACATGGATAGATCAATCAACCTTAGATAAAAAAGATCGAATCTCTGAGCACATGATTTTGTACAGTTAAAATGTAAACAAGAGGAAGAATTTACAATGTATCTGATATAATTATAGTTTGATGCTATCTCACATAAGTATAGTTTGATCTGAAGATGGGACATGCTATCATGCATGCAAACCATGGGTATCCCCTGGATTAGGTTTTTTACTTGATGACCTTACTCTTAAGACAAATCTGTTGGTCATTTAGTTCTTAATAAGGGGCCATAACAAGCCGTGACTTCCCTTGGTTTAATAATTTTCAATAGTAACTATCAAGGTACCTAAATAGCTATATTTACTATATCAAATGTAATATGGGGACCGTCCTGAGAGCGAACTCGAAGATTTAGGCTCAATATTAATACACAGATGTATAAAACAAGCCTTTTGAAAGGAAATTACTATACTAAAGATTTCCTTCTTCGAACAATTCAGCATTAAAGTATTACACACCGTATCTAAAGACAGGACATACCGTATTTACTTTTCGTCTATACTAAAATCAAGCGCAAATAACATAGCAAAAAGGATACGAATAGGCGCCTTGTAAAAGCATAATATGTTTCTATCATCAAGCGTCCATTTCTCGTACATGTTCTCCCCAGAAATATAATTTTAAAGCTTCACGCCAAGTAAAACTCGAAGGTAACCAAACGTATGTTTTCATCTCTTGACAACAACCGTGTTCATACTAATTATGTTAATTTATGTAAACTGCTGATTTCGGGTCGGAACTTGCCGGATTATGTTCGGAATTTGACGTCAACAAAGCAATTTTGCAGAGTTAGCAGTATTTCGTACACTGATTTCGCTTTAAATAACTTGTTTTTGTTAGTTTTTTTTAAAACCAATTTCAGCATTGGAAAATTGGAGCATTTTAAAACACCAAGGCCATGAATTAAATTGAATTGTATTTTATCTAACGATTTCCATTTTTGTGCGCAGCAAATGCTAATTTATGACGTCATGAATTACATCGGATAGCCTCGAAGATGTAAAAAAAACAAAAATAAATGAAGCATTTTCTGTGGCTTTTTCCGAATTGAAAACAGCGCCGCATGTCTTCGCCTACAAAGCAAGTTAGCACAAGAAGACTCCCGCCATTACCGAATCAAAATAGTGGTGGGAAATTGATTCTTCGCTCGTCGAAAACGACATCGGATGTCGAAGAACGCGAAGCGCTTCTAGCGAATGTCGGCGTCTCCAGCTCAAGTGCACCTCGAAATTCCATGGAAAGCCAGGAAACCAAAGGTACGTTATGCTGTAGTTATTTTGTTACGGCAGATTAATTTTCAAACAGTTATTACAGACTGACAGTGCATCGAGGACTAGGAGAAGCACATTAAAAGACTAGGAGTGGTATTTAAAAGATTAGGAGAAGTAAATCGAGGATTAGGAGAAGTACATCAAATATTCGGAGTTGTAGATCATAGATTAGGAGTAATAATACATCAAGGATTATAACAAGTACATGAAGGGTTTGAAGTATCAGATCGAAGATTAGGAGAAGTTCATTGAGGATTAGGACAAGTACATCAACGATTAAGAAGAGTAGATCAATGATTAAGAGTAGTACATAAAGGATTAAGAAGAGTACATGAATGATTAAGAGTAGTACATCAACGATTAAGACTAGGGGATTAACACTGAGGATCAGGAGCAGTGGGTTAGATTAAAAATAGTTCATCAAAGTTTAGGATTGAGAGTGGTACATCGTTTCATTTCAGAGATGACAACGATTGAAGTTGTTGATTTTCTAAACAACAATCCGAAAGTACTCGAGAACTACGTGTTGGAATCCGTGAGCAGAGAGCAACTGGAGAAATTGCTGATACGAAAAATACACACACAGAAATCTGACACGAGAGAAAATAGCGAACGTATGTTCACAGATCATCTCAATCATCCAAGTATATTAATGTAAATTAATATAGCAAATATAAACCATACATTCACAAAATTCTAGATATCCAATCAATCTTTCGTTAAACACAACTTCAGATTATACTCTAGCTGACATACCTTCAGTAATTTTCATCGCATCCATGTTTAACTCCTGTAAGACTCTGTAAGATTTCTTGAAGTCGATGACTCACAGAGTTTGTTCGGTGTAAATACACGATAGTTTTGATCCTAGAGAATGAGAGAATTGTTAACTCTAGAATACAATCTACTTTTAGACTCTTTATCGTCCTTGTCCAGATGGAAGGTAAGATTACATTGCGTAGAGCTTATCGCAGTATACGGTTGTTTAAAAGCTGGCTAAATGCGAAATAATACGAGCAAAAAAATACACAAACTTGCAACAAAATGTGATTTCAAAGCATGTTAATTGTAATCTTGGCCAATGTTGTCCAAATATTGTCGCAACCCTTGCTTTAATATTTCTAATTAACATGCGTTGAAATCAGATTAGGTTGCATAGTTTTGCAACTTCTTCGCCCCAACCTAATCCTGGTTCAACTTTCTTTAGTTTTGCGTTCATTCGGACAAGCAAAAGACGCTTCAACATTTGACACAGGAAATTCATCGTCAGCCCCAAAAAGCTAAAGTCATGTACGAACTTGTAAAATGCATTGCAATAGGTCAGTGATAACATCGCATTGGACAGGGCTTATCATGAAAAATGTACAGAAAATTCGATGGTTTATCTAATCTATATTTTCTTCTTCATTTTCAGCGACTCATGCGAACAGATTTTCCCTTTATCTTGTTAGCAAAAACGAGAAGGTATTTAGAACGAATTATGGCTGGGTTTTTCGATCTAATGCTTTTCTTTTTAATGGACGAATCTTCTTAAACATTTCATTTGTAAAAAACAGGAAATTTATCTTTATACCGAAGACAGTGAGCAAAGGTAAAAGGTCTGATTCACTTCATATGAAGTTTGTGAAGTTTGGGGTTTCACACCACAAAACTGAGGATTTGTTTTGGAAGCGAATATAAGCCATTTATAGCATGATTTATCTAAACCACCACGTCTTCTAGGACAACTCAAGTCAACCAGCAAAAGATAACTGAGGGGACTACGGTGTGCGCGTATGTCGCCTCAACCATGACTGGTATTCTAGTTCGTGATATTCTGGGGGTATGTCAAGACTTGCATAGCGTTCTCTCATTTGACCGTCAGAGAGACACTGGAGTGTTCGCCTATATCTTTATATCATTATGTTATTGCAGGATGAAAGATTTCCAGATGGAATTGGTATTGAAGGTAGGCTATGGTATGGTGTGGTGTGGTGTGGTATTGTATGGTATGGTATGGTATGGCGAGCTTTGATATGGTATGATATTGTATAATTTGCGGTGTGCTTTGGAATTTTAGATAGCATGGCTCAATCAGTGATATGTCAGCCAATCATTCAATCTGATGGGAAGCTTGCAGGTATACAATGACTGACAGCTATCAAAATGAAGGAAAACGGAAGGAACTAAACTTATCTATATCTTGTTAAATATTTTAGGCATTGCGGAGCTGGTTCGTGTGATTGGAAATTCCCCTTTTGAACCTGAGGATGACGAGGTAATGATCGAGAGAAGTGTTGTACAAGATGACGGGTAACGATAGACCTAAGGAAATCCGTGTATGAACTTTGCACACATTTTCTTTCAGATTACAACAAGTTATTTGACATGGGGTGGAATAACGATTCATTACGCTCAGGTGTGGTAGAAGATAGTTAGTTTAACAAACCATTGAAGCACTTTTTCGATTCAAGACTAATTCTTATTCCCGTAATCTTTGCCCTTGCACAATGCTTAGATCTTCAAGGAGATGCAACGACAAAAGAATCTACACAATTTTCTTTTGGATGTGATAAAGTATGCAAAAATTTTCACATTTTATCTCAACTAGCAGCCGTGTTTTCCGTGGAAACATGAATTATTATATCAGTGCAATCGCCTTATCTTTTAAAGGTCTTTGTTTGATGAAATGGACACAGTTGATGGCGTTATTACGAATGTGATGGTATGTTTACAGTTTACTACGCTCAGAAATTCCGCATCAAATATAGTATAAAAAATTGCTTAAAATAGACAGAAACACTTCTCAAAGTTTCATCAACCTAGGGCCTTCGTCAAAAGTGTTTAATGCATGGAATTTTGAATGGTTTTTTCATTCTTCTGCTTGGTCAAAGGCAAATTTTTTCCCAGCTGAGAGCATAAATGAAACAACTGCGTCCAAATTGGACATTTAGCATCACTACCATAAGTAATACCCGACAATTTTTTGCTGGTAGTATGTGCCAGTCACTGGCCTGTATCTAGTATAGGTCAGTGGTGCCAGTTCACTGGTATTTGATTGCATCGAACCTACTTGCGAATGACTTAATAACGATTATCACGACAGACGTACGCAAAGCGTCTCGTGGATGCTGATAGATGTGCAATGTTCCTTACGGATGAAGTCACAGAGGAGCTCCACGCTGATCTCTTCGATGAAGGAAAACTGGATGAAAATGGGCGCGGTATATTCTCGAAGGGAAAGGAAATAAGGTACGAAAAAAAAAGCCAAAAAAGTTCCGCTTACAACATTGAACCAGAATACAGACGAATGCATCGCTGGTTTGAGGAAATAAACCATGAAATGCTCGACTTGTTTACTCTATGCTATAGATTCAGTAGTGATAAAGGGATTGCAGGTTACGTGGCCAGGTCTGGCAAACTATTGAACATCAAAGATGCTTACTCGGATCTTCGGTTCAACCGTGAGGTTGACGTGAAAACGGGATACACAACACATACGATACTTTGTGTACCAATGAAGTGTAAGGACAGGTGAGAGTGATGAATGAGAGATAGAGCCACTGCCATTGGCAATGCAAAATCAATCGTTTATTCCTAGTCCCTACTTTCTACTCCATTTGTCATATAAGTAGAAAAGAGATGGATACAGTACAGGAAGGTATTGGAAGGAATTGGAAAGGACGAAATACATTATCCAAGCCCTCATTGTTTGCAGTTACCTTTGTTATTCAAGAAGGAATAGGAAGGAATTGGGAAGAAAGGGATACATTCTCAAAAGCCTTCTTGTTTTTCAGTAACCTTTGTTACTCCTAATGTATTTTTTCATCGATTTGTCATCATCGTTTCAGAGTTGTCGGTGTGGTCCAACTGATCAACAAGCAAAAAGGAATATTTACATCAGCAGGTAAGGTCCAAATGAATGGAAATATATCTCAGCTTGTTTACTGACGGCGATAAACGTTTCATTCACCTCTAGATGAGCATGCCTTTACATTATTCGCTGGTTATTGTGGTCTTGCCATTCGGTACTCACAGGTGAGGCAAAGATCTTTGCAAAGAGTTCTGCGAAATTTACTATAAAAGAGTAGCGAAGATTGCTCACAGACATTAACAACCTCTGTGTGCAAGAGCAATAAATCTCTGCCTTCCTTTGTAACACGGATTCGACTATTTTTCTAGATTTTCAATCATCTTTTCGAAACTCAACAAAAACATCTGCTTGCCTTGGACGTGCTTTCGTTTCACTGCACCGCTTCAGAAAAGGATGTTCAAAAGTTTCGTAGCATTGAGGATCTTGATCCAATACCTGATGAACTATGGAGGTAAATACAAAGAAATTTCTCAGGTTGATTTCGTCCAATAATCACAGTGGATCAATAAGAGGTGATCTCTAGGAAGAACAGTTTAGAACTGATAGAGCTATCCAGTATAAATAAAGCTAGTTTAGTTTAGGTTTCTTCCTGTAGTAACACTGGATCAATAAGAGATGATCCTTACTGGATCTTTAGGAAGAACAGTTTAGAACTGATAGAACTATCCAGTATAAATAAAGTTAGTTTAGGTTTCCTCCTGTAGTAACACTGGATCAATAAGAGATGATCTGGAACTTTCTGGAACTTTTTCGGAAGAAGAGCTAAATGTAAAATATATTTCTTTTTTCAGTTTCAACTTAAGTTTCTATCAAGACAGTGACTATCTTCTTAAACTTGCAATTATAATGGCCGAACAGCTGTTACAAGATTGTGAAATCAGGTAATAAGTTTTGACGACTTTTGAATAAGCTTTGTATGTTTTCACAGTGTAAAATATACTCGGCTATAGATTAATCTCGTCTGAGGAAAGTGCAGTTTTTAGCAAGTATTACTGTTTGGATAATAATTTCAAATTTCTTCTAGCGTCGACACGGATACGCTGCATCGTTTTATGTTAACTGTAAGAAAGAACTACCGACCCGTGTCTTATCATGGGTGGCCTCATGGTTTCTCTGTTGCACATACTCTTTGGCTTGTTATTACTCAGTCTCCTGAAACGTTTACTATAACCGAGGTTCGTCGACTTTTATACTAAACATATGTACAAATTATCCTTCAAATAACCAGTATCGTCACCATCATTACAATTACCATAATCGTTATCACTTGGTCATCAACAACATCATTACATACAAACGCCATCATCTTTATTTATTCACTACACCATCACCACCACAACTATCCTTCACCATTACGATCACACACATAAAATCGAAATCATCACCACAGATTATATTCACTACACCATCACTATCCTTCACTATTACTATTACCATACATCATAGACATCACCACAACCACAACATTGTATTGTAATCACCACCCAATCACTACCACCACTGTTCTTCACCATTATTGTCACCGTACATCACACTACGATCACCATCACCACCATCATACTATAACCACCACTCCATCACCACCATCACTACCCCTCACCCTCACTACCATCACTACCCCTCACCATCACCACCATCACTACCCCTCACCATCACCACCATCACTACCCCCCACTATCACCACCATCACTACCCCTCATCACCACCACCACTAATAGTCTAATACTTCTTTTCTTCACCAGAAACTAGGTATGTTCTTTGGTGCTCTCTGTCATGATGTTGATCACCGTGGATATAATAATTCATTCCTACAGATGATCAAATCTCCAATTGGATTACTTTATCAAACATCCACAATGGAGAGACACCACTTAGAGCACACTTTATATCTACTTCAGGTTAGCATGATGGAACGATTAACCGTTTTTGAGTGAAAACAATATCCCAACTTGCTTTCAACATATATTATCTCTCTTTAGCAAGAAGAGCTGAATATCTTCAAGAACGTTGAAGAAAAGCAATATAACGAGGTATGTTGTATAGTTTTGGGGATAGCTGAGTCGATAAATATAAATATCAGAAAGTTTTTGCAAGTGGAAATTAAGCAGATTTCTATACTTTTATTGATAAATGGACTTTCAAAATAGATAAGATGTTTTCATAAACAAAAAACATTGCCAAAAGCCTCTTCAATTCCTTCTCTAGATCATCGCAGTGCTCAAGCAAACCATCATGGACACAGATATACAATTATTTATTCCCGTCCACATGCAGCTTCAGCAAATCGTTGAAGCAGGAGAGTTTGATTTTGGAAATGATAATCACAGGTAAGCCACGCATGACGTACACGATGACACGTGTTGGTCGTGTACATCTCAGCCTCGTTGTTATTAACAACTTGAGTTCCTTTCGATGTTCACTGTAGATCGTTGTTAAAACATGAATTAGTTACAGCGGCTGATCTGTGCGCCTGCGCGAAACCTTGGGCAATTCATCGACAGTCTGTGAAAAAAGTGTTCGAAGAGTTTTATGCTCAGGTTAGAAACGCTGTATTTTGAAGAGGAAGAATGTCTCCTTTCCTCGTAGAAATGTGGTGAGGTGATAAAAAATTGACAATATTATCTTTATTCCTTAAGGGAGATCTTGAGAAGAAAATGGGAAACACGCCTATTGCGATTATGGACAGAGAGAAGAAAAATGAAGTGCCAAAGTCGCAAGTGAGTGACTCCTGCAATATTATCATGATCATGACCACTATGATAACCAATCAACACTATACGCAATCATTGTTATTAACATATCCATATTCATCATCATTAAGGTCGCATTCTTTTCTGCAATGGGTATCAAATGTTATGGAATGCTGTATGAAATATTACCCTGCATAGAACCAATGCTGGACAACACCAGGTAACCACTTGGTCTTTACCATAGTATTACTTTAATCACTTGGTCTATACCATGGCATTACAGTAACCACTTGGTCTATACCATGGTATTACTGTAACCACTTTGTATATACCATGGTATTACTGTAATCACTTGGTCTATACAATGGTATTACTGTAACCACTTTGTCTATACCATGGTATTACTGTAACCACTTGGTCTGTACCATGGTATTACTGTAACCACTTTGTCTATACCATGGTATTACTGTAACCACTTGGTCTATACCATGGTATTACTGTAACCACTTGGTCTATACCATAGTAATATAACCACATGGTCTATACCATGGTATTACTCTAACCACTTTGTCTATACCATGGTAATAACCACATGGTAGTTACCACAATGGTGCAGCTTTATTCTCCACATAAAAAGCATTCACCTGCTGTTAATAACACCGCATTATGATTGCAGGGAGAACTTGGAAGAGTGGAAAAGATTGTCCGGACTGGGCGAGGAATACGAAACTAAAAACCTGACATTGAAAGGCTTTAAGAATATGATACACGGTCGTAGACTGTCTTCAGATGAATAATCAGAATCGTTGCTACAAACTAATACATGATTAGCCATGATATTGCGATGCTTTATTAAACAAGCCCTGTAACTAAGCTCATCTAATAAATAGCATATTTGTTGTATACTATTGTTTTAATCTTCATCGCCGATGCATTAATCAAGGTCGCAGCTTTTCATGCAGACCACCAGAAGTTGAGACCACCCGTAGTTAGAAATCGACAAAGTGTCGCCTTGACTTGCACTTGATCGTCCCTGAGCCAGGGGCACACATTAAGCCTGGTTTCCATTTAGTCGTAATTGTCGTGAACATGTCATTTTCGCCGATGAGAAATTGTCGGGATGTAAATTCGTTTTGATTCCTGTATTCAAATCGGTCATTGTTGACTTCACGCACACATAGAAATATTCTATCACATCAGCCACCTTGACATGTTCACGACACTCACGACTAAATGGAAACCAGGCATTAGGGGAGGAGTCGGAATGTTAGTTTTAAAGTCGGCTCACAAACCTGTATGAGACCAAGAAAGTCGGTCCCGGAACCCATTTAAGACGAAATTATAATAGTTTCTAGGCTTTGCGTGAAAAATAATGATAATTCTTTTAATTGTTCCTTCATGTTTTATATATCACCAAGCAATTATTTATAAATTATTTCGATTGGACAAAGTGGAGTAGAGGGACGTAGACAATTTAGGCCGTTTGAAAGTTCTGAAAGCAAACTTTGAGAACTCCGCAAAAAGGCCAGCAAAAATTGAAATTATGTTGCTCAAAATTTACATTTTTCATGCGCGTATTTATATCGAGCATGCAATATATCCCCCATGCAAACTTTGAAAATTAGCCCGCTGTTTTTAAAGCAAAATGATAAATTGTCTTTGAATTGTCGCAAACATGCATGAGAGGCTTGAACGCGTATATTATACGCCAATTTATAAGAGGACTTTTAATCAAGATTTCTGCTATAAATTATTGATGATAAATTTAATTTGTCTTGCGTTCCGTTCGACATGAATTTGTTCAACACCGTTGCCCATTACATTGTAAAAAAGGATAAAGATTGTTGTAGAAAACTCATAAAGATTGTTGTATAAATGAACGAGTAACTCACCAATGACGTGAAATTAGGTAAACAGGTACCCGTGTTTGGAAGAATATTACCCACTTTCGTTACCTTGGTGATATAGAAGAAATAACACATCGATATCAGATAATAAAGTGGAAAATATATCAGGGAAGATACCTTAAGTGAAGATTTTCGTTAAACGAGGTCTCCGATGTAAAATAAAGGACCAGTTGGGCGAATCATATACACTGCATTGAACTTTTGGAGGAATGAAAGGCATCTTCTTGACATAACATTTTCTCGGTAAACATGCATGTCAAAAGTAATCAGTATATATTACATAATTTGTATGTTAATTTAAGATTAAATTAGGTCTTAGTATGATGATTATACTCCAGCAATCTACTACTAGAATCCATAACAGTCCTGAATAAGTATCACAGGCTTACTATAGTTACTAAGAACCGTTCATGATTAATATTAGAATATCGATGCTATCCCTTGGATGAAAGCCTTAGGTAAATGTAGTCACCTCGGCGATGCTCGTCTTTACCGACAAAGTTAGTCAATGTTTTTATGCAACTCGCTTTAATGAGGGGTTCGTACTTCATTTGTATACAAATATTTTTTTCCTGAGTGTATTCACTTGTTATTCATAAATGCGGTAAACTGCAAACAAATAAGTTGTGTATAGATCGCAGTATTCAGTATAAAAGACCTTAATATAGCAAGGTCAGTTATATAATTGAGTAGAGAAAGTAGAGATGTTTTTCCACTAAATCTGTGCCTATAAAACGGTTTTGTTTTCAGAAAATCCGAGATTTATCTAAGCGTTGTTAGCTAATAGAGTGGGAGTTTGCAAACAGATCCTGTAAGCCTACGGCTAAGGTTATTGTGAATCTTAATGGCAAAGCTAACTCTTAAGAAATGTAAACAGTAGCTGAGTGACTCTCGTGACCTGTCAAACGAGAAAAATTCTGAGCGGGGTGAATTGTAGTTGGAAGATTTCTATCGGTGAATGATACTTTCTTATTTTCATTCGCAGGGTTTATATTGCCAGATATCCACGGAAGGGTAGACACAGCGATAACAGGGGAAGACAATGGAAGCGAGCAGCAATAATGCAAGGACACAGGTGAAGAGTACTGCAAAACAGACGAAAACTGATAGCAAGAAAGAAGATGACAAGGCTTTGAAGAAGAAGAAATATGAAAGCGAAGATGATGAAGAGGACGATGATGATGATGATGTATGGGTATATCATAATGTGGCTCTTAATGGTTCCTCATACAGAGCTAGCCTGATATGCTTTGCATAGATTTATCATAAGCTCAAACGTATTTCCTGGCTCGCTTGCTGTAAGCATTGTAGACATAAACAAAAGCAATATAAAAGTATTCAATTTCTTAATAGGATGACGAGAGTGAAGAGGATGATGAAGATGATGACGATGATGATGATGAAGAGAGTGAAGAAGACACAAAGGCAAAATCCTCAAATGTGAAAGATAACAAAACCAACACGGCCACAAAACCTGATGGAAACAAAGCTCAGGATTCTAGTAATAGTAAAACCACTGAAGGTACCGCAAAAAGCACAGAGGTCGCAAAGGCAAAACCCTCGAATGTGAAAGATAACGAAACTAATGTCGCTAAAAAACCTGATGGAAACAAAGTGCAAGAATCCACAAATAATAGTAAGAATACCAAAGGTACCATAATCGAGGATAGCGATGATGACGATGATGATAGTGAAGATGATAGTGAAGAGGATGATAGTGAAGAGGATGATGATAGTGAAGAGGACACCAAGGCAAAATCCTCGAATGAAAAAGATAACAAAACCCTCACAGCTACGAAACCTGATGGAGACAAAACTCATGATTCTAGTGATAGTAAGATCACCAAAGGTACCACAAAAGACATCCAGGACAATAAGACAAAATCGACGGATGTGAAAGATGTCAAAACGAATGTGGCAAAAAAACCTGACCAGAGCAAAGCTCAGGATTCGGGTCCTAGTAAGAATACCAAAGACACTACAAAAGAATTGGAGGAAAGTGATGATGAAGATGATAGTGAAGAGGATGATAGTGAAGAGGATGATAGTGAAGATGATGATGAAAGTGAGGAGGACACTAAGGCAAAGTCCTCGAATGTTAAAGATAGCAAACCAGATCAGGCAAAAATCCACCCAACAGGCAAAAAACCTGATGGGAACAAAGCTCAAGATTCTACTAATAATAAGACTACCACAAAAGACAAGGAGGATAGCGATGACGATGATGACGATGATGATGATGATGACGATGATGATGATGATGACGATGATGATGACAGTGGTAAAGAGAAAGGAAAAACCAAAGAGAGCCTGCAAAAGAAAAAGAAGGCGGATAGTGATGATGACGATGATGATGATGATGACGATGACGATGATGATGACGAAGATGATGATGAAAGCCAAACAGAGAAGAGCAAAGTCAAAAATAAAGCGAAAAAGAAAGACGAAGATAGTGATGAAGAGGATGAAGAGACAGAAGATGAAGAGACGGAAAAAGAAGACGAAAGCAATGAAAAAAAGGTAACAGATAATGCATCAAAACTCTTGGACAACAAGCGTGTACTTAGAATACATGCGGTTTAAGCTACAACGCACAATGTCCGTACAAGATTTTTCACATTGCATTTGCACCATATCAACAATTCAAATCTTCTCTTTCTTTTTCTTCAGGAGGAAGGCTTGGAAAACGTAAATGAAGATGACGATGATGATGCTGATGATGAGAGCGATGATGAATCAGTGAGCAGTATTGGAAGTTATAATGATGATTCTCGAAAAGGAAGCGATGACGAAAGTCTGGGCTCTTCACAGCAACCAATGTTAAGACTCAGCGCGATGTCACATATCTCAGGTATCCGCGTTTCATCGGCAAATTTGTTTACATTTTTCAGCCTAAGCCAATCAGAATGCCAGCATTTTTAATACTTCATGTAAAGTAGAATAGACTGGAAAAAGCGGGGTATTCAAGCAAATATTTTGTCCAAAGGATTGTGTTTATAACTGGAGCTTAGACTAATACACCAATAAAATAAGCGCCATCCAGCTTAACCGAGATACTAGAGCTTTAAACAAGCGAAGCTCTTATGAGATCAGTGTTTGCCTGAGTAATGAATCATTATATACTACCATGATAGGCATGTCAGACGTAATACCGAGGAAAGCCACTCCAGTGTCAGAACCTGAGAAGGGAGAGGAGACCGTGAAGGAAGAGAGTGAGAAAGAAGACGACAAAAATGACGGGATAAACGAAGAAGACGCTGAAAAAGAGCAAGAAAATGAGGAGGAAATAAAAGAGGATGAAGAGGTTAGAAATCTTGTTGATATTTATATATTGATATTAAAAAACGAATGACTATACAATAGACCTTATCCATAATGACGTGCCGGGTAATTTTGATGTTTGTATTTTGTGACTTAGTGACTACTAAAACCAGAATTCCCTGCAAGCGTCACGGCTTGATACATCATTATGCACAAGGTCTATTGGGAGGCCAGGAATTAGTCGATTTACTCGGTGTATATATTCTTATAATTTATCTCAAATCTAGCATGTGGAAGAAGATAAAGGAGAAGAAGAAAAAGAGGAAGAAGAAAAAGAGGAAGAAGAAGTGGCTGAAAGTGATCATTCGTTTTCTCCAGTTGACGTCAGCCTTTCGGAATTTGACGACAAGGACAGCGATGTTTTCAAAGAAAGAACCACGACGGAGAGAGAGCTGAGTACAAGGCAGGCCGAGTCCTTTAGCGACCGCGCGGAAAGCAGCTTCTCTCACGTGTCCGTCAAAAACAAGATGATGCTACTGCGGGACGCGTACGAGAATGATGAAGGCGCACTCACCAGCGAACCCGTATTCAAGAAAACGCAAAATGCTAAATCGCGCGATAAAATGCGGCAAAACAAGCACCGGATTTGGTATGAAATACCAGAGAGCACGGACGAGGAGGGCGGCAAGAAACGGGAAAAACCGCGCAAGAAAACGTTAGAAAAACGACGCACGGAGATACGCGCACGTTCCCGTAGAAAACGAACGAGCGCTGGCGTAGCACGTGACGGCAAAACGGGCAATAAGGAATCGCACGCGAAGAGCGGCACGCGAACACGGAAGAAGAAACCGACACGTAAACGCGTGCGCGCTCAAGCAACGAGCGTTCTGCTCGTAGAACGAAGGGAGGAAACGTATGAACAGTGTAACAGCAGCGGGGAGAGCATACGACCGCTTGAGAGTTCCCTGAGTTTGCGAATCGTTGAGGAAAGGTACGAGGCTTTGGAGGACGATTTCTCTGATTCAAGGTCCTCCGTCGATCCGGGCAGCGGAAGCTCTGGGGAGAGCGGGCACGTGAGAAGGAGGAGAACTCCAGATCTCGTGAGCGAGGAGGAGGTAAAGCCCAAGAAACGGCGGAAGGGTAAGGGTGTTTCTAAGGATAATGCGAAGGGGAATACTAAACCCAAAGGGGTACAGAAGAAGACGGAAGTGGATAAAGAAATAGAGAAAGCTACGAAAGAAGTGAGTACAATAGTTAGGATTTTGTCGACATATATTCTTCAATCTGGGAAAAACTATTTGGACAGTTGACCTCACAATCGCTATGATTGCTGAAAATACGCGGTTTCATAGTCTTAAATCACACCCCTTCGACCTTCTCCCTCCACACAATGATAATGGTGCTGACCTTTGGCACAATTAAGACATGTATTAATATATCAATACTAAGACAAAGGAGTGGAAGCTCTGTAAACACACGCCAGATTTGTTGACAACTTGTGCTGTCTACATCTATAAATCCGGAATTGTTGCGAATTGTCGCATTGTACTGTGGAAATTATTGATTTATTTATTGATTGCTTGAATTGGTGCGGTTGTTTCGTGAAAGAAGAAAGAAGATAATAGTGGATAGAATAGACGTCTAATCGTTGACAAAAATTATTATTTTCAGGTTGAGACCGCAGTTCCTAAACCTAAAAAGAAAAAGAAGAAAAAGCAAGAGGATAAAAAGGGAGAAGACGTAAACGAAGAGGATAATGAAGTACACAAGCTGACAAAAGAGGGCACTCAACTAGTAGTGGTACCCTATAAAGAACCCAGCGAGGGGCAAGATGAGACCCAGTTGGAAAAAAATGGTGAGAACGAAAACGAACCTCCAAGTGGAAGTGAAGAAGAGGCCCGCGAAATAAATAATAGGAAAGACAGCGTTATATCACGAAGCAGCTTAAGTCAGCCATCCCGTCATCCATCATCAAAGTGGGCATATCGAACAATAAATTTGCATCCGGGTTCTGAGAGTGAGGCTTCAGAAAAACCGACCCCGAGGAAGCGAGCCAGTATCCAGTTAAAAAACACACCTCATAAAAAGAAGACGAAAGAACTGCCGGTCGTACGAGGCATTCCGAGGGTGATACGACGAGTAAATACGGAGACAATGTTGATGGCTGGTAAGTGCTGTAGTAGGTTTCTATAAATGACTTACATGTAACTCTACAATGACTTCATATTTTACAATAATTTGTCGTGGTCTGTGCCTGAACTATCAGAGAAAGATATCTCAAACTTGGCAGTTAATGTAGGTAGTGTTTTACAATGATTTGTCGTAGTTTATGTCTTAACTATCAGAGAAAGCTATCTCAAACGTGGTGGATCAGTGTAGGTAGTATTTTACAATAATTTGTCACGGTTTATGTCTGAACTATCAGAGAAAGACATCTCAAACGTGGTGGATCAGTGTAGGTAGTTTTTTACAATGAGCTGTCGTGGTTAATGTAGGTAGTATTTTACAATAATTTGTCGTTGTTTTTGTCTGAACTATCAGAGAAAGATATCTCAAACGTTGTGGATCAGTGTAGGTAATATTCTACAATGAGCTGTCGTGGTTTGTGTCCGAACTACCTGAGAAAGATATCTCAAAAGTGGTGATCCATTGTAGGTAGTATTCTAGATGGAACAGCCACAGCGTTTGTTCATTCCACCGCATCATTTCCTCACGTTACACGCGGCATCCGCGCTCCGCATTTCTGTCATTCCTCCTTTCGCTACTAGTCACTAGTCTCCTTCGCGCAGCACGACATCAATTACGCGGTAACCATAGCAACGCATAGCAACAATGCAGGTGACACGTGACGTATAAAATCAACAGATGTCAAACAAGACCTCTAGTGTAATGGACGGTTTGAAGTTATCTTCTGAAAAACGATCAAAATTACTGCCTAAAACCGTAGTAAATGTGCTCTAGACGTCTATGCGATGAGCTTAGCGGTTCGAACGCATCAGCGACCTGAAAAATTCGACGTCGACAGGGCGCAGTTTGAGGAAATAATCGCGCCGAGAGACGAGCGCGTAGTGATATCAAAACAGAGAGAAATGGAGAAAGGATCGGGCTCTGAATCGCATTCAAACAAGGAAAACAAGAAATCGCCACGAAAGGACACGAAGGATTATTACTCGTCCGAAGAGGAGAGTTACGATGATGATTTTGAAAGCGATGCGGGTGAAAGTCCTAGAAAAACCGTGGCCAAGAATACGGCCCGTAAGAGCCCCAGCCCCAAGCGAAATTCCGTCCGAACTCCGGACACGTTACGTACGAAATCGCCGACTTTTGTATCGACTCGTTCAAGCAGAAAAGGCAAAACGAAAAAGCGATTTAAGCCGTATATCTCCCCTCGCAGTCCAAGTCCAGGTATCTTAGTTACTCGTTGTTCAAACAAAAACAATGAAACCACTTCAAGGTGGATAGGAAGGATATTTAGCATCAGAGTCCTACTGTGTTGTAAGCTCGCAGCTCGCTATAGGCTTTCCTTTTATGCGCTAATCTCTCTTCTTAATACCTTGTACTAAAGTCTTCGGATTTGTGTTCATTGTACCGTTTTAATTATAGTTGGATTAGGTGTTGGATGATTTTGGCATGTTTGTTACACTTGTTGGTGTTTTGAGACTGCTAATTATTGCAATGTTTGCCATATATATGTTGTGTGCATCTTGAATTGTGCGCTATCTTAATGTACAGGAAAAATCAAAACGACAATCTTGATTTCATAAAAGATGAGCCTTATGAGATGGTCCTCTAGGAAGAAACTTGGAGCTATCTAGTATAAAATAAATTAGTTTAGCTTAGGTTTCCTCCTGAAGGATCAATATTCTATCCTTACTGGATGCTTACTTAATGCTGGACCTCTAGGAAGAACAGTTTACAACCGATAGAGCAATCCAGTATAAATAAAGTTAGTTTAGTTTAGGTTTCATCCTGTAGTAACACTGGATCAATAAGAGATGATCCTTACTGGGCCTCTAGGAAGAACAGTTTAGAACTGATAGAGCTATCCAGTATAAATAAAGTTAGTTTAGTTTAGGTTTCCTCCTGTAGTAACACTGGATGAATAAGAAATTGTTACTGGACCTCTGGACCTTTTCCAAACATCGGCTCTCACTGTTCATCTTGAGGTCCAGTAAGGATTATCTTTTCATTCATTGTTACTACAGGATGAAACTGTTTCCAAGCCAGTTATGTACCTTTTTAAAGATATTTTACCAATGATATTCAAAAGACTTGACAAAGATATTTCATATTTTTAGCCACTTCCAGACTACCAGAGAAAAATTGGGCAAAGCTCAAAAATCGTTCGGCAGAGCCCAAGAATCGCACAAGACTAGATCACACAGTTGTGGACCGGGTGCTTTCGGCAAACCGTAACAAGGTTACGAAGCTGGAGAGCAGGCTGAGCCAACTTATCAAAGAACTAACTAAGGAAAAGGAAGAAAACAAGACCCTCAGACTCATACAACATAGGCAAGAAAAGAAACTGGACAAGGTTATCGGTGAGGAAGCTGAGCTGCCGCAACTCCTTGTAAAGCATTCGTCAGAAGTGAAGAGCTTGCGGGAACGAATACGAAGGTTACAGGACAGCTCCCATGACAAGGACGAGAAGCTCAACGAACAGGATAGAACTATACTGAAGTTGAAGGATAAGTGTAAATATTACAGGGATTTGTGTGAGAAAGAGGAACTCACAGAGAAAGCAGAATTGGAAAAGAAAATTTCAAAAGCAGAAGAGAATTTAAAGAAAAGAGATGAGGAGATCTCGGTTAGTTCTCGCTGTCAAAACTGCACTTCATTTGCAACCAATTTATGGTAGCATTTAGTGTAATTTTGAATGATTTAGCCAGCCTATCTGTTTGTTTTGTTTTTGAAGGAAACATGTATATCCTATTGTTCCCACATTCAAGTCCAATTTTCTCTGTTTCGAATGTAATCTTTGAGTACTTTAACAAGAGTATTATGACATTAGCAATGGATTATATACCTAGTTGCCAGTATACACTTATAAACTTTGATTATATAGTTATTCCCAAGAAGTTTATTGAGTGGCATAGCTAGCCTGCCAATTTAGTTCTGCCATGCTGATATTTGCTGTTCATTGACTGTGAAAACAGTAAATTTAACTGTGAACTTGAAATTTACACAGCATGGCTAAATCTTCTGGCTGGCTAGCATATTCGCTGAGTTTGGTACTAGACAAAGAATTTCTTTGTCTTCAAATATTCCCATTCAAGCAAATATAACCTTTATTATGAGACAAAGAGAATTTATCCTAAAGTTGTTTTTGAACATATGTTATCCAGTAATCAGTGTGAAATCAGTTAATTCAACTACCTTATGTTATTAATTTTGCAAACTTTAAAACTTTACCTTGTGCTAGACTCTCAACAAACACTCCACTTTGTAGAAATTGCAGAGAATGTTGAACCTGAAGGAAAAGACACATTCGAGGAATTTGAAAGAGCAAAAAGAGAAACTACGAGAGACCCAGAATAAGCTACGCATGGTAGAAGAAAACTGTAATAATCTTCAAGGAAAACTCAGGGTTGGTCTTGTTTATAAACTATTGTGATTATCCCGAAACATCCTGCTATACCACGAGATAAAAACAACACGAAATTAAGACCTTTCATTTCAGTTGAAAACGGGCAAAGCCAACGGACAATCGGTGTCAGTATATTTATAAAGATTGCTATATTTTCTGAAGCACGATACCTACACTAAATTTCCATATATTTTCTATTAAATTTGTCCTAAAATCTAGCGTAACAAAGGCACGTTGCACGTCAAAAATGATGAAATTTCGGCCGAGCCAATACCCACCTTTATTAACGCCTGGATATTTAAGTTGTTTTTACCCACGTTTATTCTTGAAATATTTCTTGCATCCAACGCTTTTAGGTCGATTTAAGCCTTGTTTATCGCTTTGAGATGTCCAAAGAAGTTGGCTTTGTTTGTTCTTATCGTAAAATACCCGATTTATTGGTTGCAAATTGTCCTTTTAAAAAATTTAAATCCCCAATCATTGTTCAAATTGTTACTATAGAGACAACATGGCGCATGCCCTGGGCCCAGAGCCAAACATCGCCTACCAGAGCTACCAAAATAACCAAATTACTTCTTTTCAAAACCCAGCCAGTTTATTGTCTATTTCATAACGAAATTTTCTCACGTTCTGTGTGAAAATTGTTCATAAGAGTTCAACTTTTGTTGTTTTTTCGCAGGTGCGTGAAAAACAATTGGATTACACGAACATTTACCAACGACAAATCGTGTTGAAAGAGAAGACAATTTCACCAGACTCGCCACCCAAAATGGCCGCTCTGCCTGCGCCGAAGCGCGGCGCGAAAAATAACACGAACGCTGCTAAAACGAACGGAAATAAAGCGAAAAACAAAAGCGGATTCTTATCTAAGGATAAAGAAGACGAATCAAAGAAAAAAAACTCTGTTTTCCTTACCGCACAAAGTGATAAGGAAAGTGGATCGGATTGGGACATTGATAAAAAGAAAGGAAATAAAGAAGTGTTGTCCATTACAGACGGGAAGAATATTTCGGGTAGTAATGGAGCTACGGTTAATGGCTACGGTGGAGGACACGATGATGATTTAGATAGTAGCGAGCGGCGTAGAAGGGAGGAATTTGAGAGGAATCTTCGGGCAGAAGATGAGAGGTTGAGAAAAGAGAAGGAGGACGCGGATAGGATGATGAACGAGATCAAGGAAAAAGAGGAACGAGAGAGGATGGAGAGAGAAGCAAAATGGAGAGAGGACTCCGCGAAGAAGGCCAGGGAAGCCGAAGAGAAGCGACTGGCGTCCGCTAAGAGGAGGGAGGACGAAAGGCGAAGAAACGAGGAGAGAATCGCCGAAGAAAGAAAACAGGAAGAACTGAGAGAGAAAGAAAAGAAGGCTGCTCAAAATAGTTTTATTGAAGACGAAGAAGCTCGTAGGAAGAAAGACGCTCTGCTTGCCAGGTTTGTAATTAGAAATTTGCTGTTTACAAATCTATCAGCTGTTTGCCCGTTTCCAAGGTTTGGCTACACTGGTTAACTGTTTTGTTTTGTTTTTATTTGATGTCATAGGTTAAAGGCAATCGACAGCGACAAAGGATCGGACGAAGATCCCCTGAACTTCGGAAGTAATCGGTTCCCGAACGACCATACTTCGAAACTTCCCGCATCCAAGAGTTTCCAGGCGAGAAAAGCTGATCAAAATCTGCACAATGGTTTACCATCTGCCCCCAGAGGAAATCAAATCTTCTCGCCCCCCAAAGAAACCCGTGTCCCCTCGCCGGTCGAGAGCGATCCCGATAGCGTGATCGGCGTACCTCGGCATAAACCTGTTTTACTTGGCCGAGGTGGTTTGACCAAGAAGAAGGATAACCAGCTTGACTGGTTGAACGACGACAAGAAACCGGCTACAAACAAAGCCAGGACGAAGCCGCCGGATGATGGCTTCAACTTTGGGGAGTATTCGCCGAGTGTGAACGACAGTAAGAAAAAGTCGGACGGAGATATTTTCGACACCGGTTTCGGCAGAAGAGGTGGGCAAGGACGACGACGCGAAGCGGGCTCGGGGGATAATGTATTTAACTTCGGTGAGAGACAGGGGAGTGGGGGAAACGAGAAACCCCAATCAAATTCCCTCGGGTTTTTATCGGATGATTTTGGCAACAAGAGAACCGGTGAACAATCTTCGCAGTCGTTGTTACCTCGGCGACGGGCCGCGCAGGAAAGGGGTGGACCCGCAGCCGTCTCGAGCGCATTTGATGATAATCTAGACGATATTGAAGAATTTACCTTGTAATTTTAATATTGTACAGTTATAATGCGTCTTATGCCGTCGCTTGCACCAAGTGTTACCCACTCATTGCAGATGGAATCTGCGTTCATTGAAAACTTCTTACAGGAAGACGCCTTCAAAAGGTTTCAACTGCCTGGACTAACGGTGGTGCGATTAATGAAAACACTTAATGCAAACGGCGGAAAATGGCGTTTGTTGAGAGTATATATAACCCCTTAACTTATCTCAATTTGTACGATAGGATATTATTATATTTGTATACTTATATTGTCGTTTTGTTGTCGAGTTAATGAACGTGCATATTTACTACGATAGTCCTGTGAATATGTTGGAAATTTTTGTCTCGTTGCTGGTATTTTTCCACCCGTAATTCATCCACAGTTTTATAAAAGATTTGCTAAGAATTAAACAGTGATTAACACTAACCTGAGTTTGGCTACAAATTCTGTAAAACTTGGAGATTCAGGCCAATGCAAAATTCCATCGATGATCACGGAAACTCTGAGAGGGAAAACTGGTCACCAAGAGTCTGCTATAGAAATGATTTGGTAAAACACATCAGAAATGACTATACAAATAACTAAGTTAGTAAAACCCAAGTCTTACCAGGATGATATGCGCACATGAAAAATGAATGTCAGGTCCTTGAGAAGTGAGACAAACTGACAAACATCTTACGTTTTTCGTTAGTAGGTATCCTCCCCCCCCCCCCATCCAGCGTCGGAAGTGACGTCACACAAGCCCGCAAAAAGAGTAAACGTTAGCATTCTTAGCTTTCTCTCACTTTTTATTTCTACGTATGCAACTCCGAGGTGCATGTCACAAACTAATACTGGGCGATTTTACAACTACGACACATCCCGTGGTTGCAGCGCATGTTCAGTGTAGAAGGCATATTATGGGACCTTCACAAGACAACCCTTTGCGTCCAAAAAAATCTAGATCGATGCACATTAGATTATTATTCATATAGTCATTAATTTGTATGACAATCAAATTTGATCATGTCGTGTGTCACCAACGTTAATTTTTTAATCAAACCCAACGTCTACAACTGCAGGTTACAACCACAAGTTAAACTCAATGTCTACATTACCAAAGTCTACAATTACATGCAAGTTAATCAAACCCAACATCTACATTACCAAAGTCTACAACTACATGCAAGTTAATCAAACCCAACATCTACATTACCAAAGTCTACAAGTTAATCAAACCCAACGTCTACATTACCAACGTCTACATTACCAACGTCTACATTACCAACGTCTACATTACCAACGTCTACAAGTTAATCAAACCCAACGTCTACATTACCAACGTCTACATTACCAACGTCTACATTACCAGCGTCTACATTACCAAAGTCTACATTACCAAAGTCTACATTACCAACGTCTACATTACCAACGTCTACATTACCAACGTCTACAACTACAATCACGTTCAATCATCATGTGTCACCAACGTTGATTCTTAACTCAACTTTTTTAGATAAGGATCTAAAAATGTTCCTCTCGTCTGCGGATTACAGATGGCAGCAAAATTTGGCAAATTAAAATATTTAGCCTCTGGTCTCTTTTTTAATTCATCCAAACTGTAACAGTTGACAATTCCTCTATCCCGAGTCTGCGGTTTCTGCGGTTTTTGATTAATATCGCAGCCGTACTCCTTCCCAGTACCTGAATCTCCAGTAGGATTCGCAGCAACAAGAACCTCAGATTGGTTTGCCACTGGATCACACACTGCTTTCCAGTAGTATCCGGGAGCGACAACGCGTTTATTCAGTAAGAGTGTATGGCCATTTTTGTCCAATAATGTTCCACCTTTAAAACGATTAAACGAAGTCATTTATCATGTGATTCGTCATTTACCATTTATCAATTTTCGACCGAACGAAATTTTTCGTCTGATTTTCTTTTCAATTGTGAGAATTCGACAGTAGCGGCACGGAATACCTATCAGAAGAATAACTCTATACTATTTTTTCGTAAGTGTGATTCGTCATGATTCGTCACTTAGCAAGTGCATTTTTTTTGAGGTAGTCACCCCCCTGCCAATGTCTAAAATCAGGCCATTTTTAGTATTGGCAGGGGGCTGACTGCCTCAAAAAAATGCACTTGCTAAGTGACGAATCATGACGAATCACACTTACGAAAAAAGTACAGGAGTTCTACTTCTGATAGGTATTCTGTGGTAGCGGATTCCCTTCACCTGTCACAATTGAAAAGAAAATCGAGCGAAAAATTCCAGCTAGTGGAAAACCACTGCAGTAATGGAATGTGGTCCCCAGTTGCGGCATTTATTAGTACAATTTTTTCCATCATACAATCCCTTTGCTTTCTTTAAATGCAACAAATCTCATTGAAAAATCACGGGCAGCCGAAAATTTCAGAAAATGTAAAGCGAAAAATTCCAAAGAAGGTGATATCATCTTGAAATTCAAAATACGAATAGAACAGACGAGATCTAGAAACAGTTAATATTTTTTACCATATTTTTTGACCTTATGGCTTATCAGTTAGAACTAAATAAAGTTGAGAGTTTTCTATGTCAAAAGCTCGATTAGTTTATATATATATATATATATATATATATATTTATATATATATATATTAATAATATATATATATATATATATATATATTTATATATATATATATATATATATATTGATATATGTTATAATTGGCTGTGGAGTTCTTTGTCATTCTAAACTTTCATTTTGAGACAAATGAAGAATTGCCCGAGAAGAGATTAAACGCATTTACGGATTTACCTGCATGTCCCCGTGACGACGTAAACAGGTCGTTGTTTATTACTAGCAGAGTAAGTCCTGACAGCTTTTTCCACGACAGCCCAGTTTTGTGAATTGAACACTTGCCATTGTGGTGCAGCGTTAGTGATTATCATCGTAATCTCACGTTTGTCGTCAGTGTCGAATATATTGTTTGGCGTGAGATGGCCCCGGCTGTAAAAGTTGGTTTTATAGTCAAAGTTTGGAACTATGTCTTTTTGCTGGAATTTTTCGTAGTCTTGTTTGGTGTCTGCTTGCGGTTTTGGAGCTTTGAAAATGAAAAATTTCGATGCTGTTAGTGAGCCCGTGTTGTTGAATATTTTGTCTCAAAAGTAGCATTTGACATTAGGTTTTTAATGCCTGCATGATTGTGTATAAATTGTTAAAGTGCGTGTAACATTGACCCATGTAATTCCGAGTTTTATTGCCGTTCAACTTTTATTCACTCTTTTTTTATATTAAATTTCTTTTCTTCAGGGCTTTTCTCATTGTGTTTTTATCCCTTTTAGACCTTTTAAAGTGAATACCGATTTTGCCGCCATCTAGTTTTCGCTGCTCGCCCTGCATGTATTAAGTTATACATATTAAGTTGAACACTCTACATTATAAACACTGTTTTTCTGAGGTTTTAGTGAAGAAAAATACACTGGATTGAACGAATGAAACACGTGTAAAAATATGTATAGAAAAAAAATGTAGTTTCCCTTAAACTTGGGGTATAAATTTTTAAAAAATCTCTAAAAGTATATGCAAGACAACTGAGCATCATTATTTTCCCTCAGGCAAATAATATGTTCCCTTCAAAAAGGCTTCATGCAAAGAAGTCCATACATTCACTGCCAGAGAATGACTGAGTATATATAGTTGAGCCATCTTGTGGGACGAAAATTTTCTTAAGTGCACCAGTGACTGTCGCTTCCCGAAACAGAAAGCTGCCTAAAATAATCACTGTAACCTACCAAATTTTCCTTTGTCATTTACCCAATCGCCTCTTCCTGAAGCTGAAGGGTCGCCGATAACAACGTGTCCACTGAACTCTGGAATGAGGGTTTGACTGTTATAACAAACAGCAAACAGTGCTGTATTATTGATGCCATAACAAAGTCCAGAGCGTTTGCCACCACTACAATCTACTTTTGAGGCAAGAATAGGGGTTCCTCCTTGCTTCCAATCATTAAAAAGACATTCGTTGATTTTGTCGCTGAATGCATTGCGATCTTCATCATCAGCTTCAACAGAAATCAGCAGGCAGTTAGATATAATTGATACCAAAAGAAAAAGACAGACAACTTGCTTCATGGTGGTCGGACGTATACAGCAACTGTTCTATATATAAATAGAAATATATTTCATTTGTTAAATGTGTTGTTGTGATCAAAGATGTAAGCAATAAAACATTAGTTGTATAGATAGGTGTTTCCAAAATATACGTGTTGAAATAATTTAACATCCGTTTGGGAACATGCAGAATTTATCGACGAGGAGGCGAAAAGTCAATAAAATACAATATGCTTTAGACAGAGCAAGAAAAATTTATCTCTACCTACATCTATATAGACCTGTGCAAATTGTTGCAACTAAAATATACATATTTTTGAGTTTCATTCAGACTACAATTGACAAAGTAAATTCTATTTATTAATCTTACCTTGTATATACAGTCGGAAAAGTAAATTCTTATATTTCTAAGCCTCTTTCTTCTTCGAAAGTTTCCACTGCGCGTAATGAATTTGGTATTGTTTGATTGTTTGACTGTTTAATACGCCTGTATTTATAGTCTCTCTGCATGCATGCAAGCCTTCACAATCTTTGAGACTGACATTCGTATATTACTGGATCAGTTATGCATCAGTAGTAAGGTAATCAGATGTTGAGAGGTTCATCATGACATGAAAGGGATTACATTGCTACGCTATGTAATCCTGCTACGCTATGTAATGTGCGGCCTTGTGCGTTATTACAGCCGCGGTTACAAGATTTGATTATACTCAACATAAAATTGAAACGACGATTTGAACTCGCATATATTTAGCACACCATGCTGACGCTCTATAGTCTCTACCATTTGAGCTGTCGTGTCAACTGTATCAAGCACAATTTCAAATAATATATAAGCGTGCGAGATATAGCTCTATTTTGGGCGGCAATTGAACCGCTTAAAATGGAAACAGTTTGTTCAATAATATATAAACAAACACAGCTAGACTAGACTCTTTGTAAAAGTAAAACTGTTTGTCTCATACTGCTGGATGGCTTGGTGAAGACAAAAATCGTATTTATGAATCATTCTTGCATAAGCTCAGTACAAATTGTGTTGTCACCACTTAATAGTAAACTAATGCAAAAACGCAAAAACATCTTTCGTATAGTGAAAATTTATACACTTGGAGTCCCATGATGAACTGTGCAAGAGAACTTTCAAATAATTGCATGGTCGATAAATATGAAATAAATCATTTCAAATGGGAAGTTTTTTCATTAATGTATATACAGTACTGTCCAGACATAACTTGCGGTTGCGGTTACTATATGTTGCGGTCGACCCATAGAAACCGCAGACGACCGCAAAGGAAAAAATACTTTCGCAGTGCATGGCGGACGAAATGTTATGAACAGCTGAGAAGGACAACACAGTAATCAAATCGACCGAGTTAGGCCAAGGTTTAACCTACGTCTCACCGCAGTTAGACCTCGGTTCTACCGTGACCAGACCAAGGTTTGACCAAGGTTAACCGCGATTTTTGCTAGGTTATTTCTGGACAGTATATACTATATAAATAAACGCAAAACAATATTTTTCTTGACAGGCCAGGAACATGTTCAGGAAACGTACAATATACAATTCTCGAAATATTTAGTCGACGTTTTGGTCCCAAGTATTACCAAAGACAGATTGTAAAACTAATTATTTTTAGTATATTTTTACCCATGCAGTACTGCAGAATAGCTTAGTTTTGATTATCTTAGCACAGCACTCGTGTGCTTGGGTGTGTGTGTAGGTCACAGCACTAAGTATATACTTCTATTTAAACGCAACAAACCGTTCGAAATGAATGATTTTGCACTTTGAGTTCCATTACGCCCTTGTACCTCTTTCTTAGAAGCCTGAAATATGTTCAGAAATGTACAATACAGCTCTAAAGAATATTTTGGGCGACAATTGAACCGCCGCTTAAAGTGGAAACAGTTTTGCTCAATAATATATAAACAAACACAGATCTAGACTCTTTGTCAGTAAAAGTAAAACTGTTTGTCTCATATACCGCATGGCTTGGTCAAGACAAAAATCGTATTGTTCATTAATATATACATTACACAACATAAACGCAAAACATGCATCGTTCGTGCTAAATAATTTTGCACGTTGTCGTTAAGTTCCGTGATATCACTCATATGCTTGTATACCTTTCTAATAATCGGAAATGTACAATATAGCTCTCTTTTGGGCGGCAATTGAACCGGAAAATGGAAACAATTTTGCTCAATAATAGATAAACAAACACAGATCTAGACTCTTTGTAAAAGTAAAACTGTTTGTCTTCGATATCGCTGGATGGCTTGGTCTAGATAAAAATCATATTTATGAATCATTCTTGCATAAGCTCAGTACAATTTGTGTTGTCACTTAGTAAACTTATGCATAAACGCAAAAACATCTTTCGTAGTGAAACTTTCGTATGATGAACTGTGCAAGAGAACTTTCAAATTATTGCATGGTCATGAATAAACCATTTCAAATGGGAAATTTTGTTCATTAATATATATATACACAATATAAACGCAAAACATCGTTCGCGTGCTAAATAATTTTGCACGTCAAGTTCCATGATTCGCTTGTACATCTTTCTTGACACGCCTGGAACATGTTCAGGAAACGTACAATATAACTCTCAAAATATTTGGTCGACGTTTTGGTCCCTAGTATTAGCAAACACAGATTGTAAAACTAATCATTTTTAGTATATTTTAACCCAGTACTGCAGAATAGCTTAGTTTTGATTGTCTTAGCACAGCACTCGTGTGCTTGGGTGTGTGTGTAGGTCACAGCGCTAAGTATACTTCTATACAAACGCAACAAACCGTTCGAGATGAATGATTCAGATGCACTTTGAGTTCCATCACAACCTGAGAAGTCTTATTTTGTATCTACCTTTGCCAAAAAGGGATAATTTTTATCGTTGAACACCAATTTTAGCTCAATAATAATCAACAACAAGAGTCAAGACGCTTCAGAGTTCAGGGAGCGTTAACTCGCTGGGGCTGTGCAATTTATGCCTTTTAGGAAAACGTTTTGTGGACTACTGGTATATATTCAGATTCAGCACTATCACAGCAGACAATCATAGCACACTATCACAGTACTTACATGCACCACAATGATTGCACTTACATCAACCACAATGTCATAGTGCGGAACTTCATTTGTATGCTGAATGTAACTGATTGCACCATTGTTTTGGGAATGTGAGCCATATTCTAAGTTTGCTTTTGAAAATTTATGCCACTTAAACTGGCTGCCTATACCCTAGTATAAACATATATGTTCAATATCTGTTCCCCACACAACCACACTCTTTCATTTGCCATGTGACTGTTGTGAAATACTCATTTAAAGACATATTCATGTGTGGATGTAACACGTGCTCAATCTCTCTCGTGTGAACTACAATCTTTTGTCGAACTAAATGATGATATATTTGTCGACCAGTTATAGCATAAGACAATGCATAAAATAAACAGTTACCATCACCTTGTATAGCACTGCGACATGTCCCCTTAACTTCTCAAATCTTGCCGTCATTTTGTTCTACCCGCAAAATATCACCACCCGCCATATTTGCCCGAAAAGGGCTGCGAAGGACGTAGTCTCAGTTGCGGCGCATGCTCAGTGTAGAAGGTATATTATGGGACCTTCATAAGACAACCCCTTGTGTCCAAAAAAATCTAGATGCACATTAAATTATTATTCATATTATCATTAATTTGTATGACAGTCAAATTTAATCATGTCGTGTGCCACCAAAGTTGATTTTTTAATCAAAACCCAACGTCTACAACTACAAGTTAAACAAACCCAACGTCTACAACTACAAGTTAAACAAACCCAACGTCTACAACTACATGCAAATTACGTTATTATTGTTATCATTATTCATGTAATACAATCATGTTCAATCATCATGTGTCACCAACGTTGATTTCTATTTCAACCTGTTTAGATAAGAATCTAAAAAATCTCCTCTCTTCGACGGATTACAGATGTCAGCAAAATTTGGCAAATTGAAATATTGAGCTTCTGGTCTAAGTTTTAATTCATCCAAACTGTAACAGTTGACAATTCCTTTATCCCGGGTCTGCATTTTGTTAATGCAACCGGCCTCCTTCCCAGTACCTGACGTTCCAGTAGGATTCGCAGCAACAAAAACCTCAGATTGCTTTGCCACTGGATCACACACTGCTTTCCAGTAGTAACCGGGAGCGACAACGCGTTCATTCAGTAAGAGTTTATGGCCATTTTTGTCCAATAATGTTCCACCTTTAAAACGATTAAACGAAGTCATTTATCATGTGACATGAAATGAAAAGTTTCGACGGAACGAAATTTTTCGCTCGATCTCTGCCATATTGGATGAATTTCACACAAATCTTTGACATTTTTTGTATTTTTTCTCCATTTTAAACATGTGGGGAAAATGTTTTCAGGATTACCATTAATTTATTGCTTTTTCTATGGATACATTTTATTTTTTGTCCAAAAACCGTTGTGATATACACTTAAAGCGGGATATTAATTGCCAAGCAATAATTGGCTGTGGAGTTCTTTATCATTCTATATTTTCATTTTTTGAGACAAATGAAGAATTGCCCGAGAAGAGATTAAACGCATTTACCTGTTCCTGTGACGACGTAAACAGGTCGTTGTCTATTATTACTAGAGTAAGACCTGACAGCTTTTTCCACGACAGCCCAGTTTTGTGAATTGAACACTTGCCATTGCGGTGCAATGTTCGTGTTTATCATTGTAAGCTCACGTTTTTCGTCAGTGTCGAATACATTGTTTGGCGTGAGATGGCCCCGGCTGTAAAAGTACTCAGTCTGTGGGTTAAAGTTTGGAACTATGTTTTTTTGCTTGTATGGGTCGTAGTCTTCTTTGTAGTCTGATTCAGGATTTGGAGCTTTAAAAACGAAAAATTACGATACTGTTAGTAGCTCGTGTTGTTAAATATTTTGTCTCAAAAGTAGCTGTTGACATTAAGTTTTCAATGCCTGCATGATTGTGTATAAATTGTTAAAGTGCGCGTGACATTGGCCCATGTAATTCCGAGTTTTATTGCCGTCAATAAAAATATTTAAAATATTAAATAAATAAAATATTTGACATCATAACCAAAGCATGGTTATATTGTTTAATGTTTGTATATGAGCACGAAACATGCTTCCAACTTTATATAGTCATAGGAACAGAATTAGACCATTTAACCGGCGTGGTTATCCATGTCAAATCATATCATTCACTGCCAGAGAATGACGACTGAGTATATATATTCAATTTGAGCCATCTTGTGGGACGAAAATTTCTTTAGTGGACCAATGACTGTAGTTTGCTCGCAGACTGAATTAGGGGGCTGGAACCCCAGTGTAATTTCCGGCCTCCTAATTCATGCGTCTGCAAGCAGGCTACAATGACTGTCGCTTCACAAAACGGAAAGCTGCCTAAAATAATCACTGTAACTTACCAAATTCTCCTGCTTCATTTACCCAATCGCTTCTTCCTGAAGCTTTAGGGTCGCCGTTAACAACGTGTCCACTGAACTCTGGAATGAGGGTTTCACTGTTATAACAAACAGCAAACAGTGCCTGCTTATTGAAGCCATAACAAAGTCCAAAGCGTTTGTCACCACTACAATCTACATTTGAGGCAAGAATAGGGGTTCCTCCTTCATTCCAATCATTAAAAAGACATTCGTTGATTTTGTTGTCGAACGCATTGCGATCATCATCATCAGCTTCAACAGAAATCAGCAGGCAGTTAGATATAATTGATACCAAAAGAAAAAGACAGACAACTTGCTTCATGGTGGTCGGACGTATACAGCAACTGTTGTATATATGAATAGAAATATATTTCATTTGTTAAATGTGTTGTTGTGATCAAAGATGTAAGCAATATAATATTGTGTTAGCAATATATATATAGGTGTTACCAAAATATATAGGTCTTGAAATGATCAGCAAGATTAGTGTAGCTTTAACAATTAAGATCTATTTTAACGTTTGGGAACAGAAGTTATTGACGAGGAAGCGGAAAGTCAATAAAGTACGTACAATATGCTTCACGGTAACACATGGCAAGAAAAAACTCATCTCTATTTCTGGACCTGTGCAAATTGTTGCAACTAAAATCTACATAGTTTTGAGTTTCATTCAGACTACAATTGGCAAAGTAAATTCTATCTATTAATCTTACCTTGTATATACAATCGGCAAAGTGAATTCTTATATTTCTTCTAAGCCTCTTTCTTCTTCGTTATGAATTTGGTATTGTTTGTCTGTTTACTGATAGCTACGCCTGTATTTATATAGTCTCTCTGCATGCATGCCTTCACAATCTTTGAGACTGACATCCGCATATTATTGGATCAGTTATGCATCAGTAGTAAGGTAATCAAATGTTGAGAGGTTGACATGAAAGGGTTACATAAATTGCTACGCTATACGTGCGTTCTTGTGCGTTATTAGGAACTGTTTTCCACTTCAATCGTATCGTAGCGTAACGTAACGTATTTCTGTTTCCGAATTCTGAAGTATTCAACTTGAACTGATGACTATAGGTTACTTCTAACAGTACTATATATGCTAATAATGAACAAAATTTCCCATTCGAAATGGTTTATTTATCGACGACCATGCAATTATTTGAAAGTTCTCTTGCAACAGTTCATCATGGGACTCAGTGTATAAATTTTCACTACGAAACTCGAAAGATGTTTTTGCGTTCATGTATATATAAGTTTACTGACAACACAAATTGTACTGAGCTTATGCAAGAATGATTCATAAATACGATTTTTATCTAGACCAAGCCATCCAGTGGTATGAGACAAACAGTTTTACTTTTACAAAGAGTTTATTCTGTGCTTGTTAATATATATATATATATTAATATATATATATATATATATATATATATATATATATATATATATTATAATTATTGAACAAAACTGTTTCCATTTTAAGCGGTTCAATTGCCGCCCAAAATGGATCTATATTGTACATATCTGATTATCTTCCCAAGAAAGGTATACAATCGAATCGTGGGATTTAAGGTGCAAAATTATTTAGCAGAAACGATGTTTTACGTTTATATTTGTGTATGTATATTATGTTTGTGAACAAAATTTCCTATTTTAAGTAGTTTATTTACCGTTTATTGTACGTTTCCTGAACATATTCCAGGCGTGTCAAGAAAGATATACAAGCGAATTATCATGCATGGGGCTTAGCACGAACGGTGTTTTGCGTTTATATTGTACAGCACTGTCCAGAAATAACCTGATAACCAAATCGAAAAAAACCGTAACTCGTAAGAAATGTCTGTCAGACCGAGTTAGGCCGAGGTTTAACCTCCGTCTCACCGCGGTTGGATCTAGGTTCCACCGTGATCAGACCGAGGTTTGACCAAGGTTAACCGCGGTCTTCGTTAGGTTATTTCTGGAACGCAAAACACCGTTCGTGCTAAATAATTTTGCATGTTAAGTCCCATGATTCGCTTGTATACCTTTCTTGACACGCCTGGAACACGTTCAGGAAACGTACAATAAGAACTCTCAAAATAATTGGTCGATAATTAAACCACTTAAGATGGGAAATTTTGTTCATTAATATATACAATATATCAACGCAAAACTACACCGTTTGTGCTAAATAAATTTGCACCTTAAGTTCCATGATTCGCTTGTATACCTTTCTTGACACGCCTGGAACATGTTCAGGAAACGTACAATAAGAACTCTCAAAATAGTTGGTGGGTAAATAAACCATGGGAAGTTTTGTTAAAATGGGAAGTTTTGTTAAAATGGGAAGTTTTGTTAAGGAACTGGGCATATTGCGTGTTAACGATGTGTACTGGAAATCGTATCTTTTCATATGCCGATACCTTGGCGCAAGTTGAGTGATAAACTGAGTGCACCGATATTGTCGATTTTTATGTCAGAAAACAATCATTATTTACCCTTTGAGTTTCCACGTGGAACGGTTGCATATGAGCTACAAGCATTGAGGAACAAAATACTAGACTTTTATGATCAGAATCGTATTGATAATAGCTCAATATTGGCGTATAAGAGAGGACATTATGAGCGAAATGTGTCATAACCAGAAATTCAGGATAATAATTACCATAAAAGTTCATAACGCCAGGATTTCGCAAGAAACGCCTTTTGGTTTTAAATCTATTTTTTCCACTATTTTTTCTAACAGCCTGTCTCGCTTTCGTAGGTACGAAATTTTTATGTTGTTGCAATTGTTGAATTATTCTAAATGGTTCATATCTGTTGGATGTATGATAAATAGCGAGCGCAAAAGGGTCGTGTGGATTCTTATGAAAGCAAACGCGGTCAGATCGTTAGATTTAAAGCGAATCGACATCAAATATTTCAATATCGCGTTGTTGGTGTGGCATTAGCCGCATTACCCTTATTTAACCTATTTAACCTAAATGGTTCTGTGTAAAAATCTGAACTGTATGATTTGTCTGTTAAGTCAGGGAATCTTAAAAACATGTGTCAGGTGTTCTCATGCAGGTAATACCTTTGAATACTGCATATACTGCAGCAGTATTTAACCAACGGTCTCTAACACTGAAATGACTCCTCTTGTGTGGATGAACTGACAGTGATAGTTAAAACTGTTGTAAAATCACAAACACACGCAGATTTCTATACAATAAAACCTTTACTTCTGATTTCTATTTCTCTAATTTCAATGGTCTTTCAGACACGTTCAATTCTCATCAATTAAAACAACTGTTGTCAGCTAAAAAATCTGTTCGTAATTTTATCTATACGGTCCTTGAGATGATCATCTGTGGCTTTTGTAAAATTTCATGAAAACGCATTACCAGAATACACGGCATTCCTAAATGATCAACAAATCCTAAATACACGAATTGAATCCCTGCGATTAAGTTAGGATTAAGGTAAGTCTTAGATTACATTTAAAGTCGATTAGCGTTAACCCAAATCCCAAATCTCACCGTAATCCTAACCTAATGTTGTAAACTTGTAAAGCATTTACATAGTAGCGCATTTAGGACTTACTGATCATTAGATTAGGACCGGCTTGAAGTTTACGTATCCTGGAGATGTGTTCACTATAACTATTCTCTATCATAACTGCTTTCCACATAAGCAGTTAAAGAACCGAACATATTTTATAAATAAAAAATAATCTCCCTATTGTTTTTTTCTAGTACTCGTCCTAAGGTATGACTGGTCCGCAGCACGAGAATTCCATCCCTGAACCCCGCCTAATAAATTAATATCATAAATAACATTAAATGTTACATCTTTCCGGCTCTGCTTAATCGATTCGATGACGCTTTTCTCGATCTCCTCGAAGTACCGCACGGACGTGTACCCATCCCGTACCGACCGGCACAAAGTCACCATCCCGGGGTTCGGGTACTTCTTTGCCCCCAGCATGCGCTGCAAGCGTTTGAGACGTAATATCAGCTCGTTTTCCCCAGGCGAGTGCTGCGTGACGATCGTGGTATTGGGCTCGTTCGCGCCGTGGCACAGCTGGAAACCGTTCGCCTGGTAACTTCGCGGCGACGTCTGCATGCAGAAGCCTAAATCTGCGCATGCTCGTATCTGCGACACGTCCAACTCGATAAAGTACTCGATCAGCATTTCCAAACGTTTCTGGCGCACATCTCGCGTGAGGTCACAAAATATTCCCTTGTTCAAGTGCCTCATGATGACGCGGTTTATTTCCTTCGAGAATTCCCTGCTTTTTGGACTCTGGGGGGTGACGCAAGAGATGCCCTCCACTTCGCTGCTTTTACAATGCTTAATCGTCAATCCGAGCAGGATTTGCATGAAGCGATTTGCGATACCCTCGTGTACCGTGAGCTGTGGACAAAACAACTCGTTCATGAGTTCGTCAATTTCGTCCACAACCGTCCAAGGTATTCCCGCGTCGATCAAACGATGTCCTCTCAGGACACAGCCGAAAAAATCCTCGTCGATGTCAAGGAGTAAGGATTCGCCTTCTTGAACAAGCTCACCGAGATTCAGCTTATGCAAAGCTTCATAGTCGACGATCTGTCGAAAAATGATATGCGCATTGATATCACAGAGCTTCGGATCAACTTCGGTGCCGTCGTAATCCGGCTCCTCCGCGAACTTGGAACGATTTACGTACTGGCACATCTGCTTGGTTTTGCCGTCTTTGTCGTACTGACATTCGCAGAAATTTTTTTGCTCCCCGTCGGAAAAAACGCCGCCGCCAAATTTTTGCGACAAGTCGTCGGCCTCATGGGTATCCTCGTCCCACGAGGGCCAAACCCAAATCACCTTCTTAAACAACCCCGACATAGCCGCAGCCTGGAAAACGGACAACAGGAAAGTTTTCACGAGTAAAAAATAGCTCGTAGCGCGAAGCGAGTGATTCGCCACAAAAAGTGAATCAGTGGTTAATCTGAAATAGACAAATCTTGTTCTTTTTTGAGTAAAAAAGGATTTCTAACCGCTCGAGAGATAAAAAAACTGTAGTTAACTGTGTCCTGTTGGAAACAAGTGAATAAAACAACAGGAAGGTTTTTACGAGTAAAAAATAGCTCGTAGCGCGAAGCTTGTTTTGTACAGAGTGATTCGCTACAAAAAGTGAATCAGTGATTAATCTGAAATATACAAATCTTGTTCTTTTTTTTTAGTTAAAATGATTTCTAACCGCTCAAGAGATAAAAAAAAACTGTATTTAACTGTGTCCTGTTGGAAACAAGTGAATAAGACAACAGGAAAGTTTTCACGAGTAAAACATAGCTCGTATTGTGAAGCTTGTTTTGTACAGAATGATTCGCCACAAAAAGTGAATCAGTGGTTAATCTGAAATATACAAATCTTGTTCTTTTTTGAGTATAAATGATTTCACACCGCGCAAGATATAACAAAACTGTGGTTAACTGTGTCCTGTTGGAAACAAGTGAATGAAACAAGAGGAAAGTTTTTACGAGTAAAACATAGCTCGTAGTGTGAAGCTTGTTTTATACAGAATGATTCGCCACAAAAAGTGAATCAGTGATTCATCTGAATTAGACAAATCTTGTTCTTTTTTGAGTAAAAATGATTTCAAACCGCGCAAGATAACAAAACTGTAGTTAACTGTGTCCTGTTGGAACAAGTGAATGAAATAAAAAATCATCAAATATTAATCAAACAGTCTTTTTCGACTCAACCTGTATTACTTGATAAAGCAGTACTGCATTGGCTTCAGTTAATTTGCTGCCCCTAGCTGTGCCCCATATATATTGCAAGTCAACAGACTATAAAACATCTATCAGAAGTGAATTGCATTCAACAAAATTGGATCGTGTGAACAACAGATCTAAATATTGTGAAATACTGCTGAAATTTTAAGAAATGTGGTGTTCATATAAATCATCGTTGAAAAATCCCTCGCGTAACAAACAGAAAGGCTGTCACTGCTTTTTTTTATTAAAGATTGAATAAAACGTGGTGTCCTTTGACAAATTATGTACACAGCACGTTGCAAAACAGTCGCGTCACAACACTGAGAGGCTGTCACTCCTTTTTTAATTAAGATTGAATAAATAACTTGTGTGTTGAACATAAATTTCCCACCTGTATAAACACGTCGTTGCTTTGCATCATGGCTGTCACCTCACGTGAATTTTTTGGCCACCTGAATACTGGGTAACCGTCGACCATTTCAGGAGGAGCCATGTCGCTGTGGGCGTCTATGTGAAGCTGAAATGTAAGTCAAATGTAAGTAAGGAAAATGTAAGTCAGCAATGACAACGAAAGTGAAACTCTGTTCAGGGTTAAAGGGACTTCATTTCAATTGAAAATGATAAACAACTCAATTTCAAGCTAGGAACAGTTAAGAAAACGTGTCAACTATCCGTAGTGCCTGGCAGGAATCGGAACCTGCATCGAGTGAAGTATCACTTAATCCGCGTGCAGACCCGTGAATTCGTCTTTTGACAGATGAAAAAGAGCGAACAGTTATGAATTCTCAGTCGTATAAGCGCCCTAATTCAAACGTCCGTAACGTATCCACACGTTCACATTCATCAAAAGAGTTGCAGCAAAAATAGCAATGATCTGGCCTGACTGAACAGTGTCTACGGGGGCAGCCGCGCGTCTGCGCGAGCACCTTTTATCTCTGAAGGCGTGGGTTCGATCTTTGTTATGCCTATGAAAACCACACTACGAATTGACCCCAAATAGATCTTTGCTTAGAATGGTTCTGAGAAGATTTCAAGTACATGCTTGGCGTATCAGTGCTGATAATCCGTCCGCCACCGCATGAGACAATGGTAATCACAGCTACATTCAAGTGCTTGCATGCATGATTTCTCTGGAACATTCTCGGAATAAATAAAATGCGTCGTCATTTGCGAGAAAAGCCAGATAGAAAAGCGGAGAATTTGACTTTGCAACAACATAATCACGCAACACATGTATAACATTCATGCGTAATTTGCAGAGTGCGCGCTGTGGGTTTTGCCAAATACAGTCTGAGTCAAAACAGATGCCTTTTCAATTCAAATGCATGATTTGCCGCGAACTTTTAACTTGACCTGATTAAAACAATCTCCCTTTAATTACGGTTGAATTTAGTCTACAATTTTAGTATCTCTCGCACGATTAAGATTTAGGAAACAAGATATATGTTTACTATTGATTAATCATTTGCTTTCGACAACTTCTGTAAAATAACAACAGCTGCACGGCAAATTTGCATATGAAAAGGCAACAGTTCTTCCCTCTCTCGAGCCCTCCCGTAAAGATCGATAAATTTAAATATGGCAAAACTGATGTGTTTGTAGCCATTTAGAAGGGAAAAAATATGGTTCCACAGCCTTACATACCAACACATTCCCAGCTTTCGGTATTTTTCCCTGGTTTGCTGCGTTGAACCAATACTCCAGAACTAAAATATATAAGAATAAATAAGAATATATACTTGATGTTCGCGTGGTGATTGAATATGTCTTTTTGCAATTCAAGGCCTGGTTTCCATTTGGTCGTGAAACCTCAATGTCGTAAACAAGTCATTTCCATCGATGTGAAATAATCCGTATGGAAATTTGTCTTTACTTTCTGTCTTTAATTTGGCATTGTTGACCGCATTGCACCACCCAGCATTCCCAGCAATATTCTAATGCATCAACCACTTTGACATGTTCACGGCAAAATGATTACGTCTCACGACCTCACGACTAAATGAAAAGCAGCCCTTATCGTTCAACCTGGGGCCGGTATCAAAATTAAATGACGCTCTTATACATCTCTCTTGAATGTAATTGTAAACCGCATCGTTGTATTAAGGTTAAAAACATTTAGTTTGCTTGTTGAATAAAACGATACAATTGCTTTCTATTTTGAAGTTTGAACTTAACCACCGTTCAATGGGTTTGACACATATAAGGCTGGATCTTAAATTGTTGACTTCTGTCTTCTGTGTATAAATTCGTGTGTGTCATATGCAAATCAAGTCCCTCCACTTTGCCTGTACGGCACTACTTATAAAAGGCTATATCAACAATTTAAAACGTTGATCAGGTAAGGACTATAGGCTGACGTGTTTACGACGTTGTGAACTAGAGGGAGCACGGGAGCTTTCGAACGGCGAGAAAGCATCGTTACGTCAAAAAGCTTTAAACCTAGTTCGAATGGAAATATTTTTGATGGTTTTTTGAATCGCAAATGAGAAACAGAATGAAAATTTTTATCCGATTTCTTATCATCATCAATCGGTGTAGTATTTAACTCAGGTAATAACGGAAATGGGTGAAGCTCTCCCACTTCATCGATGAGCGACAAACATGGTCTGGTTGCTGGTTGTTACAACAGAATAGATTAGATATGGGTTATTCGTGGCTAAATGCCAACGACCAGGACTTGCGTTTGCCAAGCAGTGACCGCAGCTCGATTCAAGAAACGCACTTACATATTAACACTTGAGGTCAATGGCAATGCAGTTTCCCGTTTACAATTTTTCCTGCAATTTCACCCGAAAACAAATGACGCGCACAGCGCAGCTTGATCTTTTCTAGAGCGTTACGTTTCTTCAAACGCTTTCTTCAAACTGTTTAATAGCAATTGTAAATAGACCTTTTAGAGTTATATCTCGTGCAACATTATTGAATTGATAAGAGATGATCTTTGTTGGAGAACTGATACTCATAGAGCTATCCAATATAAATAAAGCTAGTTTAGTTTAGGTTTCCTTCTGTAGTAACACTGGATGAATAAGAGATGATGCTTACTGGACCTCTAGGAAGAACAGTTTAGAATTGATAGAGTTACCCAGTATAAATAAAGTTTGTTTACTTTAGTTTCCTTGTGTGCTGACAAGGGATCAATAAGAGATGATCCTTACTGGACCCCTAGGAAGAACAGTTTAGAACCGATAGAGCTATCCAGTATAAATAAAGTTAGTTTAGTTTAGGTTTCCTCCTGTAGTAACACTAGATCAATAAGAGATGATCCTCACTGGATCTCTAGGAAGAACAGTTTAGAACTGATAGAGCTATCCAGTATAAATATAATTCATTTAGTTTAGTTTCCTGACTTTCCTCCTGTTCTGACACGGGATCAATAAGGGATGACCCTCTGTGGACAATAGGGCTATCGTTTTACGACTAAGGAACCCATAATTTGTGCTGACAATGAATTTCAATGAAAATACTTTGATGGCTTGAAGCATGACCTCATCACAGGAATCGTTCATGCAAGGTTGAATGCGTCGAATTCGAAAACAAGCGAAAGTCCAGAGTATATTTCTGGAGAACAAATATTTGCCAATTCAGTGATGAACACAACCTTTGCGATTGTCGCGTCATCACGCGACGTTGTGCCAGACGCTAAACACCTGAATGCACAGGGTTTCGCATCAATAAACTCAAATGCCGCCCTAGCGGTTGACAATTCATTCATTATTCATGCAAATGAACTAAAAATAATACAAATGCGGCAGTTAAGCGTCGAAATAAGATAAAAAACATTCGACATTTTGGACATTTTGACGATTTTAATGACAGGAAGTCGGGAACGAATTACAACGATAATAACGATAGCGCATGCATTAACAGCGACCATAGAGCTATAAAATGAGTATAAATTAACATTCGATCATTTTATATGCAAGCCTGTGTATAGTTGAGCGCCGAGCTGAAACACAATGATCGCGAGATATTGATTTGCTTTTCAATTCGATCCCAACATCTCGCAATAATAACGCGGTGACTGAAGGCCTAGTAATAGCATTCAAATAGTAGAAATTGTTTCATCGGCTGTCAAAAATAAACGAGAGATTTTCGCGCTGTTCGCCTGGTCGACCGGAATCGATTGAATCATTCGAGTCTTTGAAGCAGTAACCAGCTACCTGCCTCAGACCTACCGTTTCTTGCCACATGCAATCGCCAGAAGGGCTGCTCTCCCTTGCGGCTTGACAAAAGCTGTCGGGGTGGCATGCAGACGGTAGACGAAATTTAAATGGATAACACATGAACTTGCAAAAAATAAAATGATAGGCTCCGTAGATAAAACTAACCTTCATGATGCTCCTCGACTACAATCAAATCCACGCCAGAGCGCTTCGAGGAAATTTTCGTTTCCTTCGGAGCGTCCTCAAAATCTCCAGTATTTACATTGGGTTTGAGCTTGTACGAAGAATTGACAACGAAATAAAGGAATACAATCGAGACGAATGTAGATATAGCGAGGACGCGGAATGTGACACGTCTGCCCCCGAACATTTCGACGATATAAATCAGGGACTATCCGGTTAAACTGCAATTTGTAGCAGCAAGTCAAACTTCGGGGATGTACGAGAGCAGAAGTCGGCCTCACCGCGGCATGGTTGGAGTCGGAATATTTAAAGTTTACATTGAGTGGCAACTGCTTAAACACCCACTGACCATAAACACTACGTGTTACATTTAGCGTGAATTTCAGTAAATAAAATATACAATTTTAAATTGGAATGATCTTGTGTTCAATTATCGTGCTACAGGAAGTACTTAAGATCCACGTCTTGGCAACCAGGCGGATGTGAAGACGCCGGAATACAGGAAGTGTGGATGCATATACGACTTCCAGTACCACAGTTCAAACCGCATGCATCCAAGGACAACGCGTTATGAAAGACATCGAGTTAGATTTCTGCTTTGAACTTTTGAAAAAAGTCCATTTATATTACAAAGTGTGGGATGGATGGGGCCATGCATGCATGGGGGAGATTTTATTGATAGCAATAAAGATGACGGAAATCTTTGTTTATATTGTTCATTATCCATTAAATATATTGGCTTTGTGGAAGCGGTATATATGTTTGATGTTTAATGCACTCGAAATATAGGATAAGTTCGGGTGCTATGGCCGAAATCTGTTTTTCTCAAGTGCGTAGCTGTTGTGAGCAGAAGGTGTTGATATTATCGCGCGAGTAGGAAGGTAGACAACTGAGAATGATTTACATACAACACACACAGACAAGCAGAGATAAGCATGCAGTTACTCTAGCACTATTTCACATCATCGAAAATTACAGGACAGCGTTTCATCCATGCCTGCCACACTAGAAAGCAATCTAGTGAGAAGGTTATCGCGGTTTAAATCCATCTTTATACCAGAAAAATCCAGGTGAAATAAACATCGAAAACAAAAAGCCTTCATCACAAGCATTCTTTAAGAAACAAGTATACGATATTTTGTCTAAACGGATAATTCCCCGTCATTTGCGACCGGAAATTTGCGGGGTTTTCCAAACAAGCAAACAAGGGCTATACGTCAACCTTCTTATCTCTTGAGTTTGCCATGCAGGCAGTTAGATCTTTCGGAAGACATTACGAGTAACCATAATGCAGCCATCGGTTACTCCACTACTTCCAGAAGATGCTTCCTCGTATAAAAAAGTTAAAATATTCGTATGAAAGATCATTAAACAGTGGCGTCAGACTCATTGTCTTTCATACGACGCATTTTAATGCGAATTTTTTAAACCCTGATAGCAAACAACGTATAATTAAATGTGTTTGAAAGATAAGATAAGGTAGGGAAGGTTTAAACGTTTAGCACGACGCATGAAAGCACAGAGTGCTTTCCTATAACCCAGAGGTCAGATCGATCGTATTCTCAGATAAGACACGAAACATTACGTATACGACCAGTTGCATGCATTGAATGCAAACTTTACGTCAAACCATCTCTCGATGCATATAGGGAAAATTCGACAGGTCCCAGTTTGCAAGACCAAAGCTCAGTTTTTAATTCCCACGTTTAATATGTGATGGTAGTCAGGATTTTGTGTAATTCCCACGTATTAAAAAACTTTTTGAAGAATTTCGAGGCAACTAGAACGATTATTAATCCCGAGATCGTCTTGACATTAGTTACAAATGATCTTAAAAACTTCGGATTAACTTGCATGCAACATTTCCAAATGCGATAAGAGATACTTTGACAATGGTCCAAAGCAGACCAAAGCCCACAATGGTAATGCTCACATTGGCTGAATTTGGCACAGAAATTGTTGATCAATGAGATCGAGAGTGGGGGCACGCGACACCTCCCCCCCCCAAAGTGCCCTTTTTGTTTTCTACGTAAGCCCACTTATGCGCGCCCAAATCTTTTGGTAGAGCAAAAAATATAAGCCACACTCGTGGTGTACTTGGAGCTTTGGCAATCAAACCGTCCCTAATCCCTATACATGTCTTTACCTGTCCTTTTCATTAACCAAAAGTGCCCCTGGAATGGCTGGAAAGCAGGTGCCCCCCTCAATCTCTGGATGCTTCCTATACACCCTGATTTGAAATCAGACTCTCACAAGGAGAAAAAACAATTTCTCTTCAAGGACTCAGAGAGTTTGAGAGAGCTTAACAGGGATTTGCGTATAATTTTAGTATATTGCCCAGGTAAGGCCAACATATCTTCTTGTGACGAAGAGGACCCCCCAAAGCTTTAAAAGCACTCAGCTCTATTTATGTTTCAAATGCCATGCCAAGGCTTATTATGGGCTGTGCTAATTTGAAACGCATTTCCGAATCGGATCAACGTTATCGTTGGAGTGAAACTCAATCTGCGCTCTATTTTTCATTGAAAGTTTGAATTAATATTTCGGTACTTTTTCCGACTGATCTGTCTCTTAGAAATTCCGCGGTTGACTTGTCGTTGAGCCAACAACATTTTGTGGCCGAAATCTAATCACACCGAACCCCATAATTTAATTCATTATTATCACGAAAATGTCTTTGTGTATGTAACATTTTTTGTCCGAATGACACGGAGTGTTTATAGAATCGCAGGTTGCTAGGCATAAAAAATGCGACTGGCCAAATATTTGCGTTCCATTTTAAGAGAAAATGAACTTTTTAACGTGTTATTTGTTTTCGGTAATTGCAATGTTTTTGTTCCGGAAAATGTCAATTTACGGTTCGCTCAATGTTTAAACAGTTGCATGCAGCAATCAAAGAAATATATTTCTCAGTCAATCATTGGGTTAATCGTACTGCTTTACTTTGGAAGTATTTCATAAACATTTACTTATTGATAAGATGGCCTATAAATTGAAAAATACAACGAGATTTTGATAAAAGGTTTTGAGAGCTAGTTTGTATATAGTGCAACTAAACGTTTTCAGGGGAATTCACCCCCCCCCCCAGGCCCCTCTCCCTGAAGCCGTCAAAAATCCTGTTATACTTTTCACGTATAGTCCATCTTACCAACAGGAATCAGTATCTTTGTACTTTACCTTCTACATAGAAACTATTTAATACTTGAATGTAATTAAGAGATTGTAGCGTTTTTCAATGATGACGTGATTTGGCCGAGGCTCGTTGCCATGGGACTGCCCTTATATTCAGCGACCCCATCTGCTGACGTCAGCAGGTCAACCTAAAAGGGCAAGATGACGAATACGTACATTGATTGACGCGTGAAATAAATTTGAAGTAATTATGCAGGGATTTAGGCTACTTTACCAAAACTGGTATGTGCAGAATTGCTAGGAATGCACGCATCGTAATCTCGCCTAAAAAAGCTTACTCCAAGATATTGAGATGATTTATGCTGGCCAAACTTCACTTGCTAGCCTCCGATAAGAAAATTTTAATCTCAATATGCCAGCAACTAGATCTCAAGAGAAAAGCTTTCCTTATATATGGCTGCCTTTGAAACAATATACTGATTATTAAACTCAGAAGCGCCAAATTCTCTCGGGGAATTTGTTTTCAAAATGTCATAGTAATTGTGCCAAAATCATTTTCTTTTACTGAAATTTCCTTGCAAGGAAATGCATCAACTTGGACGTTTTGTGCATATTTACAACCACTCATCAGTTTACAAGCATATAGGCGAGCATACAGGTACACGGCTCTATTGTAAGCCACATAATTTAGCACTACCTCGTGTTTATAATAGATATGTCAATCAATAGAACTGTGTGTCAAAATAATAAAACAGAAGTCCGTATGTTACAGGAAGCACGTTTCTCCAGCAACCTGTGTTCTGCTGACGGATTTCGGGCGAAAAGGGATGTTGTGCAAAGAGATATTACGCGTATTCGTGCGTTAGGAAAAAGCGTGGCATGAATCTCACGCTGATATTTCTCCTAAAAAACATGCCCCGAAGGCAGTTACGAAATGAGGGAATTATCATTTTTCCAACTTTGATATTTGCATGATGAGTTGATCAGCAATTCTTGAAACATGTTTAACGAAACACGCATATTGGTATAAGTTGCAACACAGCACACGGTCGAAAACCTCGAAATATTGACTAGATAAGCGGTATAAGGTAGCAAATTAAACCGCGTTTCCCAATTCAATATCTTTCTACCTCAAAACACCAGACCCCTACTTCGGGTGAGTAGGTTAAACCCAGTATTACGATCACTATCACTGAAACCACAACCAAGGGTTTGTTTGGTCATCACGAGGGACACGATAGAGCTAAAACCAACGATAGAGCTAAAGCCCTTTATACAAGGGGTTTAGGGCAGGGCTCTCTCTCCAACAGCGACTGCAATCTCTTAAAATAAGCAGATAGCAGATCGATTTATTCTCATTTTGGAAAGATATCCAAAAGGAATGCCAGAGAAAGGAGCTTCGAAATTGAGCCATAAGCATGCAAACTCCTTCTGTTTCAGAGAATCGATACTAGGAGCCGTTTAAAAAGCATGCAGTTAGTTTTACTTTCTCACCTGGATGGATTCAAAGACTTTCTTCTTAGGATTTAGTTCCTCGTCGGGCTCTGAAACGAGTAAAAATACTCTCCTTATTCACAAGAGGCTCAAAAACTCTTTAACTACAAATATCTACAATGTAATGGTTCGCTAAAGCATCAGTAACGTGGACAATCGCCACGAACCTCCATGTCTCTCGTGCTCATACCCCTCCACGGTTACTCGGTCGCCAGGCTTACTTCCATTTGGCGGATCTAACGGTACAACCTCACGCTTACCATCTGATCTGAAAGTAAAATATATTGTGTGATAAGTTCTAACTAGAATGCAAACAAGACGTAAACAAGCATAAGCCGTATTTAGGGCGATGTTAAGCAGGAAATGCAGGCTAAATTTGATCGGTTTTAAAGCGATTAAGTTGACGAAGTCGATTACAGTTGATTCATAACATTGGCCACAACTTTGAACTACAAAATTAGGCGCATTGACTACGATTTTACACATTACATTCATAAATGACTAAAATGAGTGTATTTTAGGTTTAAGCGTATGGTAATTAATGAGGTCAAAGTAAAGGGGAATGAATGTGCATAAGTAGTTAGTTCTGTTGGGAGTTTTCTGTGCTAACATGTGTTTAAACAACCTCGTACCCAGGGTCTTTTCTCTGTGCTCACTATTGGGGGGGGGGGCAGCACAGAGATCCTGGGTACGAGGTTGGTATTCAAATCCACCCGGCCAAAATCGTTGCGTGTGCGTCCGTTCTTAGCAGCACACTTACCCAGTCAAACTTGCACACAGCAACATTGCCTGAGATTTGATACCTGGCGGGATGAAATAATATTGAGAATTAAGCAAGTGTATATCAATAGAAAACGAGGCCAGAATGAACTTCTGGGGCCTCCTCTGATAGGAACTGATATATCTTAAAGAGAAAAGTTCCAACTGATGTGCATCAGGTTCTAAATCAGTCTCAAAAGTCTTCCGCTGATAGCGACGCTTGTAAGGTAGGCTACTAATCCAGTGTATTATCAGATCAGTGATTTATCACTAGCTACTGATCCCATCTATTTTCAGATCAGTTTATTCCTCACTCGCCACTGTAACTCGCTCACTGATCCAGTTTACTTTCAGATCAGTTGATTCGTCACTCGCTCACTGATCCAGTTTACTTTCAGATCAGTTGATTCGCTCACTGATCCAGTTTACTTTCCGATTAGTTGTTTCGACACTTGCCTTTCATGTTGACTGGTTTGGTGTTACATAACACAAGAACCAGACGATCTTGAAGTTTTTCCAATGGGAACAAGCCAGAGAGACCGCTGATCACGGTACGCGTCTCTAAATGGGAGGGAAAACAAACCTAATGCATAAACCTCATTGGCCGTTTCCCCAACTACAGAATTATGTGGAAAATATAGGGTCACTCTAATTTTATTAGCGCGATTGAAAACTACTTGGGTGTATAGCGCTATCCAGCTTTAGGTGTGGTTCACACTAGCTCCTAAGAATCGGGGATCCATTGTATTTTTTTCCGACAGACAAAGCATTTTGCGCACCAGCGACCTCAGACAAAGGGAATCTCAGATTCTTACGACAAGTGGGAACCAGTCACTGATGTGATCCTGGCTTTACTTTTCAGTACAACCCTCCCGCAGATTAACGAGAAAACAGATGCGTCAATCCGAGAGGCAACCCAGAGGCTGATCTCTCAAACAGACAACAACGATATACCTGCTTCACCCACATCAACTTTCTCCACGAACAACTTGTCTGCTTCGGGATGCTTCATAAAGAAAACAAAAATGAATACGCAACATGTACAACGGACATCCCTCCAAGGTTCAGCAACATCGATTTACCTTTTCCGCGGATATGATCTTCCCCACTCTTATATCAAGTCTGGAAGGATCCATGGCACGCTCTGAACCAGCCTTTCCCTCTACAGGAAGTAAGACACATGAATCGTTGACATGAATCTTGAATTGAAAAAACCAGTGTAACCGATACAAGAACTTTTCAAGAAGTTGAAAAGTACTTGTATCTTGAAAGGTACTTGTATCGAACAAGAAGGAATTTCGTTTTGAACAAATCCGCATATTTGTTTACATTTTTCAGGCAGAGCCAATCAGAATTCCTAAATTTTTAATACTTCATGTAAAATGACAAATAATGTAACTTTTTACCGGAAGTAGTAAAGATTTATGCATTCTGATTGGCTTACTGAAAATGTAAACAAATATGCTGATTGGTCCTAAACGAAATTCCCCCATTGCTCTTATATCGGAGCTGCACGAGCTGTGAAATCACTTACTTTTTGATTCCTCGGGATAAGCTTGCTTTTTGAGCTTCTGAAGCTCAGGAGTTTGAAACTTCTCGATGATCGGTGCAAGCAACTTCATTAAAACACAAACAAGAGTTCAACTTAAAAAGTCATTAAAGGCAAAAACATGTTGATATATATTTCATTTCGTTCCATTATAGAGTATACCTTGTTTATCGCAGCTGCAACGCCATTCTTCAAGTCTTGAGGATGTAATTCCTTGAATGAAGTTGAATTTTCTTAGTCACACGCTTTTATTAAATCTCGTTTATATACTTTCAATCATTTTCTTCTTTTAGAAGATGTGAACGAGTAGATAAGTTAAGGATATATAGATAAGGGGAACTTCTTCATCGAAGTGTTTATAACTAATTGCTCGTTTGCATCCATCAAAGGGAGAAAATCACCCAGAAAATGACAGCAATAATCAAATCGTACCCTCTTTGCGAACGTATCCTCAACATCTTGATAAGTTTTGAAGACGATATTTCCACCGTTGGCCTCGCTACGCTCGATAACAAACTCTAAAAAACCAAAAGTTTATAAGGTAGTTTATCTTATGTGATGCAAGTCATCGCGATTGATGCCTCGATCGTGCCGAGGGGAACCCGGAGTGGGGGGGGGGGCGGCGTTCAGCCGCAAGAAAGGGAGAGGGGCACCCCAAGAAAAGTCAGTTTGCTCACCCTTTCCACCTTGCAATTCCAAAATCGGGAAAATGACAAATTTCGCAAAAGAAAGAACTCCGTTCTCCGCAACATTTCCTTCCTCACAAAACGCCTGGAAACAACAGATTTATCTAATCTCTTTTGTCGAAAAGAAATTCTGAACATACTTATAATTGGTTTTTCTCGTGATTTTTTCAATAACAGGGTGGTACCAGGTAGTGGGCGTTGAAAATCTATCATGGGACAGGCTGATTAGCTGAATCCGGCTGGATATCCACAATACAGAAGGAGAAAATGCCAGCATTACCTTAGCCACCTTCTTCTTCACCACACCAGGAGTATCTAAGATATCAATTTTCGAGTCCTGTAAAGGATTTGAGCTCAATCAAGCAAAGCTGATTTACGAACACTGCAGTGAAAATTGTCTTCTCTGCACAGAAGAATTGAAAAGGCAAATGAGAATTTAGGTGACAGGTTTACCAACCTCTTCAGATGAACTCATTTTGGTACCAGTCAGACCAGGTACTAAGAAAAAAAAAACCTTTTAGTTGGAACCTAGAAAGTTTACCTGTAGATGGGTAATCTAGAGTTTTTTAGAAGTTCTCTCTTACCCATTGGATTCATCAAATGTATCCTCTTTTTATACCCAAGCGTTGGAAGGTACTAAACGACAAGTGATTATTTGTAGCTTAGCAATAAATCATCACAAAAATTAAAAGTTTCTAAATGAGATATTTCTGCCTCCTTCCAATGTAAACTTGATATGTATGTATTCATAATATATGACTAAAAAAGGTAGGTGCATACAAAATGTTTTCACTCTTACTTTCTCTGCATAGGTGAAGATTTTCCTCTGATCTAAGCCACCAAACTGTGCATCAACACCCAAATATTCCTCATCAATTGCCTGCGATACAAAAGCACCATTATCAACTTCCATGGATGCATGCAGAACAATGCTTGCTTAGCACTTGCTTATCAATTTACTTGTCAGCAGAATATACCTGTAAACCAGGGTACAGTAAGCCACTCAAAAGAGGATGTTGAACTTGTTTCACAACTTCAGATCCAGCCTTTCGTGCATCGTGCTGAGAAAGGGAAATATGTATAAGCAATTTAGTACTTCAAAAATGGACTACTTCAAAATATACAGTTTTTTAAGATGTCACATGAATCGAGAACAAACCTCGGTCACAATAGTCGACAGCTTGTAGACATCCAGTATATAATCTCTATTGCAAATGGAAAAATCTGAGATTATCAAATGGACAACTAATTAATGAATGTGCTTACTTATATACTTTTCACTTGAAGGCATTTGATTTCTGTAATTTACAAGTATTGCTGGAACAATTGTATGTTGGATTTTTTTCATTAAATTTGTCATCTACAACTATATACCTGCTAAGTTGAAAGTCAGTCCCTTTTACAAATATCAACTTCTCCAAAGGAACATTGATGGATGTTAACATGCCCTGCAAAATTTTGGTAAAACCATTATACTATCATGATGGACAAACAGCAAGCATGCTTTAGGCTCAAACGGACCTTTATAATTTCTTCGTAATAACGAACACGGTATTGAAGCAGTTCCCATGGTGCCTTGAGGTTGTCCAAATATGCGTGAAGGTCAGCAAGCAGTACCTTCACCTGCAGAAAATAAATACACATTGTTCCAGCCTTAAATTAGTACAGTAAGAGTACAGTAACACATAGTCAAAATAGACTGCATTATGTTTATATCAACCCAGTAACTGCACACTACATAATATGGTACTTTATATTAGATACATTGTGAGTGATGGTCGAACCTCACATCCAGCATGAAGGAAGTCTGCTATCTTTGTCATCGGTACAAAATATGCCACATGGGGCTTCCCTGTTGTCGCTGTTCCCCAGTACACTTTCAGTGGCCTTTCTGAAACAATTTCCTTGATTTTGTCACCTCCTAAAACTTCCTGCAAAGCATAGGGTAATCACTTATTAAGGCTGGAAGGTTTGTTTTAGATGTCATAGGGTATTTGGCCATTCACGTTTATCGAATAGTTAGTTGGGTCTTATAAGTCACCTATCTTGGTCTCATAAAAACTGAATATTTTATCTGTATACATGACTTCAAGGTATGGGATTGGCTAGTTCCAAATAAAGGTACGAGATCAAACCATGCACAGGCATAACAACTTGGGTGTGACAAGGCATGCCCTGATCTTACAAAATCAAATCATATTATTTACTATTCCTTGACAGAATTAAGGGCTTAGTTGGCATATATAGGAAATAAGCTAAACATGTAATACAGAAATGTATTCAACAAGGGAACAGTTCTATAATTTTTCTCGACTTCCTGTTTACTATTTCCAGTTAAACGCCTTCTCAGACAAAACATGTGCCATATGCATATATGCTGTCCTATATTTTACCTCATATAAACTCTAAAAACAAAGGCATTTTGTTTGAAACATGTTTGTTTGAAATTATTTTTTATTTCTATCTATTTTGTACATGTAGCTTAGAGAAATTTGATAAACTGAAGATTAAGCACTTTCTCTTTCATGTGTAGATAATAAAACCTGTTACAGCCTGTTACAGCAGCTCTATCCCAGCCAAGCAATTAACAAATTAATAATACAATTGTAAATGCATTTTTTAAATACATAGGGAAAAAGGTTTAAAAATAATGTTCACTATCGTTTTTGCCTATATGGGACGAGGGTAACGCGTACCCAGAAAAGGTGTGTAATACCAGGTACCAAGTTTTCAGTTGAAACATTTTTCATGGAATATGCTTGTACTATATAAATACTAAAATAAAATTATGATTTCAGGTAAGAGTAAACTGGATTATAAACACGGTTTCGCACTAGAAACTATTTAAAAAAGTAACTAAATTTCACGAGGCATCACAGTTGGTGGCACAACGCAAAAAACCCTGCAAAATTTTGCTTACTGGAAACGCTTTCTCGGAATACAAATTTAAGTAAATTGACTTACATTCTAAATTATCACCTTAAAATTTCAAAACAAAATTTATACATCACCAACATAACAAATGTTACAGATCTTACAAAATACCTTTAAATTCTTGGTGATAATAGAAACTTTTTCATCTGTACTATTGTTTTGAGCTGCATCAGCGCCAGAAGTAGCCATCTCTTTAGTTCTTTCAGTTTGAACTTCAAAAGTTGTTAAAATACGCCCAAATATAAACGGCTTTAAGCACGAACTTTTTGCTAGACGAAAAATCGTGACAGAAAATGGAAACTTATTCTCATAAAACAGCGCTCTGCAAACTACGTGTTGCACGTTGCTTTCACAGAAACTTCTGAGTAAGCAATTACCAGGGAACTCTAATATAAATCTCGTACGTCGCGCCCTTCGATATCCTTGTACCCAGGTCTTTAATTGCAACATTACGGCACGGCAACCTCGTGCTCTTTGCATGCATCATTGCAATTGCATCATCCAATTGCGTCATCCAACCTCGTACTCAGGTCCTTTTGGGCTGAGCCACGGTTGAAACTCCCGGGGACTAGGACCGAGCAATGTTTGCGACACACTCTGACTCGGGGTCAAATGTCACAAATTAAGGTTGAAAGATTAATATAAGTAGTTAATTGATATTAGTTATTAATTCGAACATCAACACAGACCTATCAAGTGGGTTAAGTAGGAGTGGGTGGTGGTTAAATACTAGTATGATATATAATCATTAAACATCAAAAATATCCATGCAGACTTGTAAAATATAAACTGTATGACAATGGTGATCTAAGTCAAATGTATTTCCTGTATTTTGAGCCATTTCTTAACTATCCTGACACTGGTCCCCACATCAGAATGTCCAGTTTTTTGCCAGTCTCTGGCAGTTGTTATATACCACATTTAAGAGTGCTCCCTGCTGCTCCCTCATTATTGTGAGGGCTGAAATGAGTAGTGGTTGAACACATAGGAATTGAGCCAGCTACCTTTGGTTTGCATGACCATTTCCCTCATTCCAACACCATAATAACCCCAGTTATGCAACACATTCAATTATAATAACTTAATTTTATGGAAAGAGACAAAGCAATGGTTAATTCATAAATTAATATACTTTATTTATTATCTGTTAAAATCATTAAAATGCAATAAATATATTTTGATACTTTATGTATTTACAAGTTAAAATTTGAATATAATTATCTATACAATGAATGCTGTTTCTATTCAATATACATTTCCAACAACTGAGACATATTCAATCAAAAGCGCCCATTGAGTAAAGGCTAAAGGATACTGATTTTTCGCTCCTGTCACTGACTTCGTATATAACATGAGGACAGACCCTTCGCAATGGTCGCTTTGGAACGCATAAAAATGACAGACAGCAACAACTGGGCACAATGTCTCGACATGCTTCTCTAAATTTACCAATACGGACATAATATACCATAGGGTTTAATACACTGTTTAGGTAGCAGAGCAAAATAAGCACAACTTGTGTGAAGCTTGTGGTTTCTAAGTTTCGACCTGTAACCAAATCTAGCCGAGTGACAAGATAGGGTAGGAAGCAGAAAAAATAACCAATGAAAAGAATCAGAATTGTCAAAAAGGCTCTGGTTTTGAAGCCATAATCAATGTTCATTTTACCTCGCTTGTGGACACGAGTCTCTACGCCTGACACAGGAGGGTGGTTAACAACTTTCGTTGAGTTTTTACGAACCGTGCAAAGAATCCGGTAATAAACATAACCCATAATGAGCATAGGGATAATAATGGTTAGAATATAGAACACTAAGGAATACGAGAAGGCGTCATCATCAAGGGAACACACAATGTGTCCCTTCTCGTAGTTATATCTCCCCCATCCAAATGTAGGTGGAAGGGATAGGATGAATGATATTACCCAGGTTATGCTGATAATGACCTTCGCCTTGTATGGTGTGAGCGTCTCTTCCCGGCGGACAATTATGAGATAACGATCCCAGCTAATTGCAAGCAGTATGTATGTTGATTCGGTCACCAAAAATGAAAAGCAAAATGCATTCACTTTGCATAAAACTGAGCCCAACAGCCATTCTTCTCCAATCACTGTAACTAAAGAGGCAGTCATACAGAGCAGAGCTATAAGAACATCTACAAAAGCCAGATTGGCCAGCAGGAGATTTATAGATGAACGCATCGCGGGCTTTTGATATACAATATAACACACGACTGCATTACCAAACACAGCTGTCGCTATCATGAACACAATAGCTATTATTGCGAAAACTCGAAACGTCGATGAAAAAGGTTTTTCTGACAAGGCCTCTTTGCATCTTTCCAATCCCACGGATGTGATATTCGAATCGTTAGATTGGTTTGTGCAATTTGTAAGCACGCATATTGTACAATTTTTCCACATCAAGGACATTAAAGAAGAGACCCGTCAAATCTAACAGCTGCTGTTCAATTTCATAATTTCAAGCAAAACAAAATATACAGTCCGGTGTCCTTTTAATCGTTTAATCGTTGTTCAAAGATCCGTTATCGAGTGCCAAGGCTTTTCGCATCGCTGCTTCAGACATAACTTCAACTAACAGTCAAAATAACCGTAAAAAAAGTATGACTTTTACTCCTTTCTTTGTTGGCAAAAGTAAGTGTATTGTTTGCACTTGTGACAATGTTGAATTTGTAACATACGATAATTATAAATATTGTAATTGTTTCTGTATATTCTGCCGGGGGGGATTATCAAGGTGGCTGTGGCTCTTATTTCCCCCCCCCCCCGTTGTACTGTAACAAAATGGTGACCGCAGTTGCGGTGTTTCTAGTCGTTCTTGGACTTCAGTATTTCCGTAAATTTTTAACAGATTATGTCACGTTGGTAAGAATCGTTCATTGATTGTGTTTTAGTAAAGTATAGTTGCTTTATAGCTTGCTTGCAGGCACTTTCTTCCTAGGAAAATGTTCCTGTAAGGAAGCTTGTTACTTAATTGATTAGAATTCCAAAATTGGCTGGGTGGGGTCCCTATGGGGCAAGGTGCAATTCAGAAGGGGATGGCCAGCTTTAAAACTGATGTTTATGGGAGACTGTTATTATAATTTGGAATGAGTCTTTCATATTTTCTGTCTTAATAAACCTTTATTTTCTCTTTCTTTGTAGTTTTTGAATCGACCAAGTCCTGATGAAAAGCAACTTGCAATCACCTTAAGGGAACTACAGAACGAACTGTCACACATTAATGCCCAGGTATCAGAAATTATAGCCCTTGGCTGCATAGACATTCCTTAAGACTGCTATTTGAAAAACAATTAAAGACTACCCAAATAATGCCGTCTTTTTTAGCATGAGTTTGCCAAATATGCAAAGTTGAAACGACTCATTAGCAAACATGAAGATAAATTTCGCAGTCAAGGTGAGCAGTTTCATCAAAATCGAGGTTTAAAAAAAGTGGTTATATTCATGCAATAATTCATCTTACTACAGGATTACAGCGACAAAAACATGGTCTTAAAATAAAAGGAGTTTTGTGGACTGTTGGCATCGCATTCACTGTAGTTTGCCATTCATGGATCATGTGGAATTACAGATCTGTTCCATTGGTGGAAATGCCAACTGACTGGCTTGCACCATTAAACCCTATTCTTAAGTTTCCAACAAATGTTGATGGTGAGTAAGTTAAGTTATTGCCGGAAGCCACCAGTATCCTACTCTTTCATTACATGGTCATGAAACATTTGATCATGATGGTATTTTCTTTGTTACAGGTGCTATTGGTCTACCAGCATGGCTTGTTATTAGCAATTCTGTTATTTTTCAACTGCAAAGGATGTGGTCACCCTAAAGCATCAAAATTAACCACAAACATAGCAAGAACGGAAAATTATGAAGACTATAAAACAAATTATTTAATTTTATTACAAAAGTTTATTCATTAAGTCGTGCTGTAGAAGTTTTTCCCAAGTCAGTCTGAAATCCTCTCAACTTAGTACCCCACGGTCTGTGAATACTGAAGAGTGCCCTGTGACAGAGATTGCAATGGTGCCACTGTGTATTGTAAGTGCAAACGACGGTTTAATTGCTGCGATTTGTGTAATCAGCGGTTATCCACAAGGTGTTCATCGTTCACATCTGCGAAACCGACGGTACTGATAAGAGACCGCATATGCATGTAGTCAGCAGTCGCCCCCATGGTTTCCACGTTCCACCAGCTCCACGTGTCACGAACTCGAGCGTCAGCACGCGCTGACCTTCGTTTTCTTGCATCAGAGAATTGAGAACTTTGACCAAGGAAAGCATTGTATTTCATCGCTTTCAAAAGGCGTGTGCAATGAGACAGATCTACCGATTGCTGCACTTCTTGGTCACATTAATCTTCTCATTCCTGATCAACTTTCGTTACTATTTCAAGTTGACGAGACGAAAAGTTCGGGGAGTATTTTACACAACTCCAGAGAGTGACATTACAAATGGAGTAGCGACTTTGGGCAACCTTCCTCGTCACCTGACGTTTATCCTGACGGAAAAGGACCTGGATTTGTGTATTTTAGGAAAATTGGTTGTGTGGGCTATGAAAGCAGGGATAACATACATTAGCGTACAAGCCACTGAGAGTAAGAAGTTACGAAATATAGATTATTTGAAGCATATACAATAGTATCAAACGTGTATTAGACGTGTCCATGATGTGTATATGTAAATTGTGCAGGTTAATATCCGATTAGAACGATTTAGATTAATTATTTCTGTGAATTGGAATATGATTGGTTCTGAGAACTGTCCATGTGATGGAAACGCCTGTTGTAGTGGTTGATTCTTGAGTTGTCATAGTTGATTTGTGTGTTTTTCTGGATGTAGTGTGTGATACCTGTTCAATACAAGTGCATTTGTTGCTGTATTGTATAAAATTGGGGAGGATTAGATCAAGTAGATCTAATTGCGCCTGTGCATGCAGCATCGGGGAAACTTGGTGTGTGTTACATGCTAGATATATCCTGCATAAGGTTACAAAATTACAAAACATTTCAGACAGCATTTGTTGTTGCATTTCAACTAAGAAATTTGAAGTAACAATAAATTTTTATGAAATTGTGTTGATTATTATTTGTAATCACCCCGAAATTTATACTAAAACAATTAGTCGCCTTAGGCTCGGTGATTACAAGCCTTTATTCACTTTGACTTCAACTCAGTGAATATAGACTTGAAATCACCTCACCTTCGGCGACTAATTGTTAAATGATATTACATGTCAATTTACCACAAGTTAGTGAGTTACAGGTGTACACTTTGTCAGAAAAGGTTAAAAATCCATTGTTTAAAATAGCAAAGTTCCCATTCTTTAACTTATGAGCCACTGTCAAATGTATGTTTAATATGTTTATGATCTATTCTCAATCTAGGTGACTTAAATGAAAGAAAAACAGAGTTTTATCATGAGGTCTATCAAATTAAAGAAGAGATGTCCACTTGTGATTATGAACTACATTTCAGAGATAAAGATCTTCCATATCAGAATGGTGTTAATGGCATAGGTAGTAAAAACATGAATTCAATTTAGGTTTTAGCAGATATGAAATCCCTGTCACTTATAGTGGTGTACGTCACTGAGAATTACAACGAAAATGATTGATATTCTCCAAGATAGGTTCATGTGTTAAGTGCTTCCTGCGGCAATATGAATACGCACCAGTTCATTGTTCAGAATCTTTCTTACAGTCCACAAAAGTCGGCGAAAAGTACATCTGAGTATATTATCTTACCATGAGGGTAAAGAAGATATTGTAAGAGCAGCGCAGGAGTTCTGTACAAGAGTCAAAAATGAAGAAGCTCAGTCAAAAATTATGGACATAGAACATTTTTCTCAATTACTAGAAGGTAATAACCATTTTGTTTAATTTCCCAAAGTAATGAATGAGGATAACATATTTGTCTGAGATGCTGTGATTATCATTTCCCAAAGTAATGAATGAGGATAAACATATTTGTCTGAGATGCTGTGATTATGCCTGTTAAATAACTTGGAATGCTTTTTTTATTTTCATGCAGTTAATAAAGATTTTCCTGATCCAGATTTAGCAATAGCCTTTGGCCAGACAGATAGCCTTTGTGATTACCCTCCCTGGCAGATACGATTAACAGAATTTATGTAAGTGTTTTGTTTACTGGCTTTTCGTTGAAAAATAAAATTGTTTCACATTAAATGAGATCAAATACTTCCTCATCAAAAGACTGTAATTATAGGCATATTGTTAGCACTGGCTACTGGATGATAGTTTTGTTAACCTGTTTACTGGCAGTAATAATCTAAAAGCATGAAATTATTGGCATTATTGAAAGAGTTTGGGTGTTTTAAAGTTATAGTAAAAGCAACATTTCTGCTTGCATTGCAAAGTCAACCAAACAGTTTTGTTACCATTTTTCCTGGCAAAAAAATTGGAATATAAGCCTGATTCTCTGGTATTCAGCATTAATATACTAAGTATAGTTGTACCTTGAACTTGGTGTATTGCCAAATGATTAGCTGATTTCCACCATGAGCTTAATCAGTTTCATCTAATCATCTCTTCATAGATTTCTTCCCTCGCTCAAAGTTATGGATCATACATCATTTCTACAGACACTACGCCGTTATAGTAAATGTGAACAGAGACTTGGCAGATAGCATTTGGCTGTAATAGAATGAATTTTTCTGTTTGACTTTTATACCAATGCCATGCATGTATTTAAAAATGGGATATTTTTAAACGTCGTGAGTTAGCCAGCTTTATATATCGATGGGATTGTAAAGAGTTAGGAATTGACTGTACAGAATGAATAACTTTGGTTTATCCAAGGACAGACCAAGGTTGCGTGGCAGTTTTCAAATGGAGGAAAGTTCGTTGACTGAGACTGAGTTGAGAGTTAGGCAAGCAAGCAAGAGTTTGCATTTACGAGAGTTTGCGAAACTCACGAAAACAAGAGTTTTATTGGACTTAATGGGTTATTTAAACGGATGAAACAAGGAAAAACTCTACTGTCTCTATGTCTAGGCAAAATTCGCGAACTTATGTCAATGAGTGCATTACCTTTTCAAACACGAGCAATATTCTCGTTAACTCTCACATCAACTTTCATCGTCGTTTGACCAGGTTTTGCCTGGCGAAAGGCGACCAGTTTAAGACATGCAAATTGTGACTTAAAAAAGTAAAAAGAACTACCAAAGCCAGTAAATTTTATCTCCGCAAGACACGAATTATAAAAGAAAAAATAAAACAACCGAACTGAAATTACAATTTTGTTTGAAGCGTCAATTAATCATGGGACGACATGTAACAAAGATCTTTGTAATAGTAATATAGAAATACAGTAATTACATTAAAATATCGCTTTGGGGGGGTTAATGAGGTCGGAAAATAACTCCCTGCGACCAACTGACGTTACCTTGACTTTGATGGGACAATCCTTTTTCTCGCGACCACTGAAGTGGCTATGCGTAGGAGACGATTTCGAGTACAGCCAATATGGTTATCGTGCATGACCTGATCTAAATATATCCAGTTCAGCTGGTAGTATTTGAAGAATGCTATAAACTCGATGTTTCGAAAAACCCAGAAGACAGGTGAGGAAGTCCATGATCTTTCGGGAAACTTAACTAATTTCATTGCTGTAAGTGTGTCGTATTATACAACAGGTTTGGAATGCTGCAATTTCTGTTTTGATCACCCCAAAAGTTTATGTCTGCTCCCCATTTCACAATATCTTTATGCCTTAAACACTAAGAAAGTTCACCCCCCTTTTTTTTCAACAAGCACATAATTTTTTGACACAACACTTACATAAGGTAAAACATTCCCAGCGAGTTGCTGTATATTTTCCAAAGGCTAAACTTTACCACGACACGCGAGAAATATTGAGGTCTGAAAAGAAACAAAAAGTTTTGATTCGCGTTTTTAATGGATGCGAATTTGGCATGGAAAGCACTTGGTCTCTGTTACTTCCACAGGATTAAAGCGATAGTTTTAATTTGCATGAGACCTCATTAAGAAGGGTCAAAGATAAAGTGCGGTTAACGATTATTACAGTTCAATTGCATAACAACTAACTTGAAAGACCTGCTTTTTCCGGCATTTAGACTCGAAATTAGAGAACTCATCACAACGTGATAATGTATGTTTTGTATCCGATCTCATGACGATGTGGAAATACATATTCTGAGTAAGATTCGTGTCCATTGATCCATCAGTTCTAAACTGCTCTTCCTGGAGGTCCAGTAAGGATCATCTCTTATTGATCCAGTGTTACTACAGGATGAAACTTAAACTAAACTAACTTTATTTATACTGGATAGCTCTATCAGTTCTAAACTGTTCTTTCTAGAGGTCTAGTAAGGATCATCTCTTATTGATCCAGGGTTATTACAGGAGGAAACCTAAACTGAACTAACTTCATTTATACTGGATAACTCTATCAGTTCTAAACTGTTCTTTCTAGAGGTCCAGTAAGGATCATCTCTTTTTGATCCAGTGTTACTACACGAGGAAACCTAAACTAAATTAACGTTATTTGTACTGGATAGCTCTATCAGTTCTAAACTGTTCTTTCTAAAGGTCCAGTAAGGATAATCTCTTGTTGATCCAGTGTTACTACAGGAGGAAACCTACACTAACTTTATTTATACTGGATAGCTCTATCTGTTCTAAACTGTTTTTCCTAGAGATGTCCAGTAAAGATCATCATCTCTTATTGATCCATCCAGTGCGTATTACCACGAAAGGGAAGGCCTGAGCTAAACTAAACTAAACTATATTTAAACTGGATGGCTCCATTAGTTTGAAGGTAATTACAAAGACACTTCCTTGCAATGTAAATATATATATATATATATAATCAACATGAAAACTATATATATCATGAGCACTAACAGTCGGCATTTCTCATGAGCAAAATAAGAATAACCACAGTCGGTTTTAGCTCCCCTAGGAAGGAATCGTAGGCGTTTTCTAGATCTCTTGATTCCCAATGCAGTTATCTGGCCTTTGTTCAGAACATCTAAGATCCGATATCAACCGAGCTTCGAGTGATAAATGACAGCAGGATTTACATATTCACTTACACAGGTCCGGCACAGAACTTTCGAGGCAACTTTGTTGAAAAAAACGGAAGTACTTGGGGTAACGAAGCGTTTTCATCGATTAAGTTCAGTACCGTGTTGAAATTCGTACGTGAAATTCCTGCTAGTGAAATTGAACAAAAAAACAAAACTTCTATAAACAAAATGTGGAAATTCATCGATTTCCCTTCCAATTTTTCATCTTGAAAACGTGCAGAAAAACACATGCATATTGGTCCTTAAAAAGCCTGTGTCTCAGGCCCATAAATGGAAAGGTTTATGAACAGCACATGCATCTTGCCTTTCCGTCCGAAAAGTCTGTATTTGGAAACGATTTTAAGGAGCCCTACTCAAGCTGAACTTGGTTATACACAAAAAGGGGGAAATTGAAATTAAGTGCTCCGTTGATTTTGAATGACTTCGTAATATCACTGACGAAGTCGTTTAATTTACACCATCCTAAATGTTAGTTCCTCACGATTTGACCTACAGGAATGATATATGAGAGCATTTCACCGGCTCTAGGAATGGACATCACAATTGCTGGATATCTCTAAACAAAACCCAAGTAAACAGATTTCGCACTCGGACCTCTGCATCTCTGAAAACACTCATAAAGAACCTATTTACGGCCTGGCAAAATGATTGCGGTCAGGGCTTGAGTGTTTTTAAACGCAATGAGAAAGAACACAATGTCTGTCTTTTCTTCCGTGGCGACCAATTTGATCTCAATTATTGAACACCCTCATTTGTACGGATGTAAGTTTTCAAGTGAAATTAAGTACCAGAGCACATTCTTATCACATTGCTTCACTTAACCGCAAGTGGCCTGAGAAATCTCAAAGGTAATTAGGACTGTCATCTTTCCTATAAAGCAGGCGTTTACACGAGACTCGAAGCAAGACAGGACTGATCTCTCATTTGCACTACAGCAGTACATCGATCGTATAAACCTCCGACTTCGTGATCCAAGACCACGCATAATGGCTGCATTTTCAAAAAAGGCGATCATTTTTGGTTTTCTCATGTTCCTCATGTTTACTTTGAATGCCCAAGAAACGGCTGCAGGCAATGGACCTATTTCCAGCTACTTGATCGAGATGTACAAGAATTGGACGAACAAGAGTGGACCAGCAAATCCGAAAATTCCATTTAACGCTACCGTTGTTCAAGCTATGTACTTCGCCCCAATCAGAGGTACAGTGATAACTTATTACATGAAAATTTCAACGTGTATGCAGATATTTCAGTTCAGATTGTCCCTAGAAGTTTGGATAAAGGTTCAGCGTTTCCAACTGTGATATCATTTGATTGACTATAAGAGATGATCCTTACTGGACCTCTAGGAAGAACAGTTTAGAACTGATAGAGCTATCCAGTATAAATAAAGTTAGTTTAGTTTAGGTTTCCTCCTGTAGTAGCACTGGATCAATAAGAGATGATCCTTACTGGACCTCTAGGAACAACATTTTAGAACTGATAGAGCTATCCAGTATAAATAAAGTTAGTTTAGGTTTAATTTTCTCCTGGACTGGTGTAACTGGATCAATAAGAGATGATCCCTACTGGACCTATAGAAGAAAGACTGACAGAGCTTCCCAGCATAAAGTTATTGGCTACTGGATCAATAGAGATGAATTGGTCCTTACTGTACTTCTCGAAATCTGTTTTTAGGCAAAAGCAGCAATCCTCTGAAGCTGACAGTGGACATTGGAAAGAAAAAAGGAGCCAAATTGACACGAGACGAGCTCCATATTTACATCATCAAACCAGCAAACTCTCCTAACGCCCAGACCTTCACCATCAAGATCACAGATAGTCAGAGCAAGAAAATGATGGCTTCTCGAAAGATCACACTTCAAACCTCTGGCTGGATCACAATATCTCTGAATCTCAGCGTGCAAGCCTGGTTTGACAGTGGCAAAGGCGTAAAAAGCCTCACCGTCGAGCTTGTGTTCGAAAATGCAATCGCAAATGGGCACAAAGAACCCAGGATTGCAACAGGCTCGGCCAAGCGACCTTATTTGATCATCTATATGGATTAAGGACGAATAGACTGTTTTGAACGTTTGTAGCATAGTTAAACTTTTGCATGACAAAAAATTGGAAGAATCCAAGCATTTAGCTTGGTATAGCTTCATCAATTTGCAAGATTAAAACATTTAGCAGGATTTCCATGTAGTGACATAATTTTCTGAAGTATAAGATTTTTTTCAAGTGTTTTTTCAAAGAGAACGTGTATCACTAGTGACTTGATCTTTAATTGATTTTTAATGTCATCATTCAAGATTCAATAAGTATATGTGTTTTTTGTGAAATAGATCTGTGGACTGCACATGACCGTGTTCTGTGTTTGGTATTTACATGAAGTATACACGTCTAACTGCATGTGCTGTATCTGCTGGGGCTGGTTGTATGAAAGCCGGATAACGCTATCCACCGAATAGTATTTTTAAATCGCTTTAAAATCGCCCGTTGTTGGGTATAACTTTGATTAAATCTCGGTATTCCTAAATTGAAGAACCTCTTTAACAATAGTTGGTCACATAGCTGAAATTTTATTGCTATTCAAGCATTTTTAGAAGGGTTGAAAAATCACTATCCCGCTTTCATACAACCGGCCCCTGTTCTACAACCATTTTTGGACGCATGAGTGTGACAAAAATAGTCGTACTCCACGAATATATTACATCGCAGCTGGGTGGGCTAAACATCGTAGATTTAAACACTGATTCGTGCGGAATTCCGCCTGGTATATATATATAAACAAGGTGCCAAAAATCAACGTACTCTCTACAAATTCTACAGGATGTTTTATTTTCAATTTACATAATAAAAAAAATTCACTCTACATTTACACCGTCTGCTGCATGTCAGGTTCTTTTCTTGTGTGGCGATCTATACAAGAAAATAGAAATACGAACAAAAAATAAGCCTCGTTGCTACTTGAAAAGAAAAGTGATCTAGGGCGTAATGAGTCTGTTAGGAGAAACAGCGCTGCATATCTACAGTTCCTTTTATGATCAACAAAGATTTGGCCCCATTTCACGTTTGATTAGGACTGACACGACTGATGATTGCAAAACGTTTTTATCTCTATCATGCATGGTACTACAGCGTTAGAGTTCTCAACCTTAAAGCCTGGTTCACACTTGTCCCAAGAATCTGGGATTGCCTTTGTCTGAGGTCGCTGGTGCACAAAATTCTTTTTGTCAAAATGGCCAATGTTATAGAATATCGGCAATGTGTGTTCACTCAACAATGACCGATTTAAAACCAGAAATAAAGAGAAATTATCAACTGGATTATCTCATATCTATGAAAAAGACTCGTGCATTCACGACAAAATTGGGACTAGGAAAAAATGGCAGAAATTCCTCACTAGTCCTTTTTATTTTCACAATGTACTATTCAGTGTTTTTCTCCCGACATGACCAATGTTTGTAAACAGTGGTTGCATTCCCGGAATATTTCGCATCTCTGAATGGATACCCAGACTATGGACCTCCAGAGAGAAGCTTTAATAAAACCAGATGAGGTATAATTAACCAAATGAGGCATTATTTGCCAGATGAGGCATTATTTGCCTAATGAGGTATTATATGCAAAATCGACTCCAACTTCTAATCGTCTCCAAATGCGATTATAAATAGCGACGTTTGTACAACGTTTGTGTGTCACGAAAATATTTCGTGTGCTAAAATTGGATAACACAAGCTAGCAATCTCTCACAATCATATTTGCAATTTTTGCGTTATTTTGATAAACTGATGAATTGATAACCTACTGTATTTACCTAGATTTGTGTCTCGACTTCTTGTGTTCCTTCTTGTCCCCCTTTCTTTTCTTCACTTCGGGACTGGAACTTCGGGAACTCGCTGATCTATCCCTCTCCTTCGCCTTTTTATCCTTCCGTTTCTTTGACTTGTGTTTCTTTCGACTCCGACTGCTGTACGAACTATCACTACTGTCTGTAAACAAAATAATAATTGGTCAATGAATGGTTGGTCCATGAATGGTTGGTCAATGAATGGTTGGTCAATGAATGGTTGGTCAATGAATGGTTGGTCAATGAATGGTTGGTCCATGAATGGTTGGTCCATGAATGGTTGGTCAATGAATGGTTGGTCAATGAATGGTTGGTCAATGAATGGTTGGTCAATGAATGGTTGGTCAATGAATGGTTGGTCAATGAATGGTTGGTCAATGAATGGTTGGTCAATAAATGGTTGGTCAATGAATGGTTGGTATGCTATAGCAAATATATTTTGCTGTTCATTGACCGTGAAAAATATAAACCTCAGAAGAAGTGAACATTTACAATAACTTGAAATTCAAACCTTGTTCAAGCTGTTCATCGCTCTCTACAGACGACCTATGATCTGAAGAACTCTCACTTCGTTTTCTACGTTTTTTCTTCTTATTCCGATTCTCATCCGACTTCTCTTTTTTCCGACTTTCTCGTTTCTCTCCGCTATCTTCCGACTCACTCCGATCTCTGTTCTTATTCCGAGTCTCATCCGACTTCTCTTTCTTCCGACTCTCTCGTTTCTCTCCGCTATCTTCCGACTCACTCCGATCTCTGTTCTTATTCCGAGTCTCATCCGACTTATCTTTCTTCCGACTCTCTCGTTTCTCGTCGTTATCTCCCGACTCACTCCGATCTCTGTTTTTATTCCGAGTCTCATCCGTCTTTTCTTTCTTCCGACTCTCTCGTTTTTCTCCGCTATCTTCCGACTCACTCTGATCTCTGTTCTTTTTCCTTGCTTTTCGTTGTTTCTCCGGGGAATCCTCAGAAGCACTTCCGTGTTTGTTTTTATCCGAATCTCGTTTCTCTTTTCGCTTTCGACTTTCTTTCTTCGACGACCTGTCCCGACTGCCAGAACTCTCGCGACTTTCTTCCGATCCATCACGACTACGCTCCGATCCATCTCGGCTTCGTTTCGATCTATCGCGTTTCCGAGGCGTATCTTCAACGCCATCATCATCTCCGGATTTATATTTATCTCGACCTTTTCCCGATCTATCACGACTGCGCTCCGGCCTGTCACGACCTCGAGACGATTCTTCATCGTCATCTTCATCATTATATCTCGATTTGTTTCGGCTTTCCCGGGACTTCCCGTGCTTGCGTGAAGACTCATCCTTCACGGCTACCTCTTCATCGCTATATTTCGACCTATCCTTAACTTCACCTGATTTTCTTCGCTTTTTCGACTTTTCGTTCTCCGGACTTTGCGAACGTTCTTTCAGAGCAGAGTCATCCCGACTTTCGGGCGACAACTCCCGATTACGGGACGACTTATGAGACGATTTGTGCTTTCCTTGACTTGACTGAGTCAAGCGCTCCTCGCTATGCGGCGACCCCTTCCGGCCCCGCACGGTCCTGTCTCGTTTATGAGATGACCCACTGTCTTTATTGTTACTATCAACCGAGTGTTCTCGACTTTGGGGCGACATTTCTCGACTATCTGGCGAACGATGCCGACTCCTGCCCGACTTGTGTTTCTTCTTAGCTTTCTGATCCTCGTCAAATTGAGATTTTTCAGGAGTTGGCGAAAGTTTTTCTCTTCTATGAGTCTTGTCTTTGCTCTTGTACGTTTCTTCCTGAGTCTCAGGAGACGCATCCCTGCTTGGTGATGACCTATCTTTACTTTTACCAGATTTATGCTTCTTTGACTTGCTATTTTCGACAGACGGAGAATGTTCTCGACTCTGAGGCGATATATCCCGATCTTTGCCCGACTTATTCTTTTTTCTAGCAGACTTACTCTCACCTGCTGGCGAGTGTTCTCGACTCTCAGGCGATCTTTCTCGACTATGTGATGATCGCTTCCTTTTTTTGCTCGTCTTATGGGAGGACTTACCTTTCCCGCGCGAACTTTTTTCTCGAGCGCTAGGCGAATCATCCCGACTATAAGACGACCTATCCCGGTCATCAGGCGACCGATCTTTTCGACTAGGCGACTTCTCTCGATCATGACCTGACGACTTCTCCCGACTTTTTGATTTATCCCTTTTATGAGAAGTTTCATCCCGACTATCATACGATGGCTCACGACTTTGATTTGGCTTTTTCTTTCGCCGAGACGACTTATCCCGATTACTGGACGATTTCTCGTGTTTCTCATGTTTCGACTTCCGACGCTTCTTGTCTTTTTTATCGCGCTCTTTTGTTCCATCCTCCAGAGCGCGAGATTCGCTCATTTTCCCGCCACTTTTCCCCCCATCTTGTTCATCATATTTGTTGACGTCGTTATTTTCTTCACTGGACGAGTCAGAACCAGAACCTCGATCGTATTGAACAAGGCCTAGAAGAAAAGATATTTAGAAAGACTAAACTAAACTAACTTAAACTGGATAGCTCTATCAGTTAGAGGTCCAGTAAGGATCATCTCTTATTGATCCAGTGTTACTACAGGAGGAAACCTAAACTGAACTATCTTTATTTATACTGGATAGCTCTATCAGTTCTAAACTGTTCTTCCTAGAGGTCCAGTAAGGATTATCTCTTATTGATCCAGCGTTACTACAGGAGGAAACCTAAACTAAACTAACTTTATTTATACTGGATAGCTCTATCAGTTCTAAACTGTTCTTCCTAGAGGTCCAGTAAAAATCATCTCTCATTGATCCACAGAGGTAATCTTAATACTGCGCCTATATCAAAATTGCAAAGAATTTATGACAATACCTCGACTCCCACTCAGCTTTGCACTAGAACCATAGGACGAAGAGAGCCGTGAAGCTGAAAAAAGCAAAAAGAAAACGATAAGGAAACCTGTTCACTTCAACTCGTCAAAATACAGCCCACTTACTTCTCTGACTAAGCTTTTGAAATTCTGAATCGACCACAAAAAAAATGCGAAAGAAGTTTGGCTCGCCCGACAATGGCGCTTTTCAATTGTACCCTTGATGAAAAGCTCTTACACAACAAGAACTAGCGCTCGAGGGTCGTGCAGCCTTACTGGGCGTGAAGATTGAAGTTGTGACAAACCTTTTCTAGCAGCTAAAGTTTCACGTGCAACTGCTTTTATCTCTTCGCCCGTTACCGTTAATAAGACATCTGTCAACATTTTCCGTACCTTGATTAGCTGAAAATACAACAGTTCAAGAATCAGCGTCAACCATTCGTCCATTTTTATGCCGAAAGAACTCGGATTTTGCTTAGGAATGTACGCACAAAATCCTGACAATTCTTTGCGTATACTTGTTTTTATATACTAATGAAGTTATGGAAAAATATTTCATGCTTTCTTTTGTCTCAGTAGTATATGAATTATGAAAGTGCTCTAATAGTTTATGAATTGTAAAAGTCCCAAGTGAAAGCAAGCGTTATCAATGAAAAGCGAAACAGTTGACACTCATTCAGTACTTGAAGATAAATCAAAGTTATTTCCTAAAGCAAACTTTAGCATCAATCTTTATATTATAAGAGAGTTTGATATTCCTGCTTCATATTCCATACAGGAGGAGAGGGGGGGGGGGTGAACCTACATTTTTGAAGGCGGGAATGATACGAATGATGCATGGTAGTCTTGTATTTTTAATGCAAAAAAGTGAAATAGAAAAAATGTAGAACAGCGAAGAATAGATTGTAGTTGAAGATTTTCACGCCTTTTCAAGGTTAAAATTGAATTATGGAATGAACGAATGAATGAATCAATCTGCAGTCCTGAAACCAATCTTCAATGGCACAGTTTATACAAAGAGAGGATTATCATTAGAAAAATATACGAGGATCAATGAAATTCCGAGAATCTTTTAAAATATATACGAGCATCTCTAAGACATGAACCTTTTCCTTCTGTTTGTCCTCCTCTGACTTCCAGTTATCTTCCTCTTCTGAGCGATGTTTTCTTGGCGATCGTTCATCATCTGACTTCTTCTTTCTTGACTTGTCCTTAGCTTTCTCGCTCTCTCCCTCGCTGTCCGACTGTGGAGCGAATCTGGACTTTCTCTGAAATATTAAAAATGCATATTTTGAAATCATCTCACTTCGGAAAAGTGAAACACAAGACACAATTCATATATGTCTTATATGACTCAGGTCAGATGTATGAATTGGTATTATCATGGTACTACTTTGAGCTACCATAGAAACGTCTTGACCTAGTAGCTTAGTTGGAAGAGCATTAGACTAGCAAGCTAAAGATCGCGGGTTCGACTTCCACCGTGGTCAAGCCAATACTTCAGCTTGCCCGGTTGGTCACTTAGAGTAGCACCATTACAATATTAATAAAACACAAGAGATATATTCAGCTGCATTCCCAGCGGATGATATTGATTCCTACTTTCTTGATTTTAAAGAATGGCTTCTTTTCCTCTGGCTCAACTTCTTCTTCTTTCACTTCATCTTTTTTATCCACTTCAACATCCTCCTGTTTAACAACTGGAGCACTCTCATCCTCATGCTGTTTCGCCAGCTGCTTCTGTTTATCTTTCTCTCGTTTCTCTAACGCCTCTCGTATCCACTGAGGGATAGCCTTGCGTTTCACAGTTTCTAAAAACACGAAAGACCATGTTGTAGATAGAAGTTCTTCATTTTTCCTCCGGGAGAATTCCCAGATATACGAAAGCCTTCCTTAAAGTTCCATGATACCATTTCTCAATATTTCTTTTCTAATAATTCATTTAATGCATCACATTTAATTAAATGCAGTTTCACCGCTATATATATTTTAACGAAATCCTTATACAAGACTTCAATTCAAAATATGACCGGTCTTGGCAAATTTTGGCTGCTTACATGAAGTGCCCTCGAAGTTACATCAAATTCAGTGGTCATCTGCCTGGAGTGGTTATGATTTGATGGCTTAAATTTATTTGTTTGTAACCAACAATTGCCACTATCGTTCCTTGGATGGTGCCAACTTGCCCACAACTTTTTGGCAAATATAAATTAAACTAAATGGTTAACCTGGTTGTGTGGCTGAAGAGATGTGATTGACCTTATATATGTAACATGAAAGGACATGTGCAAAAGAGGTGTATTCACAAACTATAAGCAGTGACACGATTGTGTATTGTCAAGTCAACTTAGCATCATATGTGCTACAACAACTGCCTAAAATAGACAAAGGCAGTTATTATACTACATTTGATGCTAAGTTGTTTGAAGACGCTGCCACGCTGCTCCTTGGTTATATTGGAACTTATCTACATCTCTACGCAGCAACCATGGTTTCTCTAAAGGTACTGATTGTCAAATCAAGGTTAAGACTCACCTGATTCAGTTTGAACAACATGGCTTGGCAGACTGCTGATGGGTATCTCTGTTTGTAACAGTGGTTTTGGCTGTGGCTGGTACTCCTGTTGCCTACCTTGTTCATACTGGTCAAAATGACCATAAGCCTGCTGGTTGTTGTAATCATACTGTTGGTAGTTGCTTTCCTCTGCTTGAAATGGTTGATGCGCTGCCGCACCGTGGTTGAAGTTCTGAAACTGACCATCACTGGGGTAGTGTTCTTGTGGAAAGCCACTATGGGGTTCTGCTGGTGGAGGTTGGTAGTGTCCTTGATGGTGATGATGGTTACCATATGGCTGTGGTACTTGATGGTCATAATTCTCAAATTGATTGGCATGTTGTTGACCATGAAATTCTTTCTGAGGATGGTTATCATAGTGAACAGCATGGTTATTCTTATTCTGATCGTCATGGTGATGACTATCACTGTGGTGACTATCACCATGGTGATCTTGCTGGTTCTGATGTTCTGGTTGGCCAATATCATCCTCCTCCATGGGGGCCACCTCAATGTTGTCCGATGTCTCATCTTTGCGAAGCTCAGGGCCGGGGTCTTCCCCAGGGGGATACAACTGGTCATTTTCTCCACCCTCCAGGTCGCTATCATGAAAGTCTGACGTGGGTGGTTCACCCGGGGGGTGAGGAACAGGTGGGTTATCAGGGAGATGGGGTGCATGTGGGACATTTTCTGGGGGGAGAGGTGGTGTATTTTCAGGAGGAAGAGGGGGAAATGCTTGCTGTGGATGTTGTTGGTCTACTTGTTGTTGTTGTTGATACTGTTGGGCATAGTGCTGTTCCACATGACGCTGTTGAGCCCACAATGCTGCTCTTGCCGCCCACCCTTCTGCCGAGCCTACCATAGTAAAAACGAAGAATAAATTAGTACCTACAGATAAATATCAGCCCGGCACTGAACAGGAATTGTGAAAGATCAAACTTATATTGTATGGTTTGTCAGTAAAACATTAATGAAACATACTTACAATTATGACAATTTTACTTAATAATGTGAAGTATTTAAATTGTTATTCTATAGTGAATCTTGAGAATCCACATAAAGTGAACTGTGTGTAAACTTAAGTGAAGTGGTGTTAAGTGAATTCACAAAACAGTGGATAATTGCTTTTTTCCAACTCACCTTGTTGCTCCATACCAGCATACATGTAATTTGCAGGCCACCATTGCTGTGGGTGTCCAGCTCCCCACATCATGAGATTCCTGTAGTTAGGGCACAAGATAAATGCACTTCTTTTTTAGAAGAACGGATGTTGACCACCTGACAACCTGAGGACCAGGGGTCAAAATGTGTTTAAGCGTATTCAGTCACTCCCAGCTGTCTCTATTTTACCTAAGAGACTGTGTTGTGTGATTTGTATCCCTTTGTGCCCTCAAGGCTTGGCTGAAAATTGACTGACAAATCAAGTCTGGAGTGAGGCAATTGGAGCATTTTACTCTAAAATAGGCCGAACTGCAATTGATACTTTTATGATGCATTTCATGAAGTCCTTTCTAATCCTCTCATTTTATTATGTAAAATCTCTGCATCAGGTAAACTTAGAACACTTGACATGTATAAACGCATGATTACATGCACGGAACTAACAAATAGTCTGAAATAGACCTCTCAATGAAACGGACACAACCCCATAGCTTAACCCACGAAATAATTCTACCGTAAAACAGAATGCATGCATAGAAAATTGCAAGGCAAGACAGATAAACACATAATAACAGAACGAAATATCTCAAAACAATATTAAAATGAAGTATTAAATATAAGTTCCAAAGTACACAAGTTTTAATAGTTAGTTTACCACCAAAAATTTAGAGTTTTCCAGTAAATTAACTTCCGCAGATATGAATTAAACACCTAACAGTTGTAAAACGTACCTTCAAGGTCAATTTTTCCACGTTTTCAAGGGGAAATCGCTTGACTTTTTCCAAAATATTGTGAAATTTGTGATGTAAAGTTGAAAACGCAGAGCACATTGGAACACCCAGCAGAGCATCATGGGCTACCTTCACACTGATCTCTCTACATGAGGAAGTAACTGTGGTTCTTCTTGCAAGATGGCGGCAAAAACATCGAAAATTTTTGTAAACTTTGCACGTTTTTGCACAGCTAGAGTCTTAGCTTTCAATTGCAGGAGAGCGTGCAGTTCCTACGGTAAGACGGGCATATTTTTCGACCGCTTTTGTCCATTGAATGTTGTTTTTTTTAAAGTTACATTGTGTTGAAATGGCCGAAGGAGTGAGGGACTTCGGGTCGTCACTCTTCAGAGTTCAGACTTCATTGATACAAAAAATTATTTACAAAACTGTTCATTTATGTGCATTGTAGTCATTGTACAACATAGAAAAGTAGAGGGGTAATGATTTTGAAAATAAACACGATTTACACCAAGGTCAGTCAAGCCAGTCAACAGTGGACAGTGAAGAAGTCTTTAAATTCAGTGAACTTTGCAATGAGTTTTGGAATATCAATGGTCCTTTTCAAGCTCTTCACACAATGAATAGGATCCGAGTGCCGTTAATCCGGGATGCTTTGCTACAAAACATTGAAGGATCACGTTTTGTTTCAAAACCATTAAACGAGAAGAATATCTTGGACATTGGCTGTGGAGGTGGAATTTTATGTGAAGTAAGATGGAACAACCTGAACGATACTGACTGGCCAGCAAATAATAGAAGAGAATAAGTTGTTAACAGACAGAATAACCCTGTTACGTATCTTTAATCACTGTATGTCTGTATCTCTTTAGCCTATCGCTCGTCTTGGTGCAAACGTGGTTGGAATTGATGCTTCAGAGGAGGCAATATCTGTGGCACAACACCACGCCAAGCATGATCCAGAGATTTGTGGAAGATTGGAGTACAGATGCATGACAGCAGAGGATTTAGTTGAGCAAACTGGTGGAGGATTTGATGCAGTGATAGCATCCGAAGTCATTGAACACGTCAGCGATCAGGAATTTTTTGTCGAGACATGCGCTAAACTTACAAAGGTGGATGCATATGTACAGGCTGTGTAGCCCCTTTCATAGTCTGATCAAATTTCAATTCAAAAACTTCAATTATGATTGCCATATTGATCTGTTCTTGCTTGACTTATTTAGCCTGGTGGTACACTGATGTTTACTACCATCAACAGAACAATTCAATCATATTTGCTAGCGATTCTTGCTGCAGAATATGTGCTAAATGTAGTTGAACGAGGGACCCATGATTGGAACAAATTTGTTCCAGATGACGAGTTGGCTTCGTTAGTTATACATAGTGAGTGTGTAAAAGCTAGTTCATTTTGAATTTTTCACATTCATTCTAAAACATTGCTGTGTTTGTATCCCTTTATAGATGGTTTTAGAATCCATACCATTCAAGGACTTTGTTATAATCCATTCACAAGAGTGTGGTCAAAATTTGATGATACCAGTGTCAATTATGCCTTGGTTGCACAAAAACTTGATGAGAATTCCTAGCAATTGTGGTATGGAGAACTCACTGAGGAGAGCTCAAAGGGCATCAAATTTTGTCCTATGCATTTATTAAAAGTCACTTGAATCCTGAGCGATCAAGATGAGTTAATAAAATTATAAAGAATAAGCCCAACTAGTGAAAGATGCTACAAGGTTGCTAACTCAAATTCTTTCTACAATTTGTTATTATTTAGTGATGAGTAACTGACAAATTAGGGACCGTAGAGCTGGTTGGGGGAAGGCAGAACCTGCCCTCTTTCTCCATGGTCCATGACACTCCAAGCAATCAATAAATAAAATGACATAATTATGGTTTATAACCATGCAGTAATATATCTATGTACTTTTATGGTACCGGTACTTTCAATACCAATGCACAACAAATGTACTTACACAATTCTTAGTCTTCATTGTGTACTCCTAACTATCCTTGATTATCCCAATACCCCACGCGGGACTGCACGCGAAAGCTCCACGAAGCACCCACGAGTCCGAACGATGGCCGTCAATGGGTACATTTCAGAAAATAACACATGTTCAAAAATCGAAGAAGACAAACACCTAATTTCGAAAAAAGTATGTTGGAAACTGTATGCTGGTTGCCAAGACTGTTCCCTAAATGGTTCCGTTGAATTGATACCGCAGTTCGAAGATTTCGGGCCAAGGTTGATACGAATTCGTATGAACGATCAAATTCGGGAACTTCAGACAATTTTGCGTGACCCGTAAGTAACGTTATATAATTATATAGCACTATAGAAACTGAAACTTTTTAAACTAATAATAATAGGTTATCAATGGATATGCTTCCGAAACATCTTGTTCATATTTATTCCGCATCGTGAACTGAAAACGTGTATTGATTTGTAAATAGAGTTTGCATTGTTGGCAAAATTCCATAAATTAACAAATTATAGAGAGGCAATCCTCCAAAGCATGCCTTTTTAATGTCAAACGACCTAGCTTTAAAACACAGATTTAAAGGGCAACCCAACTGTGTCCGTCAACATGTTCAACCTGTATAGAATTGTCCGGCTTCTCTTTGAGAAAAGATGCTCTGATTGAGATCTTTTGGATTAAGACTTAAGTTGCAAGTTGTGCCTTGACAATAAGACTTTAATAATGGCTTACCAAGTTGGATTTCCTATTATTGATAAGAAAGCACTTTTTTTTTGTTCAGACAAACAGACAGAGGTGATTTTGTGTTTTATGCAGATCGACTGGTTAGTATCAATAAGTCAAAATGCTAAGTACTAAAGGTCTGTTTACACAATGCTTGATTATAGGACCCATTCTTTTTTTTCCATGCTTCAAATGGAAAGATTGTCTTTGCATAGATAAATGTAATATGTTTGACATTCTTAGCCACTTCATGTTGAGTATTTAACTATAGCGTGAATAGGCCTTTGGGTAGGCAATAAAACGGCAATCGTTTTAGGTAATATTGTCTTGTTTTATTTTTTAGATTCGATTAGTAGTAGAGGAAGGTCTAAACCAGCTCCCATATGAGGAAGTGGTAGTGACAACACCAACAGGTAAATGTATTGAATGGTGAATTTATTGTGGATGAGATTTTGCCTGATATATCATCAATTTTATGTCTCTACAGGTGGAAAGTATAATGGTCTCAAGTTCAAGAAAGGCAACTGTGGTGTTAGCATCATGCGAAGTGGTAACTGCTTTGAGTGTTATATTAAGCTATATTACATGCAAACTTCTTTACGCCTCTTAATCTTCCTTTAGGGGAAGCAATGGAGAAAGGTCTAAGAGATTGCTGTCGTTCCATTCGTATTGGGAAGATTTTAATTCAATCTGAGACAACTACATCAAAACCACAGGTGAATTTACTGACTTAAGTTATTCTATGAGTCCTTGAAATTTTAAGTTGTTGTCTAGTTAATGTGTTATATTTGTTTACTAAAGTAGAGAAGTCAAGTCCGTTCTGTACAGTGGTCGACCCTCTGTAAATTTTTGTCCAAAGACAATGTCACTAAAAGAGGGAATCATATAATTATTATCAACCATAATAAATTTTATTTACTTATATCTTATCTAGGTTTACTATGCAAAATTCCCATTTGATGTTGACAAGAGACAGATATTACTGATGTATCCGCTTTTAAGTAAGCTCAAAAGCTTATATAAACCTATAGAAGTCTTAAAGGTATTGAGATTAATGCATTGGCCTTCTTAGATACGGGTGCAACTATAATTGAAGCTGTCAAAGTACTTGCTGAACATGGTGTTAAAGAGGAAAATATTATATTTCTTAATCTTTTTGCAACACCTCATGGTAAGTGCTGCATCAGAATATATTAACTTGATCCTTGTCAATTTGTTTGATAAAAAAAGGACATGAAAGATGTTTGTTATGCTTTTAAAAAGACTTAGTGTAGAAAAAAGCCCTATTAGCACTATGTAGAGTTATTAAAACAAAGTTTTCTGTTTTTTCTAAATAAATGATTTCAAACATGCCAAATGTGAATGCAATTTTACCAAATATGTTTGTAAATTGTTTCTCCTTTTTTAGGTGTGAAGAATATCTTGAATCGATTCACAAAACTGAGAATTTTAACCTCTGAAATCAGTCAGGATATAGTCTTGAACTTTGGACGAAAATATTTTGGAACAGAGTAATGAAAAAGGTTGTGTTTATGTATATAAGAGTATACTGTGTATATATGAGATATATATGGCCATATTTTGAAAGTTCTTGTCAGACCGGTATTTCATTCCTGTGAATTTGGTGCAGTCATAATTGGATTTCGCATTCTGAAGACCGTGTGTGAAATATATGTCATACACTTTGTAAAATATGTGTTTTTTATAGTGATTCTATAACTTGTCATGGCTTAAAAAAAGGGTAAAAATTTTGAATATTTAAGTATAAATTAGAGTGAATTGTAAAGATTTGTTTGGTAAATTTGTTGAATTATTGAATTATAATTGAGCCTTGAAATCAGCATGTGTGTGTACTCTTGTTTAATTGTGCTGCCCAGATGACACATCTTAGCAATTTACTCTGGTAAAACAATCAGTTCTACTTCTTAGTAGAGATCTCTCATATTTCTAGTGTTTTTTTGGAAAGTCTAGGAATTTCACCTGGGAAGCAGCACTTGTTGATGTTTAAGTGATAATGTATATGTGTATGCTGTGTTTGGGTGCAGGTGGTAGGTGTGTTTATCAAGTTAGAATATCTTATGTGTGGGCACCCCCCTCCCTCGCTCCACATTACCACCCCCCCCACCTGCACATACACTATTCTCTAACTTTGACACAACTACTTGTTCATAAATAATACATTATTTGGTTAATAGATTGATACATAGAAAAGAGTTCAAAACTCTTCAATACAAATCATCGTCACTCACTCTGCAAAGGCACCCACTCCATAATCCGCTCTAGACCGACTATCATCGTGACCCTTCTCCTGTTTACGGCCATTTTGAACGGAGCGATTCTGTTCTCATTACGAAAACCGTCTCTGAGTCGCAAGTCAAACTCGTTCCCCAGCACTCGAAGAGGCAGCACTTTGCAGGATTCTGGCGTCGCTTCAAGATTTTCCTCATCCAGTTCGTCCACGAAATCCTTTGTTTTCGAGTAGCAATAAAACAATGCTCGAACGAAGTCGATGAAGTCTTTCGAATTTTCCAAATATTCTCTGAAACTTGTACCGCCATCCTTGGCTTGATAAAGGTTCTTCGTATCTTGTAAAACAATTCTTGTCAATTCTGCATCGATGTTTTTAAAACCTTTGATATCTGCGTCAGGACAAAAGTCGCGGGTCCAATTTTGGGCATTTGTAACAATGGCCGCATATGAATTACCATGGTTGAGCTTCGGTGAAAAAACCCTCAGTAAATCCGGCAGAATAATATAATCCATCAGGTTTGACGTTAAAATACGATCGTACGTTGTTTCACTTTCAATATGCTCCCCAATGGCCATACAATCCGAAAGGATGATTGTAAAAAATACTTGTTTTTTGGAAAGTTTTTTCACAACATTTCGTAGCACGTTTTCTATGTAAGCACCGTACATTGTTATCAAAGAATTCGCATGTTTCAGTTTCTTTACCTCGAGATAATCCCAGGCTGTGAACGGGAGAACATCCGTTGGAATACAGTAATAGTATGGACGAGTTTTATCGTTTTTGTCATACCCTGTCAGTGTCGGATTCTCAGAAAACGCTGGTGTTTGGGTACGTCGGAATTTGCCGTCTTCCATCCATTTCTTTGCCGATTCTACGTGCTCTCGCGGGATGCAGTTGAAGTACGCTTTTCTTCCTCGATAGCTTTGTGCGTCTGACTTAAAATCTCGATTTCGCTGCCCTTGAATCCAAGTCGTTCCTTTCACCTTTCAAAAGGGAAGAAGAAGTCTTGTTGAAATGATGAATATTGTATTAACGTGAACTAGTATTGCCAACGGGGAAATAATCACCTAAGCTTTCTAGAGGTTCAAGAATGATCACCTCTTACCAGCCACCGGCTCTATCAGTTCTAAACTGTTCTTCCTAGAGGTCCAGTAAGAATCATCTCTTATTGATCCAGTGTTACTACAGGAGGAAACTTAAACTAAACTAACTTTATTTATACTGGATAGCTCTATCAGTTCTAAACTGTTCTTCCTAGAGCTCCAGTAAGGATCATCTTTTATTAATTCAGTGTTACTACAGGAGGAAACCTAAACTAAACTAACTTTATTTATACTGGATAGCTCTATCAGTTCTAAACTGTTATTCCTAGAGGTCCAGTAAAGATCATCTCTTATTGATCCAGTGTTTCTACAGAAGGAAACCTAAACTAAACTAACTTTATTTATTCTGGATACATCTATCAGTTCTAAACAGTTCTTCCTAGAGGTCCAGTAAAGATCATCTCTGGCTACTGGTTTGAATTACCCGGAGATTGTGCCATTTTATCCACACATCCTTCAGCTCTCTCAGATGGGCATCACTGATACTGATCAACCCCCCGGTTTTTTTCGTCAGATCTTGAGCTCGTGGGCAGTCGATTAGCGCACGAAGGTACTCACGTAGATATTTGTAAGTCTCTTCACCCAATGTTATCGAATACCAAACCTCTGTTACCATTTTCTCGACACCGGGTTCACCTAAATCACAAATTTTTTCACCTGAAAACGATGCTTATTTGTGAATGAGGCGCTTATACGAGGGAGGGGCGCCTATACGAAGGAGGAGCGCTTAATCGACAATTTTTGGACGAGGTTTTCTGAAAATGTTTTCGACAATTTTTCGTCGTGCGACGCTTCCAAACTCACCTTTAATCAGCATGAAAAGAAACAGAACCAATCTCGCCAGTATACAGCTCTCGATGTCGTTCAAAGTGAATCTCAAGACTCGCCCATACTTGTCTGGCAGCGACGAACAAGTCAATGCTACATTTCTGAGATCACCGACTCCGAGATACATGATATTCAAGTCCGACAAGTAGTCGGTGCCCTCGTTTTCGAGCAAATTTAGGCCGTCGTAAGCAGGAAAGTTTCCCCAATAGTATTGTTTTGGGAAACTTTTCATCCCACAATATTCATAATAGAATTGAATAGCTTGAGCAAGATCATTTATCTTCTCGTTAGTCTCGCTACAAGCGGACTTGTGCCGCTTCCTGTCAGACTTTTGACATTGAATATTGCAATAAAAGACTCGGTAGCAACCAGTGCATGCACGTAAACCTGAACCAGATTTTTTGCATGACGAACATGTTTTGATAATAGCTACCGGCTTGCATTCCGCTTCGTGTCGAAATTTGTCGTTTTTCACACACTGGTTGCTGCAATACTTGGCAACTTGACATCCCGGACAACAAACGCTATTTCCTTCATTTCCACAACGCCAACATTCCGAAAACCGTGGCATTTTTTTCGGAGAATACTGTCTATGTTGAGGCTGTTGCCGTGCGGAAATGGCGTTTGTTTATGAGACGAAACGAAAGCGATCCCTCAAAAGCAGCGAATTTGCATAATCTCAGGTTTCACAATTCCAGGAATTAAGAACTGGTCGTTGACTTTGAACCTGAAAAAAATTCAAGAAATTTAGCCCATGTAGAATCTTATCATTTCTTAAAGTTACATAACCATCTTTGCAACCATCTCCTTTTTGCCGCAGTAAAAGCAAAGTATATTAACATAAAATGAATAAATAATGTATGAAAGAGAGGTATTGGCTAGTATCGTTAGAGGTTATTGGCTAGTAACAGGAGGGATTTTGACGAGTAGCAATTGTAACATTGTATGAAAATGAAAGTAGAAAACATTGATAATCTACAGCCTACAGGGGCCAGTTGTGCTAGAGACTAGTTAACTTTTAACTGCAGTTTCGGACAGAATTGGCTAATCAGAGTCGCGTTTTTCTGAGTTAACTAGACTTTAACTATGCAAAAATGTAGTTAAAGCCTTAAAGGGTTTTATACAACCGCTCCTGATGTTCATACGCAGTGCATTCGACGGTCTTGAAGATTATCATCGCACTCCAGTCGGACTGTCGGATATTAGGCTCAACATTTTGAAGGGAAGCCGCTGCATCTTCTGGAAGGCGCGTATCTTCAATGATTTGAAAAGAACCAGGAAGCCTGAATATTTTGATTTTAAAAATTGTCCGACTTCAAATACTCTTATCAATATGAGCGATGCAATTGTCTTATACTGTACTTCTGTAACCAGCAGCATAGAAGTAAGTAAATGTATCTTTCTCCTATGAACATATAAAGTGGCGTACTTTAGTCCTAATATAAACACTTTTCAGCAATTATGCTAGGGTAGTGTTTCAACCCTTCTTAAGACTTATCGAAAGTTTTATAGACTTTTTGTTAAGCTTTGAACTGTGTGATATGGATCACTGTCAAGCTTTAACAGATATCTCAGAGCTTTTAAGCAACGTTTTTTCATTCAAATACAGCTTATTCGAAGGCACATGCCGAATATAGAAATGATTCTCAGGCATTTTTGTGCATATTTAGTTTCTTGATATTCATATGAAGGGTGTGTCACGAAATTGTCTTTTTAATTAACAGGAGGTTACGATGTCACTTACTTTAATTCGATATGACATGTCACTTCAACATAATGACACTGCTATATCATTTAACTTTGAAACTTTGGGAAACTGTGATATTAAAGTAAAGACACTATAATAAATAATATTTATGTCTTACAACATAAACAGTAAATGCACAAATTCATGACATTCTCCAATCTATAGCAATTAATCTGATGGGTATGATAATATATTTAACCTATGTCATTTTATCCCATTTGATTCTTGTCAGTAATACCTAATCCTGTTGACAAGTAAAATTTGGATGTTATGGTAAAAATATTTTACCAATTATGTGTGTGAAGTTTCTAGATGGTTTTAAATTAAGTCCATATGTAAACAAACTGTTTGTTTACATCTTGAAACTCTTTTCTTTTTAAAATATGATACGTTGTCTGAATATCTAATACCATTTAGGTTTGCTACACTTTTTATGAATATTAACAAGAAATTTTTATGTTCAAAAAATTCAAATATGCAAAACTGTGTAATTATTATTGCATCAAAGGGTCGTGACATTGTTTTGAGCAAAACTGTTGCCCAGAACATTAACTTCAGTTTCTGTTACACTATGCATTCTTGCAACTTGCAATGATTGTTACAACTTGTTATAATTTTGAGGGATCTTAATTTGTAAAGAGTGTTCAAAATGAAAACATTAGCAGTTTATGCGAAATGTTCGTATTTGACAACTTTAGAAGTAGAACTGCATTACTTAAGTTGCAAGGAAAGTTGCATAGTGTAACATTCCCTAACCCTCTTTGACATAATATTCTCTTTAAAATCTGCAGATAAAAAAGGAACAACAAAGAATTGAAATGGTGCTAACAGGCAAGGGGATTGCATTTGAAAAAGTGGATATTTCATTGGTTGAAGGTGCAAAGGAAAAGATGAGAGAACTTGCTGGAGACAAGACAGCTCTCCCACCACAATTGTGCAGAGGTGATAAGTATCTTGGGGTAAGTGAGAAATACTTTGTTTGTATCTTTGTCATTTGCTTGTATCTTTATCAAAAATTGTCTAAGCCTGCACGTTTTTTAAATTGTTAAAGAATATGAGAAGAGTACAATATGCTGTACATGAAATATCAGGCTTACAGATGACACCTTCTGAAAAACATTGTCTGTCGTATGAGAAAATTTAGTTAGCATAGTGTTAGAGATCAGAATCATCAGATGTCAGTGTGAGTTGGTTTCACATAATTGCATATTGGAATTTCTATCTGGCATTTCTTAGCCTGGCTATATACTCTATTAGAATTAGATTTGCAAATACAAAATGTCTTAAAAAGTAAAATGTTAGGCTAATGGACTATAACACTAGTTTCCCAACTTCAAAGGAACAGGTTTTTTGTAAGGCTGTAACTTCAGTATTTCTGAAACTATCATTTTGCCTTTCTGATAAAGAAAAGAAGTAACCTGTGTATTTGGGTGAATGTGTATTAAATTCTTTTATGAGCTGACCCAGTTATTTTAATTGTTTCTCAAATAATATACAATGGAAACCACACAATACCATACTCCTATTGAAATTACATGATGGGTTCTGAGACAGCAGAATATAAAGAATAGTTTTCTTTGACTTTATCCATTAACTAATACTACTTTTAGTATGGTAGTATAATTAGTATAATTTAGTATAATTAGTATAATTTAGTGTAGTAGTATAATTTAGTATATTAGTATAATTAGTATAATTTAGTATAGTAGTATAATTTAGTATATTAGTATAATTAGTATAATTTAGTATAATTAGTGTAATTTAGCCTGATTTAGCTAGTCCATTGGAAGAGCTGGTGTTTGTGTTATTATATAACTTCAAAGGGTTTGAGAAACTTTATGACATGTTTCAACATTCGTTTTAAACTCAAAACACCAATATTTACAAAACAAAGGCAAGAACTAGTTTAGAAAGGAAGCTTTATCGCAATTTTTTTCCCACACTTTCATACAGAACAATTCTCAACCTACTTTTATACAGAACAATTCTCTAACTTCCTAATACGTGTAATTTCACACAATTTTAGAATTACAAACAATTTGATGAAGCTATTGAGAATGAAGAATTAAATAAGTTTCTGCAGATTTAAACTCAGCAAAACCTCAACGGATTGTCTACTGTCGCCAGTATTATAAGACTTTTGAACAAACTTGTTGGACAATACAAAAATACGTTTATTTACAACCATGGTAATGGAAATTTTACATATGCTTACAGAATATAGATGCCTAAAGGCATAATAGTTATCCACATTATTATCTTCCGTGGACTGCAATGAATTATTGAGGAATCTTTGGTCAAGTATCAATTTAACCTCAAATTTGTAATTTCCACACAGTAAATTAATAAAATGATTCAATAATCTTATATTGCCATAGTTTTATTATTTTTTTATTATTTTTATTAATCTTAAGGCGCTTTCCTTGGAAGGGCAAAAAAGGTCAAACCTGTCGTACACTGAATTGAAATAGAGTATTCCGTTTGAGAATATAGCGGTGGCTTATGTGCTAGGCAGATGTAAAAACGATACACTTGAATGCAGAGTTCTCGAAAACACTCTAAATACCAGTAATCTGTCTGTATTGAAGTTGAGCAGGACCAGTCTGGCTGTTATTATCGTATAAAGGAAAGCGACCTTATTATCACTATATGCTTACAAGATAACCACGTCGCTAAAGTGCTTCTCACTGCGATTCTGTGGTTATGTATTGTAGAATAACATGCATAACTCTATAAACTACATATTTGAGACATAACATCAAAATTAAGTATAAACATAAGAGATTTATAACATAAGAGACCTTGATAAGGTCAACAAGCATTTTTGGCTGCATGGTCATTGTCCGTTGACCGGCTATTATTTTGAGCGTTAATTACTCTTAAGGCTCAAAGACTCAATTAGGTCTTTCCCCTATTAAGTTACTAAAAAAATTCCAAGTAAAGGCAACGTTTATAAGTCATGCTGAGCAACTTTAAACTGTAACTACAAAAACCTAAACTAAATCTAACTTTATTTATAATGGATAGCTCTATCAGTTCTAAGCTGTTCTTCCTAGAGGTCCAGTAAGGATCATCTCTTATTGATCCAGTGTTACTACAGGAGGAAACCTAAACTAAACTAACTTTATTTATAATGGATAGTTCTATCAGTTGTAAACTGTTCTTCCTAGAGGCCCAGTAAGGATCATCTCTTATTACATGAGTGTGTTGTGTGTGAATCATCAATGTTGATGCAATCACGGTGCAATGTTGTTGTAACAAGTTGCAACAACATTGATGATTCAACAAGCTTCAACAACATTGAACATTACTGTTCACAGGGTTCAGCACAACATTGTTCACTCCTGTTTTTAACAACCGTTGCATCAACATGATGATTTTTACGCGTATATAGACAAAAACAAGAAACAATTTAGAAAGTTTCTGAAATCTCTGAATTATTCATTGGCAGCTAGCTATATAAAGATTATGAGCAGACAAGTCTGTCGGCTTGACCACTGACGAGTCATACGTATATTTCACGTACAAAAATATTTTTGGTAACTGCAATTTTTTTGGCTACTTACAATGTGGACAAATATAGAAATTATGGAAGATATTTGAACAGCCACACATGCAGTCACATCTTATCTCTTGACATACTCATAGATCTACCACCATAAGTTGGCATGCTCCCGAGTTCACCGGAGGTATAAATGCTGAACACAGCACTTTCTGGGCTGGGGCGGTCTTCGGACAGTTTTTGGACGCGTTTCGGTATCTGTGCTGGTTGGGTATCCGTGTTGTTGGTTATTTCCACCGCACTGGTTGAGGCAACGATTTCTCTAGGTGCTTGAATACCAGGATTACGAAATTGAGTATACCCTAGTCTTTGGCCAGCCAAGCGACGCCGATCAATTACTCTTTTTACGCCAAGACATATGACGAGGATGAGTAAAAAAATCTCCCAAACCAGGATATGGATTATATTACGCTTTTTAAACGCCTTGTCGTCGTCGATAGCCACTTTCTTCAGCGTGTCGTATCCGAATACCACCGTGCCACTCGTTAGGAAGAGTAACAACAAAATGGCCGGCAGGTAGCAGAATAAGGAATCTTTTCCCCATCGACAGCGGCAGTCGATACTCCAAGCGTCGTCTTGTTCGTGGATCGGAACAGTTACACTTCCGCCAGAAGTGTGCTCAATCAGTTCCACAGACTCGCTGAGATCAAATAATACTGTACGAAAATCGTCCGTTTGGTATTCCGCTTCGATGTACTTTTCTACCCTTCGTACCAAATCTTTCCTGGCGGGTCTTATCTTTCGCATTAACCTGTGAAGATTTCCGATTTTTTCACGGCTAATGTAATCCTGTTTTATCATGTAATCGAACAGCGCTAGACCGCTGTTTATGTGCTTTCGTAGGCCACCCGGCACTTTAGAAATGTGGATGAGGCTCTGTAATTCATTGTCCGTTAGCTGGTAGCTGATTTCGTTTAACAAAATGAGAAAATCATCCATTGTTTCCGCTTGCGGTTACAGTGCTGCTGGTGATGTTACCTCAACGATGTTTGGCACACTTCTGGTCGTTTTGACCTTGCCTTTCGGGGAAAAACCCTCCATTGAAAAAAGCATGATGGTTGTTCCTGGAAGAAATAGCCTATCAGGGCTTCCAATCGTGTCACATGGGTTATCACTGACCTTCATACCTTACGTACAGCACATGATAAACCGGTTTTTACGCGTGCTTTCCTCATCGGCTAAAAACAAACCTGGTCGTTACGGGAGGCAGACCATATAACCTTGGCCCTATATATCTACTTACTTCAGTGACGCCGCCAGCATCGATAAGTGGGCTGGACATATTAACAGACCGTATAAAAACAATCAATTTGAAAAAAAATGAACCACACCTATGAAACTGGCGACGCTACTAAATGACCTCCTCTCTCAAACAGGAAGAGTGCACTATACTTCATGCATATCTTTTACCCCCTATAATTTGTTTTTGCATGTGGATAGACTCTAGCAATATTCTTACGCCTATATATTCTAAAAGCTTAAAACTAGAGTCATTGAGTGTCAGATCTCAATCTTCTCATAACGTTCCCGTTACGGTATTTTCCCTCAGAAAAGAGCTTGATGTTCAGTGTTTTACCTTACATCTTTAACATCGATTAAGAAAGAACTTTCTCATTGATCAGTAATAACAAAATTTCTATGTCACACTCATTGAGTGCAAGTCAGCTTTTTGAATACAGGCGTTCAACTCATTTGAGGTTAAAGAACAGATTCGTACCCATGCATTTTAGTTGTAAAACATATAACCTTGCATTTAGCTATTGGTAAAAGACTATATAATACCAAAAATATCGTATTTATTTTCATTAAATGTTATAGTTTTATTATAAAGTTTCTTTGTTCTAACTATTACATATAACCTTGACACGGGCAATTTTCGGTGGCGATTTCCTCTTTCTACCCGGATGTTATTAAATGAATTATGTACACACTTGCCATAAGTTTGGCGAATTAAAGTAATCTACTCTGTTAAATTTACTCATTCCCATACACCAGGAGAAGACATTTTAGAATTACAAACAATTTGATGAAACTATTGTTCTTTTTATCCAATATTGCTGTAATTTTTTATACTGGATAGCTCTATCAGTTCTAAACTGTTCTTCCTAGAGGTCCAGTACAGGAGGAGATCTAAACTAAACTAACTTTATTTATACTGGATAGTTCTATCAGTTCTAAACTGTTCTTCCTAGAAGTCCAGTACAGGAGGAAACCTAAACTAAACTAACTTTATTTATACTGGATAGTTCTATCAGTTCTAAACTGTTCTCCCTAGAGGCCCAGTAAGGATCACTTAGCTCTTATAAAAAATACTCTCATACATCATGTGAATGACTGAACCTTCATAAACAATTTTGTTTTCCATTTTGAACTTATCCACCGCGTTTAAGCTAAACGTCTTTCGAACAACCGGCCCCAGGAGGAAACCTATTAAACTAAGCTAAATTTATTTACACTGGATAGCTTCAGCATTATAGTTCAACTCTGTTCCTCACGGAATATAATTAAGGACCACTTGAAGGCTACACTTCAGGTCCAGAGTTCACATCAAACCCTTTTGGTTCACCCATAGTACCACCGCAGGTTGAAATGCTTCCAGGTTCACCGGAGGTATAACTGCTGAACACGGCGCTTTCTGAGCTAGGACGGTCCGGCCTAAACGGCTTAGGAGCGCTTGTCGGTACGTTGGCTAGTCCATCCGTGCTGGTCGAGGCAACGATTTCCCTGGGTGCTTGAATACCAGGACTACGCAAAACAGTGTAACCTGATGTTTGCCCAACGACGCAACGATCAATCACTCTTCTTACACGAAGGAAAATGACAAGAAAGAGAACTAGAATCTCCGAAAGAAGTATATAGATTCCAGCTTTTTTGAGTTGAGCGTTGTGTTTTATTCCATCGGTAATCTCAGGAACATCGGCGTACCAAAAAACCGCGGTGGCTATTATCAGCACGAGCAAAAGTAGAATGGCAGGAGTGTAGCAAGAAGGGACTCTTCGGCATCGACACAAGCAATTCACGTAGGCGCAGTCGATGTTACAAGTAGCCGCTTCCTCGGGTGTCGGGGAAGCTAGAGTTCCTGGACCACTTCCTCCTCCAGTATTGTGCTCGATTTTCTCCCAAGACTCGCTCAGGTCTGTAATCACTGTACGGAAATCTGCCGTTTCGAATTCCTTTTCGATGTACTTTTCTACCTTTCGTACTAAATCTCGCCTGGCGGGTCTTATCTTTCGCATCAACCTGTGAAGGTTTTCGATGTTATCACGGCTGATGAAATCCTGTCTCATCATGTAATGGAACAACGCTAGACCGCTGTTTATGTGTTTTCGTAGGCCACCGGGCACGTTATAAATGTGAATGAGGCTCTGTAATTCATCGTCCGTAAGCTCATAGCTGATTTCGTTTAACAAAATAAGAAACGAATCCATTATTCCCACTTGCGGTTACTGCATTGAATGTTGTATCACTTCAAAGTATAGCAGCAATCACTTAATAGGGGAATACCCTTTTTCTATGTAATAGCAATTCTAGGAAGCGATAGCCTATCACACCTTCTCATTGTATCACGTGTTTCACCTCCCACGCCATGCGCGCACACCTGTTAAACCAGTTTGTATATTTGACCTGTATATCTCCATGTATATTTATATAATAAAGAAAAAGAAATATTAAAGCAGGCTTCAGTAGGGATATACGAAAAGCTATTTCAATTGTTATTTCAAAGTTCATTCTCACAATAATCAATGACAGTATAAACTCACTAATGAGTAATGTTTAAGTACGATAAAAGTGTATAATACTAATGCTATAATAGTACAATAGTAACATAGTTAAAGTGCAAAACTGTGTAGAACAATTCTGCGTTCATGGCGCGCTCTTTGAAGTCCATGGGCAACCATGAGAGGTTGGTAGATGGGGGTTGATGGGATATGGACTATACATGAACTATAGTTCTATATGGAAAGAATTAGCCAATCAAAATGGTCAGGCTTAATTTTCAGAGTTAACTGAAGTTACTTAAATTAAACTGTCTCTGATTCATTTCTCGACATTGTACCAAATGTGGACACACTAGCTCCATCGCATGAACAACTGCTGAATACTGCGCTTTCCGTGCTCTCGCTGACCTTATGCTGTCTTGGAGGGCTTTGTACCATCGGCAAGTCAGCAGTTTCAACCATTCGTCTTGCCATACTATTCTGGGAACGTTGATTTTCCAACGAATCGTAGCCAGTATTTCGGCAAACGAGACAACGGGATATTCTCGCCTGCATGCGAATGCCAATAACAGCCAGAAGTAAACCAATCTCTGCGATAATGATATACAATCCTGCCCTTTTGAGATTCGAATTCGATTTGATATTATCGCTGACTCCCGGTACATCTGCATACCAAAATACCGCTGTGAGTATCGTGGCTGAAACAAGCAACACTATAATCGGTGTGTAACACGAGGGAACTCGTCGACACGTGCAGTTCATATACGCACAGTCAATCGTACACACGGGTGACACAGCTGTCTCATGGCTTGCGGAGAATGCAGGACTTCCGCTCTCCTGTACCTCAGTAGAAGCTATGAAATCACCAACAACCGTGCGAACATCGTCCGTTTCGAATTCCTTTTTGATGTAATTGTCCACCTTCTTGACCAAGTCCCGTCTACGGGGTCTTATTTGGCGAATCAAATCGCGTAAATGATCGATTTTCTCGTGGCTGATTTGATCATGCGTGATCATGTGCCTAAATAAAGTCAGTCCGTCTTTAATGTTTTCCCTCACGCCATCAGGGACTCCAGAAATATGCAAGAGACTCTGTAGGTTTTTCTCAGTGAGCTCATGGCTTATATCGTTCAACAACAGTCGAAAGGAGTCCAACCTTTGCGAGCTCATTTCGTCGTAATTTCTGGCCTAGCAGTAATTTACTTCAATCGCGTGACTCGCGTTACAGCGCTGCACTTCCTCTGGTGTGCCCTTTTAATTCTAGGAATCATCGGCCAATAATGCTTCCTCTTTCGGTCACATGTTTTCCCATACGTGATTTCTTATGGCGTCATGATCAAAGTTCGTTACGAAAAATATTGTCGCCATTCAATGCTGGGGCAACATCGGGGAAACGTTGATGACATTGTGGCAAAAGTTCTCACCGCATCATAGGGAGCCCAGAAATCTCAAATCTGTTTATATTGATCAATATATAATACAGTAATTAGTACAGACAGCAGAAGCTGACCGCGCGCGTAAACAATGTAGTCGAAGACTGAGTATAAACAGATTTCTGGGCTACCTATGACCGCATCTGCTGGTACTGAGAAATTACTAGAGGCGCGTACCCCATAAATTTGTGGTTCGATGAAAAAGTTATTGTCGCCATTACAAGCTAAGGAAGCATAGGAGAAGGGTTAATGATATTATGGCGAAAACCCTCTGCATTTTGCGGTGAAGAAAGTCGCAGAGTCATGGGGTAGTTACCCCATAAACTTGCAAGTGGGGGAGCCATTTTTTTGGGATCAAACTGTGTGGGACCGCAGGTTCATCAGACGTGCATGCGATTTAGGAACTGGTTTTGATTGACTTGGCCGCAAAACTGTTGGTGTGTAAATCGTAGGTTACTCAATAAAATATCGCTGAAATGGATAGAGCGTGACTGGTATTTTAATTATAGATGACATTTTTATACATTATATACAGATATACTACTTCGGAAAGTTTGTAATGCTTGTGTTTGTAAGTTTAATTCATTTTTTCCTTTTCACGCATGGAATGTAACTTCCGACAATTTTTCCCCTCGAGTTTACCAGTTATTAATATACACCATAAGGGGTTAGGACATTGGGACATGTCGCAGCTCTCGGAAGCTTTCGTCCAATTGGATAATGCTTTTCTATGCTTTCTAAAGAACGAAGCTATGCTATTGGTTGAAACAGAAATGTATTGTAAAGTTCAGCCAATGAAAATCATTCATGCGAGGAGCTGCGACACTACCCAGGACATTGGAGTTTACTGTGTCAGACATCGCCTTATTTATTTGATATATGATTATTGCAGCCTAAATTTTCGTCTGTTTTTCCAAGACTTTTACAGTATCAAGAAATTGTAATAAAGTTTAGTAAAAGACTCGTACATCTTTTATTCTATCAAGGGGTCCCCAAGTTCATTGTTTGGCGCGCGTTTGGCACAACAAACACCGCAAAAAACGCATGCGGAACGAACACCCTTGCCAAGTAGGAACACAATTCTGGCGGCCTGCGAAAGGACGGCGATGAGCAACAAAAGCACGCATATTAATGGTAGAAATCCGATCAGAACCACCCGACACCACATGAACACGTCCATGACACGTGACATTGGGCCTGTAGGCACCACTCCCTCCGAGAGATACGCGGCGAAGGGGAGGTTGAACATCGCAATTAAAATGAGGGCGAATAACGAGATGGCTTCGGCACGGTTATCAAGAACTCTTTCGAAGGGTCGGATATGAATGTGCAGCGCCAGATTGATAACGCACATGAGTAACATTGCAAGCGAGCTCAGAAAAGGATCTTTGATCAAAACTCCGGCGAGGATCAGCACGAGCATTCGACCAATCAAAACGCTTTCCCAGTAAACGGCACCAGCGCTGACGTGATCCGGAACACGATACAAACCGATCAAAACCGAAGTAACAGCGACCTGTCCTCGGCCAGTTTCCATTGCAATCTGCCCATCAAGATGGCGACGGTTGATTAACCAATACGACAAGACAGGCAACGGGAACAAGCATGCGATGAAGAAATGAAGTACGCTGATTTGTTTTTTGTACATTTTTTTGGCGCCGAAAAAGATAACAAATACAAACGGGAAAAAGTAAATCAGAACCAGTGTCCCGATGAGGGTTTGCCACCAGGTATAGCATTCTATAGTGCAGTTCACGAACAAGCAGTTCACACCATCGACCGTTACACATTTCAGGAGGGTCAAGCATTTCCGAGCCAAGACCGTATAGCCAAGGAATACTGCTTTGAGGAAGGCGGATAGGTAGACGCCGTTTGTAGGCGAACGAACTGGAAGACACATTGAGATTGCTTTATGGAAAATAAATAAACATGGAATTGCAAACAGAACTGAGAATACTCCCAAAGTGTGAAACAACAGCTTGGAGACAGGAGTCAGCCCTTGGAAAGGGCAAGCAAAACCATCTCGATTCAAGCGAATGTCGAAGTTAAAAAACCCCAAAATGAATTGGTTCAGATGGTGCTCCCAGATGGTGTTGTGCGCGCCTTGCGCAGACAGGATGTCAGTGGCTTGATAGTAAAAAAATACGATACGCTCTGCACCCGAGGTTTCGTATACGATAGTTTGGTCCGCGGGTAAGATCAGGGGTTGGATCGTGTCTTGGACGTCCTGGTTATGATGAGAACGATGATCTTCGACGCCGTCGAAAACCTGTGGCTTGCTTGGCCTAAACCACGTGATACTCCGGCGTAGGATTCCAGAAATGTCTGGTTGTACGATAAGGTAGAGTGTGAAGCCTAAGACAAAGGCCACAGCCATTGGCCAAAACCAGTAGTCGCTACAATCCTCGGATCTTCGACATAATGGAGTGAAAAGGTCTTCGGTATATCCCGGCATGCATTGCCCGCACAGTCTGCCGTGCCTGTTGGAGTTGCAGGTGTCGTAAGGAACACAGCCCTCCATTGCCGAGCCTTGACAGCAATAGCCCCTTGGGCACCGAGAGAAATGTATTGTCGGAGGGATGTCTTGGACTTTGTATCCCCAAAAGTTTGGCAAGGCTTCAAGACCTCTTCTGCACTTTCCGCCGTAAGGACACGGAAGGCAATCGACCATATTCGCGGCGTTATTTCTAAGAATTGAATGAAATCACGAGAAACGTGTGATATTGATTCATATAGCATGGTGTAATGTGATATTGTATGATTTTGTGTGATGTTATTTGAAATTACCGTAATGACTCAGTGATCATGGTATGGTGTGGTGTGGTGTGGTGTGGTGTGGTATTGTGTGGTGTGGTGTGGTGTGGTGTGGTATGGTGTGGTGTGGTATGGTATGGTATGGTATGGTATGGTATGGTATGGTATGGTATGGTATGGTATGGTATGATATGGTATGGTATGGTATGGTATGGTATGGTATGGTATGGTATGGTATGGTATGGTATGGTATGGTATGGTGTGGTGTGGTGTGGTGTGGTTTGGTTTGGTTTGGTGTGGTGTGGTGTGGTATAGTTTGGTGTGGTGTGGTGTGGTGTGGTGTAATGAATGATATCGTATCATATTGTATCACGTAAGTATGTGTTGGGTAAAATAACAGCAAATAACCTTACCTGTACACCCCACGTTGTACGCTATAACTACCCATCGTGCAAAGATTGCATTCAAAACTCTGAGAAATCCAGAGTTTCGTTGTGTGTTTGATGCTATATCCCGAAGGACAAATGATAGAAGTGTCGTTGTCTAGAACAAAATTCTTGGTATGACCTATCTCGAGTACTATGACTTTCTCCTGATATGGAGACCACCTCATATCAAGCGTGGAATTTGACAGAACAAGTTCCTCGAATATGTCGCTTGATATGCCAAGCGTACCGTGGTATTCTTTCTTTCGGACAGAGGAAACAGACCTGCGTTGAATTATACGCGAGTTTAGAAGAAAAGCCTTTCCCATGTTGCTAAGTCTGACACTACCTATGGCTTGAGTTTTCTCAATAGATCCTCCATTATTGCTATCCAACGTGCAATTAAAAAGAAACATGGTTGTTCCACGAAATTCGATTGCGCCAGCTCCCTGTCCACCATTGTTTTCGACGAAGATAGAATCAGAAATATTACATCCAATATTTTCAACTGTGTATATGGCACCGTTACCGTTCGAAGCTAAGTTACCTTTGAACACAGACCTTTGGACGTTTAAATTTGCGACTGTTACTTGCGGCTCGCTTGAGGAATGCACTTCTATCACAGCACTACTTGTGTCAGACGACGTATTGTTATGAAACTGGCAATCTTCAACCGTCAAGCCTGGATGTGGTAGAGATGGTAGATTCAGAGAATTGCCTGGTCGAGGCTCGTGCCCATTTTTTACCCATTCGAGGTCCTTGTAATCAGGCCAGAATGTGAATGCATCTTTCACTCCGTTTTTCCGCAACACCGCTGGAACACCATTGGAAGATTCTTCAGTCCTATGTGAAACGTGTGTGTGACCACCCAGATCCGTACCAGTGAGTGGCACACCCTCATCCTCTGTCTCAAAGGATGTACCCGACAATGAACTAGAGTTGATCCACGCATCGTTGGAGCTGTTGAACATTACGCAAATCTGAGCCCCACAGAATGATTCTGCCGACCCTTTCGACTTACCAAACACAATGAAAGAGTTTCTGATGGCTACGACGCCACTTGGGGATGTCTTAGCGTACACTGCACCAGCACCATTACTGAAGAAATTGCACTTTGCAACAGAAAGAGCAAGACTATGAGATGAAACGGTGATCATTCCTCCCCCTAGTTCATTCTGGTTCGATGTAAACGAGCAGTTGAAGAATCGAGCATCAAGTGTTCCCAGTTTTGCTGTCATGACGATACCATCTCTCAGCATCCGGTGATTGGAAACAGTCATATTAGCGAAACTCGCATCGACTGTGCTACAAAACACCGCTTGAACGATCCGAGCTTGGTTGGAAGAAAAATTAATCCCGACGAGAGAAAATTTTAAGGTGCTCAAATTTTGGTCAAAATTCTTTCTTTCCTTCAAACTGTTATTCCAATTTGTTTTGCTGGACCAGTTATTCATTTCTTCTTCTTTCAGACATCCGCTGTAGTTAATCAACGGTGTCGATGCGTTAGTCGAATCAATTGTATTAAAAATCACAGAATCTATAAAATTGAGGTTCACGTAACCTTGGATTGAAATTACAAAATTTCCTTCTTTCAGTAAATTGTAGCCAACGGTTATGTTCCTGATTTCCACGAAAACTGAGGGCGCCTGTCGATTGCTGACGACACTTATTGCTCCAGCGTTATTTTTTTCCAAGAAATTCGTATTGGTTATATTTATTCTCAGATTTTCCAGCGAGTCGCTTACCTGGACATTTATCAAGTATTCAAATGTTGTATTTGACATCAGGTTACGAAAAGAACAACTGTCGATTTTCAAGGAATGGTCATGGATTCTGAGAAATGTGTCGAGAAATTTTAAACCACGAATTTCGACCGTTTCTTGAAAATTCAATCCTAGCCCAGAACAGTTTATAATCGGCGTTCCGTACCAGGATTGAAAATTCAGCGGTATTGTTATTGATTTTTGTGGACATGTGTCGTACGGCATCGTCTCTGTGTCGTTGCCGTCCAGCATAATGACGTCATTTCCCTTGGTCATATTGATGACGCGATTCAAAGTCTTACACGGTGACGTCATGTTTTGACAAGAATTCGCAGGGTCGTGACCACGAGCTTTTGAGACGTAAAGCGTGACACCGGAGGCTGGGGAAAGTAAGAGAAATATTGGATGAAAAAATTCGATGTGATTTACTGGATTTACGAACAAGAGTTATGTAAAGATAATGGCTCATACTTGACGGAAGTTGTTGGGTTTTGCATGAAATGAAAGCACACAAATACAACGTGTTAAATAGAAAAATTGAGACAAGGAATTTCACTTTCTGATATTTTGAATCTATTGTTCAAAGAGATATCTAAATGTGGTAGTTGTCTGTCTGTTGTCATATCCCAACATGTGCTCATGAAACATGCAATTCAAATGGTATAATTCACAGCGAAAGAGGAGAGCACCAGCGTCTTCAATTAACTGTTCATACAACAACTTGCCCATTTTACATAAGCTGTTTGTTTTGCTAGGAGATTTTGTTTTGTATACATGGTATACGTACGTTTGATTCGTCATATGATACTTTTGAAACACAATGAAAATAGTCCATTTCAAAGGCTTCCGGTTTGTATCAACTTTCCGTCTTTATAGAACTTACTTATAAACTGTGCAATACCCAAGTGATACCACTGATACGTGTACATAGACCTGGATAAACAACCGAAAATGTCACCTATAAGAGATCAGGTACTGTGGCATATTACACTTACCCTCAAACTGTATTTGAACGATTAAAATGAATATTATCTTGAAGACATCCTGTTGAAATATGTTCTGTTTGCCACCCTGATATTCTCTCGAGTTACCCATTGTCAACATTAACACAAAGGCCGAAATTATCGCATTCTCTTGCTAAATGATTTATCAACTCGATGATAATTGTACACAAACCAATATGACAATTTTCCTGGTATGTTTTGTGTTTTAAACTTTCGGAGTATTTTCATTTTTCAACTTACGTCCGTTTGAGATGTGTCGCAACTTGAAATACGACCTTAACTGACCAAGGTTCAATATCTGAGAACAGCGCGGGAAGCATGATTTTTTCCAGGAACGAACTGCCATGACATGGCGGAGACAGAGAAGGAGTTCAGGTGTTTCTAGGAACATCTGAACCTGACGCACATTTTCTGCATTCATGATCAAAGACAAGAGTAAATCTGGGAAGGCATTTAAAGGCGCATGGATTGAAGCCAATTCATTTTAATCAAAAGCATTTACAGCCGGAAATAGAATAAACTGGAACACGAGAAGGCGGACCAAAGTTTATTAAGGCAATCAAATTCGCGTTTCCGGAATATTTCATACCAGACCCTGGGTACGACCCACTGACCAGGCCGTGTGTTTGCATCGCATACAAAGACTCGGTCCTAACCAGAGACCTCAACCCATATCATTTTCTAACTCAATTTGCTCAAATCAAAACATACCAGGGGCCGCTCTGTAAAAAGGTAGTTAACCTTTAACTATCGTTAGTGGAAGAATTTGCCCGAATCAGAATAATGTATTTTCTATGGTGAACAACGATTTAACTATACTGAAAATGTAGACAGGAGTTTTATACAACCGGCCCATGGTACGTTTTAAAATAGGATTTGCGACTCTCAATATTTTTAAAGTTAGGGTCTGTTTGTCAGATTCTGACATATGGAATGTAGTCTGTTATTTATAAAGCAGCACTGCATTGGCTTTAGTGGATTTGCTGCCCATATACATTGCAAGTCAACAGACTATAAAACATCCATCAGAAGTGAATTGGATCCGACGAAATTTGTGCGAACAGACCTTTAGCATTTGGGGTTTACTACAGATTTATCTCAAGACCATGTAGGAACTCAGTTTTACCCCTTGCTTCTTTCTTTGATGTCATCTCGCATCTTTCTTCGATGCATGCTTTTACGTACTGTTTATTGTCAATGGCGAGTGTAAATACAGTAAAGAGCGCTGTTAAACGCGGCCATCGCGTTTTCCAATAAAGCGTCTGGGCAGCACAATGAATGAGAACGGAAATGGGGTACTTGTTCGTTGACAACTTCGTTTATCGGTTCGTATCAAAAAGTCAATAAATGATACCTCGGCACGTCTCAAGGTGGCGCCAGCATTTGTAAATTGAAATGAAGAACACGCCTTTCCAAACAACACGTCCGTAGGAAGAGATCTACGAATCTTAATAAAATAAAACCCCGCGCGTGGAATGCAAATTAATCCTCCCAAATTAACTTAAGAGGATTGCGCGTTCACATTGTTTATCAAAAGGAAAATAATTTTGGAATACTTTTAGGCAATTATTAGCTTTAAAAGAGCTGATTTCGAGTAGGACTCAAGATTTGTCATTTTTGCCTGTTGTATACTCACGTCATCATAAAAAACTCGTATTTTGGGGGCTTTTGAGGACACGTTTATTGAAATTTTTATCAATTTCGTATGGTCAAAAGCATAACAACTACGAGTTTCGTCAGATGGCGTGAGCAAACGACACCGAGGTTGGCGCGAAAATGAAGGGCTTTGTACTCGTAGTCAATGGTTCAAAAGCTTCCTATATTGCCATGGTTCACGGCTGTTCACATTAGGAGGCCAGTTTTGACGGCGTGCTTCTCGAGTGTCGAACCGTGCAAATGTTAAACACAATACATCTGATAATCCACCGATAAGGGCCTCCTCGGAGTGTTTTCATTGCGTTGATAGGCAAGCAGGAAACGTGGTTTGGCTTGCTTCACTCGAACAAACAGCCTGGTAGCCCACGTACGGCTTCTCGGATTCAGAATATATACCAAAGTAAATTGATTTGAATAATTACCTCAAATACATTTGGAAACGTTTCAAGCCCTGATAATAGCCCTTAAGTCGAATTTACGTCATATTTGAGGATGTTGGCAAAGCAATTTCCCTTTCAATTTCATAGCATTAATTAGGAGATTTGTTCACGAGAGATTCGTCGAACCAACGAGATGATTCGACAGTCCAGAATTATGATGGTAGCGAAAATATTATTTGCAAATTCAAATAAAATCGAGTAATTAACTACAGTAGTATTATTCAATATATATAGTACGTATAGTTGTGACACTGAATATATGAACACGATTTCTGCTATCTTTCTTTAACATTAAAGAAAATAACAACTGATAGTCGAAGGAAATGCTACTGATCCTAAGACGATCCATGAGTGTTCAAAATCACCAACAGCAATTCTCTATTGATTGTTTAGGCATATCAATCCAAGAACTGCACGTCTCTACGTTAATTATTGGAAATAGATTCTATTTCGAAGGGCTTTGTTGAAAGAACCAAGGTATATATGAAACATTAAAACACTTCTTCCTTAGGGCCGAAGAAATGGATTTATTGATCCAGTGTTGCATGCAGGAGGAATCTAAACTAAACTAAATTTATATTAAATTACTAGTATTAAATGTACTAGTTCTAAACTGCTCTTCGTATAGAGGTCTAAACTATAGTTCTATCACTCCAGTCACATGCACAGCATCTGCACAGTATGGTCATGTCGGAAGGCCTGCTGTGAACATCACTCTTGAAGAACCTGCCGTGTTTTGTAGATCTAGTGATAAAAAACAATTCTCTGCATGCTACGAATGACCATCACGATTTCTTGCGTCAATCTCTTACTTTAGACTGGATCATGTTAGTTAGAAATTACTTTACTATATACGGCGGCACAACGATAGACATCCATGGGTTCAGTTGAAATACTTCTTGATAAGCCAAGGAGATTGATATTATAGTTGTATTATTCCGCACGTAATTCATGCATCTTAGACTTCTGGCGACATGGTTCGTACAATAAAGAAATACCTAAAGCATATATATAGCCATCAATACAAATGCGACAACAATGCACAATTTCAATGTATCAAATTCATGCATGAATATAATAATCCCAATGAATGGCAGTGCAACATGTTGCAATTTACTCCGTTAACGTTCGCGACCCGTCGTTCCGCCCAAACTTCTCTCCTTTAAATGTTCCTACTTGATATCGTTTGATTGAAATTAACACTTTCCTCGACCTATAGCCTAATATCATTTAATGTTGGCTTCGTTTATCGACAGTTGACACAATATTGACAACGTTACGTTTCGAATCGAGCTAAACATAAAAAATATATACAAAAGAACTCTCTTTTCGACCTCAATTCAAGACACTGTTTCATGGAATCGATCGGGTTTCATATAATTTTCTCGCTACACCGTCGTTCATAACTCGATGATCTATAATCCCACGCGGTTGACCAAACCAAATATTGTTCTGGTTTTGTCCGTGACACTTAAAATGCCCTATGTATATGTATAGATGCAAATTTTCACGAATGTGAATTGCAAAGTATCTGTAGCCTTCTCTTTATGATATATCGTCGTGTAATTTGAATTAAATTCAGTTGGCTGTTTGCTGTGTACACTTCTCGTCGGCTGTCGCCAGCGCTCCGTTTTGAAACAGCGCTCGACACGATGGGGAAACACCGAAGGAGATCTGGTGATCTTAAAACGTAAGTCTCTGCTTCTATACTTCTATATTATTCGCTGTCTTTCCGATATAAGTTTTAAAACATTTGGGTGTCACCCGATCGCAGACTGGTATAGCTTAAATATCAGCTGTTTTTAAAATGGACAGAAAGTTGAGAAATTCGGCGCTGGGATCTTCCCTAGAAAGCTATCCACCTAGAACCATCGGTTTGTCACGATGTTTCCGTAACACAAAATCGGTTTTCGTCCGAGAATTCGGCCGTGATAGGCCGTCATTTTGTTCGCCAAAAGACACATCACAAAAGCAATATAGGCGACAAAGAACTGCAAGGCACTCGACTAGGACGTCTGTAAGGCCTCTCTATTTTGTTATTTCCTTTGCTCAAAATGTGTTCAAACAAGTTAAGCTCTGTTTTCCTCAGACTCAGCTTGCTGCTGTGACAAGAAACAAACTCCTCAAATATGAAAATGAAATGTTTGTTGTTCGAGGTCGGTTAAGTCTTTTTGTTTTCGTTTTGATGGCTTAAACGTTGCCTCCCTTGAAGGCCGGCGTCCTTAAAACGACCGAAAAACGTTCCTAATGGCTTTGAGCTGTTTTATATCTGCAGGTGCCACACAATTCCTGCCCTGATGAATGTATCCAACCATTCATCAACTCAAAATTTTTGCTTTTTGGATCGTATTTTTGGCCGGTGATAGAAAATATAGCATTATCGAAGTGTTTACTATAAGCAAAATGGAAACTATATCAGTTAAAATCAAGCAATCTCTGCCTTCAATTTGCCGTAATCGTTCTCAATTTTCGCGGCTTACAATCCTTCGGAACAGACTTCTTGCCCGAAGTCGAAACTGTATTCGGGGTGGCCATATCGTGGAGAAGGGGTTTCGCTCGCTCCATCGCGTCAGCGGTATGTAAATGCCTGTCTTGCGAAATTACACACTTTTGCATTGCTTATATATATTTCACTTTTGAACTTTTGTCTTTTGAGTTTGGAAAGCTTTGCTTTCTAGTTTCACCTTAACCACTACATGAGCTATTTTAGGCCATAGAAACGGATGTTTTATGGAATTAAAACAGTCTTTGTCGTTTGTTTCTTAACTACATCAACTACATTCCCGTTAGTTCATGACAGGGGAAACATGAGAGCGCAAACAACATATGCATTAATGAAGGAAAGCACACTTGTAGTGCATCGCACGAACGGATCTGAAATGAGTCCGTGTGCTTTTAAGACATTTCAAGGGTTATACCTGTCAACAGCTATCGTGTCTCGAGGACAAGCAACGTTTAACACGTTTTTAAGATAATCTTCTTGGCGGCGTGTGGCTGTCATGAGGTGACATATGCCTTCTAGAGCCGTGTGTTGTTGATAAACGAAAAGATTAGGAAATAGATCATTGTGATAAGTTCCTACAGGAAACGTGCTATAGAGCCTTGTATTAGTTGTTTATCACAGCATAGCTGAAGGATTACTGCAAAGGTTTATACATCCGCATATTAAATATATATAGTCTGAACTTATAACTACTTTGAATGGCTTTTCTGTATCCGTCAGACATGAGGCTGGTACTTAAAGTTAAGAACGAAATCATTTTTGTCATAACAAATAATATACGTTTACATTTATAGACAATTGTTTAAAAACCTTTGATTTGACATATATATATATATAGCAAAGTTCTTATAAGCATTTTATGGAAACAAATATATATATATATGCATGTATGTAGCAACCGATTTACAAAATGCATGCAAAGATTGTCTGACATATATATATAGTAGATGTCTATACTGAAGTAACGGGTTCTACAATTCAGTGTTCAGTTCAAAGAATTTAGCTTGCTTTATAGCAAAGACTATGGGAATTTAGAGTGCAATGTTCTTATCTGTAACAACCAGTCTCGTTTGGAATGGAAAAGTTTATATAAGATATATGTGTCTCTTTGGAATTAATTTCGCGTATTTCTGCGTGACTCGGTCATCCAAATAGGCCAGTTTGGAGACAAAGTTTAATACATTTAAATCAAAGATTTCTTCATTAATATTATTCCATGTTCTGTGAGAAAATATTTGGGATTGAAGGATTACGTTTGTCTATCGTATGGATCCCGCGAACTGAAAATCATTGCCTGTCTCTTTACTTTAGTTGGGAAATAAATACATTGTAAAGAATACAATGTATAGTAGATAATGACGCTAACTCCAAATGCCTAAGATATTCTTCTGCGGACTGAACTTCACGGCATGCAATTTGGCGTATATACAGTTGGTGGAAGTATCATAGCGACCGTTTTCATTCTTTCAAAGAAAACTAACATGTTTGTTATCATATTCTTGTGACTCACATCACATTAACATTAGATCGAATCCATGAAATTACATAATATGAGATACTGACAAACAGCTTTATATTTGGCTACGACACAATACGGGAAAGACTATATAGTACTCCGACATTTTTAGTAATGATAATTTGGGCTTATTATAAAAACATTCATGCATTCATTCACATCGTTACAGTATTCTGTGCGAAAACTATTACATTTTGTCTGAGGAAACAAAATTGATTACACCTTAGTCCTTACTTGGGCTATATCGGTCATTGAATCATAGTGATACATGCATGTCGGGATTATACATGGAAAATTATTGGACTGAACTCATGCATTTTAAGGAAACCCTATGGGCCAAATTGCGAATTGTGATATAGAATAAGTGTACTGAAATTAAATATGGCACCTTGCCCGGGAAGTAATAATATTCATTTCGAGAATAGGGCGCCTGTTGAGATGGAATCTTATTCGGTGATTGGCTTGGGAAATTGTTGTAGGCGAAGATATGGAATGCAAGAATATTTACATATTCCTTGCATTAAGAGATCAAAACGTGAATTCATATGGTATAAATTACTTAACCTTAGCTCTGAACTGTGTGGCTTAGCATGTTTTTCTTAGGGGAGTCGACACGTGCATGCCATTTGGCCTAACGTGAGTGCTAACTTCCTTAGTAGGTAGGGTACACGCGTTTTCGAAGGGAACTTATTGCATTCATGCTATGTTTGTTTACTAGTCGAGCCAAAGTTCCGTCGCATATTTAAACGCCGGAACCGATTTTCCAGCTATTTCTGCCAAGGACTGCATGGCGTCATAAATAAACACTCAATAATACGACGGCCATTTATGCCCCTCAAGTGTGGAATATCCCTTTTAGCGCTAGACAACAATTAGCGCGGAATGCAGCGAGCATTAACCACCCACCCGAATATCAAACAAATGCAAGATATTTTTAGTGGGCGAATGCAAAATTTGGCCTTTGTGCTAACGTTTTGTTTTTATTTCTAATAGAAAAGCCCGAAAGCTCATTTATAATTCGGGATAATGAGTTTTTGCGATGAGAATGAACGCCGAGTGAGCTGACCAATCAGAGGCGAGGATGTTAACGTCATTTCCATAACCTTGGCGCTCTTTGTTCCCTCTCGCATTCCGATTGGCCGAACGGCAGGTTGGACCAATCACAATGAATGAACGGGCGTGTCGAGTGATAAATTAACATTTAATAGGATGTCACTCATCGCGACGTACGCCAATCAGATCGTGCTATCATCACATGCGGCCTAAACACGTTGTTTGGCAGTACTGTGCATAAAGTTAGCCCAGCTCATTGAATAAAGAACACTTGAGACGACACAGAAATGGCGGCTGCTAGCCCAGCACCTAATACATATGCAACGACAGTCATTACCTCTTCGGCTGCCGAACATCAGACTCGAATGAGTTCACCACCAACAAGTATGGGTCCAGTCACGACAATCGCGTACATACGAGATGACAACAAGGCAATAACCTACGAGAGTTTAACTTCACAAACACAGGCTCCACAGATTGTCGAAAGCCGAATTCAGCCATCTCTGACCCCGCTTACAACTCCGAATACGACACTCCAACTCACGCCTCAACAATGGGTCGTAACAGATCAGCAAGGAAACTCGATCGGCTGGCCGACAAACGTCGTACCGAGCACCGCGGCAGATATGAAACCTGTGATTCGCGAGGACGGTAGCATCATTACATCGACTCCTATGCAACCGAACCAGCGACCTCTTTCAAACGGCAACGTGATTATCGATCAAGCACGATGGACCACCATATCCCATCCACCTATGAACCCAGGAGAACACACACGAATTCAAATCAATCCTGCCGCCATACTTTCGGGCCCTCACGTCAACTTTGCTACGCTGAATGGCAATGTTCAACAGTCTACAACGCTACAACTCCCCAATCACCCTGGCTCGCCACAGATTCGAGATCAAAGTCAGCTCACTATAACTCCCGTCACCCAAGGCATGGTTTCTAGCGCTCAAAGCCCTCTCTCGATCGACAACACTCCGACGTCGGACGACTTGGAACGCTTTGCCAAAATGTTCAAGCAAAGGCGAATAAAACTCGGCTTTACACAGGCCGACGTTGGCCTGGCACTTGGGACTTTATTTGGAAACGTGTTCAGTCAGACTACAATATGTCGCTTCGAGGCTCTGCAGTTGAGCTTCAAAAACATGTGCAAACTTAAGCCGTTGCTTCAACAGTGGCTTCAGGAGGCTGATAACACGACCGGAGCGCCAACGAACACCGATAAAATCGCTGCAACTGGTCGAAAACGTAAGAAGAGGACGAGCATCGATGTTCAAGTTAAAGGCGCGCTGGAGAATCACTTCTGTAAGCAGTCGAAGCCGAACGCGAACGAGATACAACAACTCGCTCACAATCTTCAACTCGACAAAGAAGTCGTAAGAGTTTGGTTCTGCAATCGTCGACAGAAAGAAAAGCGAATGACCTCAGCCGTTGTCCGACCAGAGGACGGTGGATTGCATTCTCCACAGAGTGTCATAATGCCTCATCATCAGATACCTGTGCCAAACAGTGTGTGATGGACGTACAAGTTTTATATTTTCGGTACGTTTTACCTGTGAACAGAACTTACTTTGTCACGAAGAACAACGATCTCGTCTCCCAAGGAACAACGCTTTCTTGGGAGAAATTGGCAATTATAATAAGCTTAGAATGAACGGTTCACTATTCTAAAAGAACACGTACAATTTGGGGGGACTCATCGACAAGAAAGCATTGAGACTTTACCTGGGTGTCGTCTTTTAAGCTTCGATGCTAGACGTTGGTTTACTAAACTTTGTAAATATATATTTATAGTGTGTAGCAAGGGGTTTCCTCTACTTAAGTCATGTTTATATTGTTAAGCCTGCTAGTTGTGCGAATAGTTCGTAGGTAATGCACGAGAACAAGGCATTAGAACAAGCTTTCTGACGACGACAGCATGGCCGCCTTCGTCTTCGAGAGAAAATCTAATGCTACCGAATAAATATTTATGCTTGCCTTTTATTTTATCGAGAACTAGTTGTACTTTTTATTCAAATAATTATTTACCCTGTAAGGTCAGGGAATCGTAATTGTGATTGCTGTTTTGCTTGTTTTCAAATTTGAATCTTCAGCATAGCGCTTCACGAATGCTTTCAACGCGTTCCCACCTTCGTAGAAAGCCTTTGCAACATTGCAAAGAACAAAAAATCGTTCGCTGTCGGAATTAGAACGTCGGGCATGAAATTGGAATGCGAATTTCAATTTTTAAGTACATCCATGTATAATCACACAGACTGAATTTATTTGGTAGGCTTTGATGTATGCAAATAGAAACAAATTTCCTCATTTAAATTCGAGTTTCCCATATATTATTCTTAAGCACCGAACCACAATTTCCATTTTGAAAACAACGCCGTTTCCATAACATACTAACGAAGGACTATAACAACGCGTCTTTTTTTTAAATGAGCGAATACTTTTCGATAGTTTGACTCGGGATACGGACTAAATTCGCTTCGGTTTACAAAATTGACGGGTTTTTATGCTCGCAAAGCGACGTGTCGAGCTTCTTGTCCAAATCATTGAAGAAGAACGCGGCGCCAAAACAAACGTATACTCGAAAATTCTCAAGAATTATTCGGTTATTGTTTTACGAAATTCTAACAATTTTAACTCGTTTGCAAATGCTTGTAAGGGTCTATCGCTTCGGGAGTTTCTTGCATCGAATTTTTCGACTAAAAGCATTCTCAAGGTTGTATAAAGAAAGCAATAAACCGGTACCTGTTCAAAAGGCGCCAACGTGTACATGTATGTATGAATTTGTATTTTCAAATCATTCCCTTTGAGAGTTTATTTGCTGATCTTTTTTGAACACCAACGTGATCTTAAGGATGGATATTAAATTCTGCGATTCGTAGGAATCAAATTTTTTGCCAGGAAGCATTTTTTTCGAGAGCTCGAGACAAAAGAAGCAATTGTGTTAGCCTTCGTCATGTTTGACATGTTGGCCGTTGGCCGTCTTTGAGTTTTGTACATTGTAAAAGTGATTTTTTCTTTGTAGAATATGCAATATGACTTCTTAGTTGTGGTAAAAATTGAATGGCAAATCTGACAGTTTGCAATGAACTTTATTCTAACTTCGCATAAGTCTATATGCGTTTCAAACGGCGAATTCTTTTATGGTAAATAAACACAGTCTCGGATCTTGTATATCAAAGATTCTTTTTAGCGGCTGACTTAATTCGACATTCAGCTGATCTGATTCAACGAAAAATTATAAACATATAATTATTACACTAACAGGGCCATTCCGTAAAACTAATAACATCACGGGGGACGTCTTGTGGAGAAATTTGAGTTTGTTTTATGATTTCAATATGTAGGTTTATATTTGGTCACAAAAGCTAAACAAAGAAGGTCCGCTAGCCTCGTTTCTATGCATGTCATTTCTATATTTTTAGGCATGTAAAGTCCTCACGACGTCAGTTGCGTCCTTTCTCGACCGCGCAGGCAGTGGTGCCCACTCATTGAACGAATCCCAGTAAGTCCATACATATAGCTTTTTCAAACTAAAAAAAATTGGTTTTAATAAATTCATTCAGAAGACGTGATCAAACTTCATCCAGTTCTAAGACTTGATCAAACTTCATCCAGTCTTAAGACTTGATCAAACTTCATCCAGTCCTAAGACTTGATCAAATTTTCATCCAGTCCTAAGACTTGATCAAACTTCATCCAGTCCTAAGACTTGATCAAACTTCATCCAGTCCTAAGACTTGATCAAACTTCATCCAGTCCTAAGACTTGATCAAACTTCACTCAGTTCTAAGACGTGATCAAACTTCAACCAGTCCTAAGACTTGATCAAACTTCATCCAGTCTTAAGACTTGATCAAACTTCATCCAGTCCTAAGACTTGATCAAACTTCACTCAGTCCTAAGACTTGATCAAACTTCATCCAGTCTTAAGACTTGATCAAACTTCATCCAGTCCTAAGACTTGATCAAACTTCAACCAGTCCTAAGACTTGATCAAACTTCATCCAGTCCTAAGACTTGATCAAACTTCACTCAGTCCTAAGACTTGATCAAACTTCATCCAGTCCTAAGACGTGATCAAACTTCAACCAGTCTTAAGACTTGATCAAACTCCAGTCCTAAAACGTACCTACGATCAGTTCTCCTAATTAGCATTTCTACCGGGCAATTCTTGGGTCATAATTCCTGTGGGGGTCAACTCGAAAACGAGACACAGTAATCAGACTGAGTTTATTGTTCACGGTATGTGTTGGCTTTGTCAATGCGCTTCGTAACAAATATAGATTACGCAATTTTGTATCATTTGCTCACTCCTGTGCAGCATAAGCGTCCAGACAATTAAGGTTGACCCCCACTCAAATCACTATGAAATATATGAAGTAATCCTATAAGGACTGCGTAGTCGCTGACCGAATCAGTTTACGAAATGCTGGCGCGGATTCATGGGACTGTCGTTCACTATATATTTTTTACCTGAAGTATCTCATGTTTATGCTGACTGAATCCAACGCAGGCCTGCATTCCTTTCGACTTCCTGCAGTGTTTCGAAAGCATGCATAAAATTTGCATAAATATTTTCGAAATAAACGTGAATTTTAATCCATTGCATCGCGCTGAAATATAATTGTTTTTTATCAAATTTCTTGAAAAGCAATCACTGAATATCACACAGTATTCTACAGCGTTGATTTTCGTTTGCTTGCGTTACTCATTTCCGAGAAATTCGTTAACTTTTTTACACCAGACTTGGAAACATTTGGTAAAGGTACGTATAGAATTGCACGGAAAATATACATTTAAAACAAAGGGTAATTACCAATATCGAAGTGTAAGGAACTTATGCAGTTTTCAATAGTGTTTATAGGCGTTTAGGTGGATTTTCTATTGCATTGTGCATTTTTCCAATCATATTAATGACATTTCGCAGAAATTTCCACACTTTGTGCAATTCGTTAATTAAATTGGTGAATAAATTTTAGTTCAATATTCGACTTTACCAACTTTTGTAAGTGGTGTAGGTTTTTGCAACAGAAACAGCAGATTTTGAGTTATCATGCTATGTGGTTAGTTTGTTTTTTCACTTTTGATATGTGGGGATAGTTCATAGTTGTAAAATGAAAGTGCTCACATTAACCTAATATTAACTCACACTTTGTGTGATATCACCTTACAGTATGGTGATATTAATAACTTGCAACTGCTTATGAATATCAAGTCATAACTGCACATTGCATATTCAACCCATAAACTGTGGAGTATGCCAGTTGTTTTGTGAAACATCTTCAAACACAGTCTAAATTTATATTGTTGGCTAATTTTTTAGATCACATATGGCTGAAAGTGAAACGAGTGAAATCACTGACATTCAAAAAACTCCCATTGCACCAATGACTAAGAATCTCAGTATTCCTTCAAGTACACTAACGCCCGTCATCACTATGGCAACCACTATGGCAATACCATTTAATAACATGGTGAAGCCAGAGCCAACTGAATGTGTGCCCAGTTGTACCCCAACCCCTATGACCCTCGATCTCTCTGCAGCTGCAACCCTTCTCAATATCACGTCCAGCTCCGCGGCGATGACCCCCGTCACCCCTGAGTGTGAACCAACCCAGAGCAAACTCTTTCACCTTGTTAGTACAGGAGACCAGCAACCCACCCTAAGGTATGTCCTCTCACTTGCCCCAAGTGGTACCCCTAACCCAGTGACACCCACCTCTGACACTAACTCAACAGCCCAAGTTGGTGAATCTAATCAGAACAACACTGTGGTACTCCACCCGAAGCCTGAACCCTTCCCCACGCAAATGGTGACCAACAACCCTGGGCTTGTCATTGCATCGAATGGTGTTTCTACAATAGACTATCAAAACGAACAACCTATCATGTTGACAGAACCCAATTTTTCATCTCAGTTGAAAATAACTTCTCCTGGAAATGAAACTCTACCAACTTCAGCAATGGATATTGAAGCTTTTGCAAAGTTCTTTAAACAACGGAGGATTGCTCTGGGATTCACCCAAGAAGAAGTTGGTCTTGCGTTAGGCACCCTCTATGGGAACATGTACAGCCAGACAACAATATGTCGTTTTGAGGTTCTCCAACTCAGCTTCAAAAAGATGTGCTCTTTGAAAAAGTTGCTTGAAAGGTGGCTAGAGGATGCTACAGAAAAAGTTGGTGATGGTGGCGTTCGAAAAAGGAAGAAAAGAATGAGTATAGATGGCACAATGAGATCGATTTTGGAAAGCCATTATGCTGTTGAGAAGAAGCCGAAAAGCGAGGATATAGCAAAAATTGCTACCGAAGTGCATGTCGAGAAGGAGGTTGTGCGTGTGTGGTTCTGCAATCGTAGGCAGAAAGAGAGAAGGATGGCAAACGCAGGTAACCTTCCAGACGATCTGGGCAAGGATCTGAGAACTTCTGGATATTTATTCAAGCAAGAATGTGCGGACACTGACAGCGAACTTAAGGAAAACTGTCAGAAACTTTTGTCTCTCATCGAAGGAGAAATTAAAAGTTAGAAGGTAAAGATATCTGAGCTGCAGATAGACAATAGGAGAAAGACATACAAAATGACTGTCTCCAAAACTTGTATAACAAAGCATATAGTAATGAGTTGAAGGCACTGGCTTTATTCAATACATGCCTAGAATTTGTTGCAAACAAGTAAAAGTTCATGCCTGTTGTTAAGATCTTGTAAGAATATGTTGTGCTTTGCTAAAGTCCTGTTCAATGCTAGCAGTTGTATTTGTTGTTATTCCCATCCTTATAATTGTGTGAATGTCGGAGCAGGTTCAGATTAGATTGGTTTTTCAAAAACTTTTGACTTGCGTCTAATATTTACTTTGATTCAAACTAGGAGTCCTTTTTAAATTCCAGTTTTCTTATATATCAAGAAACAACCAATGGCAGCTGACAAAATACATCCTTTTTAGCGACCAAATGCTATCTTGGCTGAGGTTGCTGACCCGGAAGTGTGGATATATTTCGCTAGCAGAATTTGGGCTTTAGCAAGCATAAATGGTGGTTGTTTTGTTGAGCCAAAATATCTTAGAATACCAGCTCAGAATAGCTTGTATAATGTAAGCTCCGAGGTTATGTTTAGTGCTCTTATAGCAGAGTTAAGGCATTGTATAGTTTTAAAATAGCTTGTTTCCTTTTATATATAATTTATGTTGTAATGACAACTAAGCATATGTTAATTAATGTAAATAAAGCACGTTGGTTTCTGCGCTAAACTATACCCTTTTTTAAACGCGGAATACCGCTCAGATTTTGTTACTTTTTTGTACGCACTGAGCTCATTCATGATCTGGAATATCATATACATCGGCACCCACTGATCTATAAAATATTTCTGTAATATTATATTGCCCGCGCCGCATGGCAGGCTGGGAAGGCTCGTCGATTCCTCTTTTTCTTTCTTTCGCTTCCAAACCAAGATGGTGAGTTCATATATTTTATATCCTTTCAATCCGGCGAAAAATAGGCCTTTTTGAATTGCTTTTTCAACGAAATATCAGCGATGGATTGTAGAAGAGTCTTTGTATATCTTCATTTTTTAGCCTCGCGGTCCGAAGAAGCATTTGAAGCGCCTCAATGCGCCAAGCCATTGGATGTTGGATAAACTCAGTGGAGCTTTCGTAAGTTGATCATTTGTATTAATGTTAATACTATTTTGAATGGGTTTAGGTAGTAGATTAGCATATTTCATAGCTGTATGGTTGTTCTGCTGTTTCCAAACGAAATATCATTCTATGCGATTTGTTTTGAAACTTGGGCTATTAAATGTTTACCATGTTCTCAGTGATTAATTTTTGGATATGTGTTAAACGTGCCTAGGAATTAATAATGAAAGGCTAAGGTTATACATATTGAAAGTTTCGTGAATTTAAAGAAATAAAAAGACTTGAACTTTTTTTGTGTTAGTATCCAGGCTGTCAGTAAATTCAAGTTTACCATATTGAATTTATATAATAGGTTGTTATAATGGTATGATTGATAAAAGTATGAAGGAATGTGTAGAAATTCATGATATAGACCATATGTATGGGCCAAGAGTGGGAAGGGTGCAGACCAACTGCTAGGTCTTAGTGATAATAATGATCTATTTAATTTCAAACATTTCCCACAAGTTTGAATTGAAACCCAAATTTGACAAGCGCAGCATCACTTTATTCTGTCATATGCCAGATTATTTCACTTATCTGTGAAAGGATGCTATAATTTCCTATGTGAGATTGATATGGATATCCTCTCTATGGATATCTTTGTTTATCGTATTTGTCATTTCCTTGTAGGCACCACGACCATCACCAGGCCCTCACAAGTTACGGGAGTCTATGCCACTGATCATATTTTTGAGAAATCGTCTCAAGTATGCCTTGAACGGAGATGAAGCAAAAAAAATTGTCAAAAAACGTCTGATCAAAGTTGATGGAAAAGTCAGAACTGATCTTACGTTTCCAGCTGGATTTATGGGTACATGAGTATTTGATTTTGACAACTTGGTCACATTTTATAATTTTATCAGTTATTTATGAAAACGTTTGAAGACCTTATTGGAACTATTTTGATTCAACTAGATGTGATAACCATAGAAAAGACTGGAGAAAATTTCCGTCTTCTTTACGATGTAAAAGGTCGTTTCACAACCCACAGAATTCACAGTGACGAGGCCAAGGTGAGAAGTCCCTGTTAAACCCATTAGATAGCAACCTTTTTATTTAACTCTAACAACAGGTTTTAAACAACATTATGATACTAATTAGTCATATACAATTTTTATCATGACGTATTGAATATATATGCCTGTCAATGATTGCACTGATCACTGACTTATATAATACTTGTTTTAATATCTTATGGATTATTCACCTTTGTGTTGCCAATATTTATAAGAGCTATTTCATAAACACAGTATTTCTAGTTTAACTAATTGAGTATAAACGAAAATGCTGCATAAGCACATATTTATCATTTTTCAGAATGACAATAGTATATTATGTATTGTGTAATATATGGTCATAAGTATTTTTTAAGTTACTATCTTTTTGCTTTCAGTATAAGCTTTGCCGTGTGAAGAGAATGGCTGTTGGAGCCAAGGGTATCCCATATTGTGTTACCCACGACGGTCGTACAATCCGGTACCCGGATCCTGTGTTGGGCGTTCACGATAGCATCAGAGTGGACATCAAGACTGGGAAGATCCAGGATTACATTAAGTTTGACAACGGAAATTTAGCAATGATCATCGGAGGTCGTAACATGGGACGTGTTGGTATTATCACCCACAGAGAAAAACATGCGGGTATTGTGAACAATCGTTTTTTACAAGAAAAAGAAAACTAGCTTATTTCATTTCAGTTGTTCTGTGTGTCTCTAGATAGTTAGCTTCTTTTGCAAAATACATTTGCAGAAATGTGCAAATTGCATATTGAACTAGAAAAAGTTAAGCAATATACCTGGAAAGACTGTTCTGAATTAAGTAAATTTCAAAGTTTTGCTGCAAAGTATTCCTCAGCCAAGATAGCATTTGGTCCTGCAGATTTTGCAGATTTTTTATATTTTTGTGTATTAGTTACAAAAATTTGATACCTAGAGGACATTTATTTTTCTATTTTCTGCATCAGCCAAACTTTGCATTGTTCTAGATTTGCTTTTTCATCGTTGCAACAGATTTTATCATTTGATTTTGTGATCCAAATGTCTACCATGGTTTCCTTGGTCAATCCACTTAAATATAATAATTACTTGTTTCCTCAGGTTCATTCGATATTGTCCATGTGAAAGATGCCAAAGGCCATCAATTTGCCACCCGAATGGGCAATGTTTTTATTATTGGAAAGGGCAACAAGGAATGGGTGTCTCTGCCGCGTGGCAAGGGTGTGAGGTTGACAATTGCTGAAGAACGAGACAGACGTCTTGCAGAGAAAGTTAAACATTGAATTTGTGAAGTGTTGTATTTTGAAATGTTTAACAATAAATAATCGAGGAAAGGCAGAAGAGAGTGAAATTTGTGTGATACTTGTCTTGTTCCCTGGAGCCAGGGGTGTAGTTCCACTGGGGGGGGGTTGACTCCCAGAGAAGGCTGGAGAGGGGGGCTCCCAGAGAAATCTGAAGAGGGGTGCCTCTACAAATGCAGTCAAAATGTGGTGGTTTTAATGGTGAGGGCTGTGGCCTTCCTAAAGTAGTCACTCAAAGTGTCTTTATTTTTCACCCTTTGTGATTTTAATTTTAAAAATTTTTTGAAGGCCCTCGTCGGAACTAGAATACTGCACTCTTGCAGCCGATATAAGCATTGATACAGTAATATATGTCACGCCATGCGGATTGTTAGGCTGGCTATACCTATAATCGCGGTACGGCATTTGTGAATTGTGATAATAATGTAAATGTATTTATTTTTCGAGTATTTAGCGTAATGAGTATTACTTGCGTGATTTGTCGTGTAAGTCCTGAGAAAGCTTAAAACGATTCTCTTGAAAGTTTTGTATTGTGAATATTTATTTGCTTTTTGCTCAATAGTCAAATTTAATTTGTAAATTTGTGCCATAATAGTATATATCAAAGCGACAATCTGACAATCTTGACAAGCAGTGCACAACAGCACTCCTTTCTGTTACTGCATGTATCGAAAGAACAACACTAATATTTTGCAATATATAGATGCATTGCATTCCATCCTCAATGTTCATACAATTGCCATCACTTCAATATTATATAATTGTTTTACTTTTTTATGGAATCTCTTAATTATATTCAAATTGCAACGGAACCTAGCTTCATTTATCTTACTGGTAGTTAGATCATGTATATAGGGTGAGTAAAAAAAAACTGACACCTTTGAAATTCAAATTAGCCGCAAACTTATGGCTGGAATTTGACAATTCCCATTGTGTATGATCAACAAGACGTGGTTAATTAATGCAAAAGTGTTTAAACCAATTGAACTAATTCCACGTTCTTTTTTATTACAGAGCTTAGAATGCATTTTAACTCCCAAAGGGAACAAACTTTATGTTCTACTAAATTAATGGTTCACTTATTTGATATGCTTCGTATACCCATAAGATATTTTAGGCAACCTCTGTCTCATTACAGCCTATTACAGACACATTGCAGCTAATTTGAATTTCAAAGGTGTCAGTTTTTTTTACTCACCCTGTATAAGACGAGCTTCGTTCCACACAATTAGAAATTCTGTAGGACACGCCCCCCGTAGATTACTGCTGTGATAGATTTTATTTTAAAGGTTTTTTTCGTTTTAGATTTATCAAGACGAACATAAAGATGAAAGAGAATTTTTTACCAGTTTAAAAGTCACTGTATATTGTCTGTATTGATCATAACGTAAGTTTTTAAGTGAGGATTTCTTATGTAGCCCTTAACATCATGCGCTGATGGTCTGGTGCTTAAGACAATAATCTCGCAAACTGAGAGAGTTTGGTTCAAATGTCCTTCATTCACTTCATTTCTCGCGCAGTCGCAGTGAGTGAGTAATGATCCCACAATCACCACATTAGGCAATGTCATATATACTAAGCCTTCCACTGATGCAGTCAAGCACGCTGCGTTTAGCAAGCGCTTATAGTCTAGTGGTAAAAACAATGGTGAAAAAGGGCACCTTAACGTTATTCCAAAACTTTGAAATTCAGAAATTCGTATTTCCTCTATTCATTTCAAAGTCTCCAAAGAAAGGATTAAATGAAGTAAAAAACATTCGTCTTTCACCACCAGTAGCGGCGGCCGAGTGGGTTAGGACAGCGGTTCGTCCATAAGCTGTGGTGGTTCAAGCCCTTGCAGTGTCAAAAAATAAGTTGCAAATTCTTATTTAATTTCAAAGTCTCGAAAGAAAAGATTAAATCAAAATAAAAAACATTTGTCTTTCACCACCAGCAGCGGTGGCCGAGTGGGTTAGGACAGTGGTTCGTCCATAAGCTGTGGTGGTTCAAGCCCTTGCAGTGTCAAAAATTAAGTTGCAACTTCTTATTTAATTTCAAAGTCTCCAAAAAAAGGAGTAAATGAAATAAAAAACTTTCGTCTTTCACCACCAGCAGCTGTGGCCCAGTGGGTTAGGACAGTGGTTAGTCCATAAGCGTTGGTGGTTCAAGCCCTTGCAGTGTCAAAAAATAAGTTGAAAATTCTTATTTAATTTCAAAGACTTGAAAGGATAAGGTGAAAAATTCTAAGTCCAAAAAATTCTAAGTCTCACCACCAGCACTGATAGCCGGTGGTGAGACTTAGAAAATTTAAAAAGTCTTAAGTCGAAGAAAGGATTAAGTAAAATAAAAAACTGTCGTCTTTCACCACCAGCAGCGGTGGCCGAGTTGGTTAGGACAGTGGTTAGTCCATAAGCGGTGTTGGGTTCAAGCCCTTGCAGTGTCAAAACATGAGTTTCAACGACTTGGAAAATTTAAAAAGTCTTAAGTCGAAGAAAGGATTAAGTAAAATAAAAAACTGTCGTCTTTCACCACCAGCAGCGGTGGCCGAGTTGGTTAGGACAGTGGTTAGTCCATAAGCGATGGTGGTTCAAGCCCTTGCAGTGTCACAACATGAGTTGCAAAAATTGAAAATTGAACATTGAAAAATTGGAAAGCAAAAAAGGATAATTGAAAGTTTCAAAACTTCGAATAAAAGATAGGAAAAAACATTCAAAAAGAAAATTGGAAAATTAAAAAAAAATAAAAACAAATCGGAAATTCAAAAAAAATTGGAGGTTTCAAAAAAAGGGAAATAAATACTAAGTCTAAAAAAAATTGGACAGTTGAAAAAACTCGAAATTGCATAACAACATCGAAGTTTCAAAAAGAGAGAAAAAGAATTCTAAGTTAAAAAAAATTGGACAGTTTCAAAACAAATTCGAAGTTTCAAAACAAAATTGAAAGTCGGAAAATTAAATTCTAAAAGACAATGCAAGGGTTTGAACATGGCGGGTGAGTGGGAGGGAGAGAGAGGAGGAGAGAGGAGAGGGAGAGAGAGAGGGAGAGAGAGAGAGAGGGAGAGGGAGAGGGAGAGAGGGGGGAGAGGGAGAGAGGGAGAGAGGGAGAGGAAGAGAGGAGAGGGAGAGAGGAGAGGAAGAGAGGAGAGGAAGAGAGGAGAGGGAGAGAGGGAGAGGGAGAGAGGAGAGGAAGAGAGGAGAGGAAGAGAGGAGCCGGAGAGAGGGAGAGAGGGAGAGAGGGAGAGAGGAGAGGGAGAGAGGAGAGGGAGAGAGGAGAGGGAGAGAGGAGAGGGAGAGAAGAAGAGAGAGAGGGAGAGAGAGAGGAGAGGAGGAGAGAGAGGAGAGAGAGAGGAGAGGGAGGGAGGAGAGAGGGAGGAGAGACGGAAAAAAGAGGAGAGCATACACCCAGGGGATCTATGCTCTCCTCTTTTCTCCTCTCTCCCTCTCCCTCTCTCCCTCTCCTCTCTCCCTTTCCTCTCTCCCTTTCCTCTCTCCCTCTCCTCTCCTCTCTCCCTCTCCTCTCTCCCTCTCCTCTCTCCCTCTCCTCTCTCCCTCTCCTCTCTCCCTCTCCTCTCCTCTCTCCCTCTCCTCTCTCCCTCTCCTCTCTCCCTCTCCTCCTCTCTTCCTCTCCCTCTCCTCTCCTCTCTCCCTCTCCTCTCTCCCTCTCTTCCTCTCTCCCTCTCCTCTCCTCTCTCCCTCTCCTCTCTCCCTCTCCTCTCTCCCTCTCCTCTCTCCCTCTACTTTCCTCTACCTCCCACCTTGTTCAAGCGCTTGCATTGTCTTTCGGAATTTTTTTTATTTTTCAACTTTCAATTTTGAAACTTCGAATTTTTTTTTACTTAGAATGTTTTCTTTCTTTTGAAACTTCCCATTTTTTTTAAACTCCGAATTTTTTTAATTGTCCTTTTTTTCTTCTTTTTTTTGAAACTTCCACTTTGTTTTGAAATGCCGAATTTTTTTAACTGTCCAATTTTTTTTTGAGTTAGACTTTCTTCCTTTCCATTTTTGAAACTTCGAATTTTTTTGAAACTTCCAATTTATCCTTTTTTATTTTCCAAAGTTCAACTTTTTCAATACTTCTTTGAAACTTCCAATTTTAACTTTCCAATTTTCAATTTTCAACTTTTCAATTTTCCAATTTTTGAAACTCATGTTTTGACACTGCAAGGGCTTGAACCTCCACCGTTTATGGACTAACCACTGTCCTAACCAATTTTTTAACTGTCCAATTTTTTTTTTACTTAGACTTTCTTCCTTTTCATTTTTGAAACTTCCAATTTATCCTTTTTTATTTTCCAAAGTTCAACTTTTTCAATACTTCTTTGAAACTTCCAATTTTAACTTTCCAATTTTCAATTTTCAACTTTTCAATTTTCCAATTTTTGAAACTCATGTTTTGACACTGCAAGGGCTTGAACCCACCACCGTTTATGGACTAACCACTGTCCTAACCAACTCGGCCACTGCTGCTGGTGGTGAAAGACTACAGTTTTTTATTTGATTTACTCCTTTCCTTGGAGAGTTTAAATTAAATAAGAATTCGCAACCGATGTTTTGACACTGCAAGGGCTTGAACCACAGCCGCTTAAGGACTAACCACTGTCCTAACCCACTCTGCCACCGCTGCTGGTGGTGAAGATGAAAGTTTCTTATTTCATTTACTCCTTTCCTTGGAGACTTTAAATTAAATAAGAATTCGCAACTCATGTTTTGACACTGCACGGGCTTGAACCACAGCCGCGTAAGGCTAACCACTGTCCTAACCCACTCGGCCACCGCTGCTGGTGGTGAAGATGAAAGTTTCTTATTTCATTTACTCCTTTCCTTGGAGAGTTTAAATTAAATAAGAATTCGCAACTCATGTTTTGACACTGCAAGGGCTTGAACCACCGCCGCTTAAGGACTAACCACTGTCCTAACCCACTCAGCCACCGCTGCTGGTGGTGAAAGACGAATGTTTTTTTTATTTTACTTTATCCTTTCTTCGACTTAAGACTTTTTAATATTAGTATTCGGCTATCAGTGCTGGTGGTGAAGACTTTTAGACTTACAGTTTTTTTTTTCACCTTATCCTTTCGGGGCTTTGGAGTCTTGACACTTGAAAGTTTGAAGTCTTTGACACTGCAAGGGCTTGAACCACCGTCTATGGATTGACCAATGTCCTAACCTTCTCGGCCACCGCTGCTGCTGGTGAAAGACCGAAGTTTTTTATTGGTTTTCATCTTTTCTTCCACTGGAAAAGATGGAATATTGCAGAGATTTGATCCTACAACTTATCAAATGGGGTCCATCAGTGCTGGTCGCAAAAGTCAAGACTTTTTATTTCACCTTTTCCTTTCCTGGAAAAGATGAAATATTGCTGAACGCAGTGTTTATGACTCCAGTCACTCCATCAGTGGAAGGCTTAGTATATATAACATTGCCTAATGTGGTGATTATGGGATTATTACTTGCTTACTGCGACTGCGCGAGAAATGAAGTGAATGAAGAACATTTGAACCAAACTATCTTACTTTGCGAGATTATTGTCTTAAGCACCAAGGGCCGGTTGTATCAAGCCCGTTTAGCTTAAACGGTGGATAAGTTCAAAATAGAAAGCAAGTCTATCGTTTTATTCAACAAGCAAACTAAATTAAGAACAGTGTTTACCACAGCAGTTATTGATCGGAAGAAATGCAAAAAGAAGGCAATGCATCTCAACCATTCATATGTGGGCTTGGTCGAGCTAATGGTTAAGGTGCAATTGTTTTGCATTTTTAATGTCTCAAGCCTATTTCACTGCTTTTCTTGATCTTCTTCATGCTTCCAAGTCTATCACTAATACCTAACAGCGTATCATATGTAATTAACCCATACAACACGTCCACGATAAAAATTATCAATTTTATAGACCTTAAAGACTTGTGTTTACGACAAATGCCAAACCGCACTCTATCCTTCCGTTTTATCTGCACTGTCTTAATGTTGCAGCGTATTTTATCACTGATGCCTTACAGCGTATTTTATCACTGATGCCTTACAGCGTATTTTATCACTGATGCCTTACAGCGTATTTTATCACTGATGACTTAGAGCGTATTTTATCACTGATGCCTTACAGCGTATTTTATCACTGATGCTTTACAGCGTATTTTATCACTGATGCCTTACAGCTTATTTTATCACTGATGCCTTACAGCGTATTTTATCACTGATGGCTTAGAGTGTATTTTATCACTGATGGCTTACAGCGTATTTTATCACTGATGGCTTACAGCGTATTTTATCACTGATGACTTAGAGCGTATTTTATCAGTGATGCCTTACAGCGTATTTTATCACTGATGCTTTACAGCGTATTTTATCACTGATGCCTTACAGCTTATTTTATCACTGATGCCTTACAGCGTATTTTATCACTGATGCTTAGAGT